TATCATCATAGTTCCTCCAAGCACTATGAGGAGCAGTTCCATTCCTACTACTATCAACCTCACGCTTAATTGTCTCATAGATAGGTTTCACCACAAAGTTCAAAAACGCGTTCTCACCAGAAATCGAAGGCAACACTGGCTGGCCCGTGTTCTCGTCGATGAAATCCTCCAAGATTCTGTTGAGCTCGTTGGCCATGTTGTGGAAGATGTAGCAGATACACTCAGGAACGAAGCGTAAATTCGCGGCCTCTCCCCATATAAGGAGGTAGAGGGAGACGTAGAGGAGCTCGCGGCGGAGCTCGGAGTCGCCGGCTCGGCGGCTATCGGAGATCCAGATGTTGGACTTCTTTCCGAGGTAGGAGCACCAAGAGCTGTAGTTTTTTAGGAGCTTCTTGCGGAACCGCCGGAGGACACCGCCATCCAGAGTGTCGATGTTGTCCGGCGGCGGAGTGAGGCGCATCTGAGCGTTGGCGAGGTGGAGAACCAAGTGCTCGCGCTGGTTGCGAACGTTGTCTCTCTGAAACCCGAAGAAGAGCGCGAGCCAGTCGAGGAGGTCCATGTTGGATCGCCATTGCCCGAACGGCGGTCGCCGGAGGTCTCCGACGGCGCGGAGAGCCGCGGCGGCTGCTCGGACCTCGGGGAAGCGGAGGGAGGGGTGGTCGGCGAGGAGGTTGTGGACGGGGATGATGTTGTAGGGCTCTTCCTCTCTGGGAGAAGTGGTGGTCGGCGGCGGAGCGTGACGATGGCGAAGGTTCATGGCATCGGAATCGGAACCCTAAAACGATGTAACTGAAAAGTGACAATTGTTATTGTTGAAGAAGGTGTTGAAAGTGTGAGTGGAGGTAGTTACAGAGAGAGAAAGAGAGAAGAAAGAGAAAGAGGAGAGAGAGAAGGTGGTGATTGTTGCTAACGTGCTCAGTCCTGAATAACAGAGGGAGGAGGAAGAAAGGGCGCGTTAGCGCGTCGTGAATTTTTATTATTTTAATTTTAATTTTAGTTAATTGATTGATTGTCGATAAAATTTTTTAGTCACCCCTTTGTGTTTAGCGTCCCACCTTCTACTTTTTCGTTTCTTTTTCAATTTTCGTTGTCGTAGTCAATTCATATATTTTCAGTTTTCTTTGCCTTCTTTTTTATTTTTCTCCAAAAATGAGGGTTTCGTATTTTTTTTAACGGAGTATTGAATACAAATATCAAATTACATGTAAAAAATAGAATGAATAAAATTTTACGCCGTCGTAATAATATGAAAACATCTCCTTCTTCGCGTATGTAAGAAGAATATATATAGGCTTTCGTTAATTACAATGGTATCGTTAAATTAAAATACATTTATGAATAAAAATTAAAAGTATATTATATAAATATTTTATAATTGATACTAAAATTATTATATTAAATGCAATTAATGAAAAATAGATTGAATGTAAAAAACATATTTTCATTAACATAGCGTGTTAAAATTTTAAAAGTAAATTTAAGTATTTTGTTTAGAGACACATTGAGAGTATGTGTGGATTAGATGAAATTTAGAAGCAAAAAATTGAGAAAAATAATTTCAAGAATGAAAGAATGATACCCTTTATTTAGTGACTCTGTCATTTAATGGGGGAGGTAACAAAAATAATAAACATTACATTTAAATTCAAATATTTTTAAATAAACGTTTGAAATAAAATAAATATTAAAAAATAGTATATTTAAAGCTTATTTTTCCTTTACTTTTCTATTTATTAATCTCCTGTTTATTTCTCCTTTACTATTTTTTTTCCTTTCAATTAGCCTAAATATCCGGTAAACTCACATCTCTATGGCAAAAATTACTTTTTATAATGTTAAGATAAGCACCTTCGCACCAATTAAAAATTAAACGATTCAATTAGTTTAACTATATTTAATAGCTTGAACATAGTAAGTCCTAATGTAAATACTAATGAAATTTAATAAATAATTTAATTTATGTTAATAACTATTCATGTATAGGTCTTCAATATATATAGAAAAAAATTATCATCAGAATATATCATCTTTAAAGATTCCTTCGTTTGAGACAGATTATTAAGTAGAGGATACTTTCGATGCATAAAAAGATACACTAAATTAGTGTAGTAAGCTTGGAAGCATAAATGAATTTGATGATTTTGAGAAAAAAAATATAAAGAGAATAAGATTCTCATCAATGGTCAACACTGATGAAAGTTTGTTTACTTTGCCTTATTTCAAGGATTCCCCACCCGTCATGGCACGTTGAGGCTCTCTCTCTTTTGAGGCACTGTGTCTCGTATAATATAAAGTAAACGTAATTAATTTGATCATATTAAATATAATGAAATTTATGATAGAATAAAGAGCCAATTGAGGTTAAAATGGACAAATTGGAGGGCTCAACGGTGAACGCAATTGCAAGTGCAAAGAATTTTCAACGAAGGCAATAAAAAAGTGGAAGGGTAACGTAATTTGCAATGTGGATAGGCAAAACGCAGGCGCACTCACTCTACGCGCTTGGTTTGTTTGAAAATAGAAAGAGAGAGGAAAAAAGAAAAATCAAATTTGAAAGGAAAACGGCGGGTTTAAGCAACGCCGTCGTTTTGTGGTATATGATACAGTTGCCAACCTATCTCACGCTGCTTGGGCCCACTTGACGGGACCATCACAGTGCTGTGTACCTGACTTCTACTTCTAGTCTTAATAGCTAAGTCACCATACATACAACTAATGGTAATTAAACTCTCTATTTAGTTAATGAGATAGTAAACACTGGATATTTTCGTATATGAAACTTTCAAAATTTTAAATTAGTTTGTAATTTTTATCTTTATTGATTAGTTTATTTTTCGGACTCATACATAGTTAAATAACATAGATCACGTGTAAAAAATGTCATGTATAATATTATATATATTTTATTTCATTTTCATTATTAAAATTATCAATTTCAAATATTTTAGTTTATAAATTTATTAATGTAAATCATTTTAGTCTCTAATTATTAATATATTTGTCTACTTATTATTTTCATTTTTAATTAATAATATTGTTATAAAAGAATCAGCTTACTATAAATCATATTATCATTTGTCATTATTTTGCAACCATAGTTTGACTTACACTTTAAACCTTAAATTCTTTTTTTTTTCTAGTGTTTTTTTTCTTCTTAATTTCCTTTGTGAGATTTTCCTTCTTTTCATTTGTTTGTTTACTATAATCACTTCAAAATTATATAATATATCATAAATAAAATCTTAATTTATTTCTCTTTACAAGTTATATTTAAAATTTAAAATATATCATAAATGAAAATATATTGTTATTATGTAATAAATCTTATAAACCAATATCTTTAAGAAATTAAGTAAAATTATGTTAATATATATTAAAAATATATGTATAATTACATTTTTTATTGAAAAACTCTTAATTTTATTTTCTTAAAAATGGCTTTTATAAATGAGAAAAAAAATTTATATATAAATTTAAAAAATTTTACACTAAATTTTTTATTTAATTTATATTTAATAAATAATTAAATAAAAAATTATAATATATTAAATAAAAAATTTAAATTAAATATAAGAGTTTTTAAGAAGATATTATCCCTTGTAAATAATATTATATCTTAAAGCAATGGCAGCAATTCATGATCAATGGCACTATATGCAAAAGTACCCAAATGGCAGAGACTTTACCTTTCTCCTCATTGTGCACGCCACATGCATCTTTTTGTGTTGTCGGCCCAATGGATTCCGCTAAATTCTTTGATATTATCGACGAATGGGGGCAGAACCAGGAATCTTCTAAATGGTTTTCACCAGTTTTACTAAGCAAAATATTTCCTTAATCCGTTATTTTAAAAAATTGAGAAAAAAAAAAAAAACAAACGATTGAAAAAAGAGAACCTTTATTTTAAATTGATTTATGGGCATCTAAATTCCCAATCTGAAGATCTATACATCTCAAATAGGATTTTTTTACTAAAAAAATGTTAACTTTTTCACTAAATCCTCCTATCATGATTAATTTAACTATTTTATTAACTTCAGTCATCTGAATTTAAACATCTAGACAATATATTTTATTAAAAATATAATATTTATTATACTTTTATATTTTTAAAATAATAAATAATTTATTTTCTAATAGAAGTTTTTTAGTTGCATATTAAAGGAGCAAGATTAATATTTTTCTTAAACTAATTACATTTTTGTTTATAAAAGTAATACAAATGCAATTTTTTAAACTATCAACGGATCATAATCTTAGAATTTCACTCTTTTAAAGTGAATAATATAATTTTAGCAATATTTCATATTCCTACAACACTTATTCGTATTTTTTTAATTTAATTTTTTTTAAAAATAAGCAAAAGCAGATTTTACTATTTAAAAGAACAAAAATATGTATTTATTAATATTTTTAAAATTGGACAAACTAGTATCTACTAGTTTGTGATTTATTAGATCTGTAATTAAACTCTGATCAAACAAGTGATAATAAGTATATCTTTTATTTTATAAAATATATTAAATTTAGAATTAACATAATAAAATAATATTTTAAATTAGTGTTATTATTTCTTTTACCATATTTAATAACGAACTTTATATTTTTATCTTCATAAATATATTTATCATATATATTTTTTACATGCTTTTGTATATATTTATTTTATTATATTAACTTTTGTATTATATTTAAACATAATAATGTAATATATATTAAAATATGCTCATCTTAAACAAGCAAAATGTACGTACAATGGTACAACAGACAGACAGAAGCTTGGCTGAACAGATCATTGGTTTGGTTGGCAATTCAACCGGTCATATCCATGGTATTCTTAAAAGACCAAGCAATAGTTTTATACTTTTAAGACTCAGTGGGACACTTAAAAAATTGCATTCATTCTGGATGTGCAATAATAATAATAATAATTTCCTCACTTTTCTAATTATTTTATTCTTATTCCTCTAAAGTAAAAGTTGTAATAGTAAACGGTTTAAATGTGGGATAACCAAAGGGGTAGATTATCAATAAGTTGAAAGTTTCATATGCTTCTTTAAAATATAAATTAAAAAAAATAAAAGCAAGTGAAGGATTTTCTGCATAAATACTAGATAATCCTCACATCTCAAGACATTTACATACGATGATAAACCGTGCACATCACATAATACTTTTATTCCATGCATAATAAAACACGCAATGATTTGAGGGATTGAACAGAGCATTCAGTTGGAAGACAAAGTACTATTCAGACAGAAAAGTTGTTCATCAACCTGACCATCCCCTCTGGGGACCCACAGAGCTATGCACATTCAACCTGTCAAGTACTGAGTTGAAATCAATGGCTTGCCCACTCTCCTCCATCCTCTGGATCACACTTGCCACATGGTCACCCCTGAATCCCATGCTCACCAATTTCTCAATCAACTCATTGTAGGGATGGTTGCGGACAAATTGTGACTGGCCAGGATTCCTGACCATAAGGTTATGACCTGGGGAGTTCTGAAGGGAAGCACTTGTTGGAGGATATCCAGCTTGAGCAAAATGAGGAGGTTGGGGTGGATGATGTGTTGCTCTTCCTCCCTCACCATCATACATCATGTATGCACTACCAGGAGGAGGAAGGGAGGGGTGGGTGCCGGGAGTTCCATACATTTCACCTGGTTGTGCAGGAAAAGAGCCCTTCATCTGCTGGGGTGGTGGAGGTTGCTGTGGAACTGTTCTACCAGCCCCTCCATATCCATATGGCATGGCATCGGGGCGGCTAGATCCCGGTGGTGGAACCCCTGAATATGGCATTTGCATGGGCATGCTGTTTGGCAGTGTTTCTGTAGGTGATGAGTTAGCTGCTTGACTTGGCTGGTATGGAGGATACACAGTAGATGAGGGGGGTCTTATTTGAGATTGCATTGGGGGTGGCTGGGAGGGTTGCACCTGCTGGGGCCATTGCTGTTGCTGCTGCTGCTGCGTTGGCTGCTGATACTGAGAATATTGTTGCACAGGTGGGGTAGGAGTCACCTGTGATGGCGTTGGTTGTGGAGCCACTAGTTGGGGTGTTCGATATTGTTGATCAGAAGCTAAATATTGATTCTGGGGGAGCTGGGCCACTGCTGGATTTGGCAGAGGGGTGGGTGGCATGTAATAAGGAGGCTGTTGAGGAGCTTGAGTCACACTTGGTGCAGGAGCTTGAGTTGGGGGTGCCGGAGGCTGTGGCTGAGGAGCAATTTGATGAGGCAGGGCAAGAGCCAACTGCTGGTTGCTTGCATCAGATGAATTATCTGTTTTTTTAGGATCTGTGGTAGGAGAGGATCTCTCATCATTGGACTGTGAATGACTTGAGGAAGATGATTCTTTCTGAGCAAGTTGAAGCTTGGCTAATTCTTTCTGAGTCTCAGCCAGCTCTTGCTTGTCTCTTAAAATTTGGACAGACCTGTGAACCTACACAAGCAACATAAGAAAAATTAGGTTGGAACAATTTGTACAGATTATTCCAGAAGTGATTCTTAATTTAGCAACACTGCACAGACCAGGTTGGCAATTTACAACCCTGATGTAAAAAGCATATAAACAATTTGCAAATCAAGGTAAGACTGGTGATGTTGTATGCAATTATGCATGCCAGGTACATATTAATTACAAGTATGTTACAGCAAAGATATGCACCTTATACATTCTTTTTCAACTAGAAGTTTAAGCACACACTAAACTGCATGGTAGCACACTGATCAAGCCAACAACTCGTAGATAGCCAGATACACAATGACATGGCCCAGCTGTTTTCCCATCCTCCTATGAAACAAAGCATGGCCCACAAGAGCTGGTTGTTTTTATTGTTTGTTGTGTGCACAACTATGAGTGGATCTAATGAACACTTCGATAAAGGACAGAAGTATGATGCAGTGGATAAGCATCTTAATTTGATAATTTGTTTTTTGTTTATTATATGATAAAATAAGGGTTCTACCTTATCCTGAGACAATATCTTTTTCTTTGCCTTTGGTATTTGATTATTTAACATTTTGACAATAGGTTAAGTAAGAATGAATAACCCCCTTTTGAGCGTTTCAAGTTGGCATCTATCTTTTACAAATTCTCAGTAAAGATCATTGTGAATTTCCTCTCAGTTTTTGGAGTATTGGTTACTTCAATGCCTATCCACAATGATTAGAGAGGAATTGAAGATGAAGGCAAGATTAGATAAAAACTCTGCATCTTGGTGGGAGCCTTTAGCTATTGGGTCATCAAAATGCAGTGGACTAAAGTAGAACAAACTTATTTTGGGCTTTAAGTTCTCACAAACAGATTTAAATAACAGTGTAAGGCAACAGATCTTGTAATAATGATAAGACTGAAAAAACATTTTGATCCTCTAAAGACACACATGAAATCAATTTGGTTTTCGCAAACTTTAAATTAACATCAAGATGGTCCTTCATTCAAGCTTGTATGACATCAACCAGGATCACTTTGATGTCATTTTAAAACTTTGGACGACCAAATTAACATGAAGTACATCTTCGGGCAACCAAAATGACAGTTTATTAATCTAATAATAAATATCTCTATCATATACCCTCCCATACCTATACCCGCCATCTTTAGAAAAAGCACCATATTCCATATCCATACCATACTGGTTGGTATGAGTACACATACCTAGATTTGTGCATTCTAGGCCATATCAATTTATCAAGCACATCAAAATGAGTGAAAACTTACAGTATAACTTGAATGCTAATATGCTATTATAGATATCAATTAAATTTGTGACTTACTTCCTGAAGGTGCTTTTCAAGAGATTTGAGCTTTGAATCTTGTTCCCCATGGTCACGATTTAAATCAGATCTCATTTCTCCAATAGATTTATCAAGATTGTAGCAGTATAATTCCAACTGTGACAGCCTTGAACTAATTCCCTCAAGAAATCGCATGAGGTTGTCAGCATATTTTTTCATACTCTTCTCTACAGTCGCAATCACATCTTGGCTTAAAGAATCTTCAGGCGGATTATAGGCAGTAGCAGGAAACATTGACGTCCTTGCCATCCTAGATTTGTGAAAATCCTGCCAAATGTTTGTTGATTTGAGATTAAAAATTTTACTAGAAAGGTATAAAAGTACACGACTCATAATCCTTACAAGTATATATACAAACTGTCAAGAAAACTCAGAATAAAGCAAGCAAAACAGTTTTGAGTAAATAGAAAACCTCATTACCCACAATAAGCATTTTGTGGATTGAACCTGTAACTTACATACCCCCATCCTCGCATATCCAAACAAAAATAGGCCAATAAAAAATTATATTTCCAGTTTTGCAAGTGAGGATTGCTCAATGAAGTACCAAACAAACAGTCGGCCGTATTCATCATCAAGGTACCTGACTGCTCCAATTAAACATATAACAGTATCTGATTCTTCAAAATGTTATACCTCCCACACGTGGCCATAAATTCCTCATTGATTCCCTCAACCGTGAACTGTCAACTATGTTGACCTCATTCAACATTTAAGCGTTTTCAAATTGCATAAATAGCTCAGGCAGGCGTATGAGTATAGAAAACCCAATACGTCCAAGTTCCAAACAAGGGATACAAATGCCTACCATAAATACATTCTTTTGTCCTCTCACTCTCAGCCAGTTGACATACTGCTCTTCTTTCAAAGTTTAACAGCCCATGCATTCATACCACACCAGAATCCACATCCCCTAAACCAAATCCAAGAACACAAGACCTTGAGGCCATCAACATACTACAATCATATTTCTGTTGCACCAACAAGTCAAAGTAACTTCACCAATCAGAAGGACCATCCATTCTACAACCCCAAAAGAGAAAATCTTCGCATTCATTCACCCCAAAACGTTCATTTGATAGTAAAACATTCAACGGCAAATTTCAACTCATATCGCAAGACTTTACTAGTCATTCCAGGAAACTATAATTTCCAAAGTTAACAAGTCACTTCAATGTTTTTTTTTTAATTTTCAATTTCAAGTCCCAACAACAATATATTCAATCCAAGAACCAAAGGGAGCTTAATGAATTACACCCAAAACGACGATCAGGTATAAAGGAAATTGCAGCAAAAAAATATCAAAAACTCTATCGTCAAAATTTCCACTTAATTTCTAAAAACGAAAAATTTCCTAAACCCTAATGGCTTTTCCTCTCAACGACAGAAACCCAAGTTCTAAATTACCCTTAGAGGCTAAAAACGACGGAGTCAACGCGCGAAACGACGAGAGCGCACATGGGTATATATACCTTAGTTGAATTGGGAGCGATGACAGGATCGGCGTGATTGCCGTTGGAACTGGAATCACGGTTAGCGTAGTCATCGTAGGAACAAAGGATATCATCGGAGCCGAAATCGAAGCCTTTGGAAGCAGAGTTACCACGACCCGAAGATCCAGACGCCATGGCCGGAGCTTCAATATGCACAGGGATGAACAATTCAGTGAGAGATAGAATAAGAGTTTTAAGAGAGAGAAAAAATGCTTATAGAGAGAGAAAGGAAGGTGTTTATCGGATGCTGTGTTGCTGTGTTACTTTGCTTTTCCGCAAAACCAAGTTTCGTATTTGTAAAACCCGAAAATAAAAACGGTTTTTTCGGCATTTGTCCAAAGGGATAGAATTAGAATTTTGTATAATATTTTTTTAAATTATAAAATAATACAGATTTTAATGCAAGTAATATTCAATGTTATAGTTTAATATTTATTATTATTTTATCATATCTTAAACTTAAATTAAAAAATCGAAAGAAAATTTATGAAGATTTTTTTTGTAAGTAATAATAATAATAATAATAATAATAAATGGAAACGGATATAAAAGAAACGTTTTCAGAGCGAGAGCGAGGAGGATGGTGTTGGACTGTTGGGTTTGGAGATGAGGATAAGGATGAGATGCACCGACCACAATTTTTTAGTTGGGATCTCTTCATTTTGGTGTATGCTGTGCTTTGTTACAATTTTATTTATCTTTTTTTTTCATATTTTAAATTATGAGATTATGATTGAATTTTGTATTATTAGAGTAAGGAATGTCCAAATAGTATTAGGTAAAAAATATATTTAATACTTTATGTATTAAATAAATTTAATATTTTAAAATAATGAATAATTTGTACCTTTTTTATTTAATGTCTTAAGGTATTAGTTAATTATTATTTATTAGATAATTTTATCTAAAATTTTATTATTAATTCAAAGTGTTTATTATGTAGATTATATCTACAAAACTTATATTAATTTAAACTTATTTAATACTTTATTAAGTACAGTAAATTTAATAAATGCATAGTTTTGAAATATATAAAGTATTTTCTATCCTATTCTTATAATGGTTTTTTACCTAATTATAACTTAATGGTTAAATTTACAAAATTTTAATTTTATATACCAAATATAATATAAGTTGATATTTCATATATGGACTAAACTCTCATTTTATTTTCAGTAAAAGTTTGATTTCAACATTTTAGTTCTTAAGATATTTAAAATGTCACTTTAATCTCTTAACTTTTTTTTTGTAATTTATTTATTTCTTGAGCTCAAATTTCGTTAAAAAATAGTAATAAAAAAAATTGAGTTATTACATTAAGTATATGTCAGAAGTTCAGTTGGTAAAAATGACGTAATTTTAGAAAGCGAGCACCTTTAATTGTTAAACAATGTTGTTCTAATCTAATCACTCTTTTGCCCAAACATATTAGCATATATGTTATGTGCCTTTAATCTTCCATATTCGCTTCCCAAAACGATGTTATTTCTAACAACTGAACTTCTAACGTGATACTTTCTCTTAATGTCTCTTAACGGAATCTAAGTTTAAAAACTAAAATGAATGACAAAAAAGGAAGTTAATAACATGACATTTTAAATATTTTAAGGACTAAAATGCTAGACTTAAACTCTCTTGAAGACTAAAACAAAAGTTTAGTTTAGTCTTCATACATGTATATTTAATTAGTTCTTTTTTATATATAACTTGTAGAATGAATAACTATTTATTTTTTCAAATTTTTAAGATATTTTTTTATAAAAAAGTGCTTATAAAAAGGAGTAAAAATTAAGTGAAACATTTTTCAAAATAATAAATATACAATTTATTTTTTTTTGGTAACACGGTATACATATGCATAAACGTTGAATAAGTATCGTTATGTATAAGAAAATTATTTATTACTTATTATTAGATTATAGTGTTTGATTAGCAAATGTCTTTATTTATTTATTATTTACATTTCCTGATTTATAACTAAAGACCACACTCGCAAACTTTGATTGTGCAATTGAAACTTGAAAGTGGATTTACACGATAATAATAATAATTTAGCCAATACCCCGCATTAATTATGTCATGTTCTTGTTCTGGGTATTATAATCTAGAAGGTTCCGAACTCTATTTTTGTTAACTTAATTTTTTTATATATATATTTTTAAGAAAAATCGTAAATCCAAACCATAAAGTTTGAGTTATATACAATTTAGTTTTTAAAATTTTGAAAAACATATTTTGATTTTAAGCTTTTTAATAAGTGAAAAATAATATATACCTGATAATTATGACAATTTTCAAATGATTCAGGGTTAAGATTTTTAATTTTAAGAAATTTCAATTATATTTGATAATATAAACTTATAATTTATCTTTTAGAAAATAAATTAGTATAATAGTTTGTTAACTACAAACTAAAATAAATATATAATTTTTAAAATTTAGATTTTAAAAATCTTGTTAAAATAATATTTGATTTATAATTTACAATTACAAATAATTCTATCTTATTTGTATATTTTTAAACAAATTATATATAGACAAGATAAATTTTTTAAAAAAGTTGTGATTTAAATAAAAATAAATAAATTGCTTTCTCTTCATTTATTCAAAATATTATATTAATATAGTATTATATTTTTTTTAATTATTTAATATATATATATATATATATATATATATATATATATATCTGATGGATTTTTTGAAAACTTTAAGTGTCAAAATGCACTCTTTTGAAGTTTAAGAATTAAAAATACATGAATCAAAACTCATGGTAAGAAATTGCAATTTTTTTTAAGTTTGTGTTCGGTAGAAATGTTAAACTTGAGTTTTGTTTAATTTTACATTACAATGCCTTGGACGTGTGTTAGCTCAATACAATTTAAAGTTGCCTTTTACATTCAAATGTGACTTTATGGCAATCTATATCATCATGTTTTGATCTTTTATGGCAATCGAGGTTGGTTGCTATTTGAATAGCTAATTTATTGTCACTGTAGACAATGAAATAGGGAATTTAGAGGTTGATATTTGGACTTTTATGATATCAAAAACGTTGATTTTCCAGTGACAGAACAACAACTTCAGTCAACATTTGCATATTCTGGGAGGTGTAAGGAGGAATTTGCAGAAAAAAATCAAATCGTTGTTCTAGTGCTATCTTAAGGTGCTATAAGGTCCACCCATTATGATATTATCTACATAAAAATGTATAATTATCACTGTGGATCTCAATCCCATGGTGAAGAATGAAGAGTGAGCATTGCTTGAACCAGTAATTATTAATATTAAATTTAAACTATGAATCTATTACTCAACACCTAAATCAATTGGTAATTAGTAAAACTTATTCTGGTTTAACACGTAATTTTCGAAATCAATTTCTAATTAATATGAATTTTATAAATTTTGTGCTTTTAATATGTTTGCAAAATTCAGCTTTATATTAGTTGTGCCAAACTTTGCTAATATATATTTACAAATTATCATATAATTATTTTATAATTTAATTAACTTTATTTTTTCTTAAACACTATTACATTTTTTTTTATCTTAAATGATTATTTGATATACATTAAAAATAATCTAAAGCGAATTGTTGAGAAGTCACCCTTTTAAACTTGACTACTTAACCATTAAAAAAAATCATAATATTAAATTGTTCCTTTTCCAGAAATTTAAAACATCTTTCACCCTGGACTAAAACTTAGTTTTTAATTGTTCTACAAAATAAATTTTAAAAACTAAAAAAAAAATACAGACAAGTAGGCTGTTAAAGCCCACTCATCTTCTTAAAGTGTAGTATAAGTAAGTTATAAATATTCTTCAAATTTAAAGGCTTTCTTTACTTGAAGTACCATCCTTTTCCTTCTGAACTTTTTTATTAAAAAAAATCTCAATTTCATGTAAAATAAAATAAAATTTTACAGACGTTGTAAACTAAAAACAATGGCACTTAAGAATTTAAAGTTACCACAGAAAAAAATCCAAAATCTCACTACTGTGTGGAAGAAAATATTACAAAAAGAAGGGTTGAAAAGAAAAGGGTAAAACTGATTGGAAGCATAAGGCAATTGTTAGTTCAACAAACTTTACTCCCAATGTCCTAACACATTGACCCTTAAAAGCTGTTCAATTTTTTGTCAATAGGAGAGGGTCTATCACACTATGAATGGAATGCATCAGAAGAATCATGTATATAATCACTCCAGCGAAACCAGCAATTAAAGCTCCTGTCACTTCATTACAAAATTTGGGCACTGAATCACAGATTGGTAACCAAGCTGCATAACTGTTTCCATTCTTTCCCACTTGTGCTATAGCCAAAGCTGCAGAGAAGCTCGAGATGAGTAACATGGTGAACACCTGCTCATAAAAGGAATCCATTAATATAAACTCTTCCAAAGAATTACACGTCTATTATACTGTTAAAGTTGTAATATAATATATGACCTTTAGAAGTGAGTTTAAACACCCAAAGTAGGAAAATTTTATAAAAACAAATTGTATTACACTGAGTTATAAAAGTGTGACAAATATTTTTTTTTAATGACAATTAACTACTTTTAAATGCTTAAACTTAAAAATTAAAATTAACATTTTTTGTAATATATATACACACGTGTATTAAATTAGAAAGTTATTAAATTTTATTCCCCTAACTTTTCAATCAACCACTATACCTTAATTGGAACATCCTTGTGCTGTGTTAGTATGAAATATAATGTCATCTCAAAATGTTAATAATATGGATTGTGGTTCTTTTCTTTAATGTCTAAAGAGATGGGGTATTTAATGATTGACAGAAAGCAAGATTTTTTGAGTATTTCATGCTTTTCTATGTGAGCATAAGAGTTTGATTTCTGTGGGCAACGGAAAGAACAAGTTCTTAACTAGCATGATTGTGGATATGTTGCTATTGCTTAAGCACACTAATGCATTGCATGTGTTACACGTAGAGGCAACATAAAGAAGAGGTTTTAGGGCATGTACCAAATCCAAAGCGACCACTAATCGCCAGAGCAAGCTTTTTGCAGGAAGAAAGAGGACAAAAAATCCATACACAGTGACAACAGAGTTTGCAATCACAAAGTACCTAGGTAGAATTGTGTAGTTAGTTTTCACTATGAAGGAAACAATTGTATTGAACCGAAAATATGAATAATAACTATAAGCACTAGAATACACTTACTTGAAGGCAGGGGAATTAGTGTAATTTGCTTCAAAGGACAGTGTGAGGAAGCTAGATCTCTCATGGCTAGTGGTCATGACAATAACTGCTGCAAGGGTTGCTGCAAAGGCCAAGAACCTTAACAGAAGGTGGCAGATCCTCCTAGTCTTGGCCATAGACTGCACCACAATGAATCTTGGGTTTGAGGGAAGGTTTAATTTAATAGATGAAATGTTGGAATTTTAAGGATGTTGAAGTAGGATGTTAGGAAGGAAAATAATGGTTAGTGCACTGAAATTGGAACATTTTTGTGTTGTGTTAGGTGAAATTCTTATCTGTCTTACTGTCTATGCCACCGACCAGTAAAGTTTTTTTGTTTTTTTTTCTAGTTTTGCTGCTGTGTCTCCTTCTTTGTGCAGTGTTTGTGATCAATTCCATTTTTATCAGCACTTATGTTTATGTAGATAAAGTTAGAGTAGTTTCATGTCCTTTTCAATTTTATTTACTTCTTGCAAGAAAATTATTTAGTAAGATACTAGATCAAACAGACGCAAATTTTCCAACCTAAACATAAAACTAAATTATTTTAATATTCTTCTTTTGTCTTTTTCTTTTGTGTCTTTTTGTTTCCCATTCAATTAGCTCAGCTAGCAAGAAAGGTTACTCCCTTTTTAATTAGACGTTAATGTTACTTTAATTTTAGAATTTTATTTTTTTATTAACATGTATTTTTTGCCCAAATTTTTATTTACATGTTTTCTTTTCTTTTTTATTTTTGGTGGGAGGGTAGAGGGGTCAAATTTGTATGGTTAAGTTTGGACTTCGATAAGTGATCCTTGCTCACCATTGCATTCCAAATTCTTACCATCATTACCAATTTTTATTAGAGGGTAAAATATATTTTTCTTTTGTATATTAAAAGCATTTTTTTGCTGATCATAGGAGATTAATTTGTTTTTAAGATGTAAAATTTTCTTAAATAAATTTTGTCTCTTTTAATACATTTTTTTTTTCATAAATATAATCATGTTACGTTTTTCTTTTTGTTATAAAAAAAAATTAAAAGAAGACGTAGGAATATTTTGAAACATGACCATGCAAGGATTATTTAACTGTAAGGAAACGATATTTGTTCATTTTTTTAGGGAAACATTTCTAGAAGCATTATTTTTTATTTTAAGAGTATATTTTTCAGATGCGGTTATAGAAAATAATTTTAAAAATAAAAAATTATATATAATATCATATACAGTAATAACTTTAATAATTAAAATAATAAAATACTTGACTAATATATTGTAGTTCACTTTTTTATAGAAGTACGTTGAGAACCGTGTTTTACTGGTTGCGTTGGTTGGAAAGTAAACCAAACGCGCAGTATAAACAAATTATTAATTAGCTAATTTAATCCTTCAATTAGTGTGTAAGATAATTTAATCCATATTTCTATTAGTATACAATCAGAGCGTAATTGTAATAATTTTTTGTTGTCATATAACAAAAAAAGAGGCTAGGTAACCTCTCACTTTCCTATAGGTACGATCCTATCAGTTAAATTTATATCATATGTAAATTTTATTCATAAAATTATTATACTCGTTTTTCTGTGATTATAATCCGTGAAATATATTGTATTATTTTGATTTTATTTATATATTTATCATTTTCTGAACTTTTTTGACATTTGCTTCTGTCTCTTATTTTAGTGTATTATATAAATTCATATTATGTATTAACAAAAAATAATTAATAAGGAAAGAATAGAAGAAAAATGATAATTATATTTTACAAAAAATATAAATTACAAGAAAAAAATATGTTAATTTATAATTTAAATATATCCATTGTGACATGGTGCAAATTTTCTTTCAGTAACTTAAATATGTAATTAACTATATTAATTTTAAACACGAAGAAAGTGATTTATTAAATAATATTTTTATCTCTCAATCAATTTTAATATAATCTAAAATTATCTATAAATGAGTGACAAAAAGTATAATTTTAAAAATTTAGAGTCAAGTTGAAATTAAATATTAATATAAAATGATACCAATTAAATAATAATCTTAAAATCAATAAATTAACTCGAATTAAATTTCTAGTAAAATCTGTAGAATTCAATCCGTAAGAATATCTAATGTAATGTCAGTGTGGGCGGTGATTCTTATAGCCCCTAAGTATCTTTAGAGAACACTAATAATAAGTATGATAAATACTTATTCAATGGGTTAAGATCTGACTATCATCAGATAACTTTTTAAATCTTTTAATTTATATTTTTCATGTATGATTCTACAATTTATATTTATTTTTCTCAATGTATTACGTTTATTTTATATATAGAAATTCAAATTTTAGTAAATTTATCTATTAAGGTTAGCAACCAATTTTTTTTATTTTTTTTAATGATATTGTTATTATTAGTAGTAGTCATGTTTATGTTGAGAAATTGTTCAAACAGTTGTAAAAAAAGTATATAAAAATACTAACCTAATTTTGGTGAATGTTCACTGACATGCACCGTTGATCCAATCGAAGTAGTAAAAATCGAAATGATTAAATTAAGATTACCTTAAATAGTTTAACGGTTGAGTAAACAACAATAGCTTGGGTCATTTTTATTAAAGTGAGATTTTTAAAACGAACAAAAATGATAACACTTAATAGCAAAAGAAAAAAAAAACAAATAAAATGATAACACTTGTTTATAAAGCAAAAACAAAAAAATTATCACAAACCACAACATATGTTAAATTTTAGTATGTGTTGTCTTGTAAATTCACAATATGATAAAATAGATACATATTAGGTTCTATGCTATACACATGTACTATTTAGCTATTTTATATATTTTATTTTTGTCGTACACATTTATTATTGAATTAATTTATTTTGATAGCTTATTTTAAAATACAATCATTTTGATAATAAACAAACGAAATAATAGTGTCATAGTGTGAATCTAAATTGAAAACCTGTAAAAAAAATAAAGGTTGAATTTAATGGGAGAAAATATCCAATTATATTTTCCCCGTTGAACTATATCATGCGAAGTCTTTGTCTAGATCGTCTACACACACACACACTCACTGTTACAGTCATAGGGTGTTTCAGCAACGCTAAGTGTTGCAGTTGCAGCACAACACACAAAATGCCTCTCTCATCCTCTTTTACGTTAACACCCATACCCACAAGGATCGCTTCAACGCACTCTTCCCAAACTACCCTTCTCAGATTCAACTCCCTTCCACGCCCCCTCCTTCCCCTCACCACACGCAAGTCCACGCGCCTCCACGCCACAACGCGATGCCTCTTCACCGGCATCGTCGAAGAAATGGGCACCGTCAAGCAACTCGGCATGGCCCCTCACGGCGGATTCGATCTCAAAATCGCGGCGAAGACGGTCCTCGACGGTGTCAACCTCGGCGACAGCATCTCCGTGAACGGCACGTGCCTGACGGTGACCGAGTTCGACGGGAAAGTATCGGACTTTACGGTGGGGTTGGCGCCGGAGACGCTGAGGAAGACTTCACTGGCGGAATTGGAACCTGGATCGTTGGTGAATCTCGAAAGGGCAGTGACACCCACGAGCCGAATGGGTGGGCACTTTGTGCAGGGTCACGTGGATTGCACGGGGGAGATTGTGTCTATGGTTCCTGAAGGTGATTCGCTTTGGGTGAAGGTGAGGGCTGAGAAGGAGTTGCTTAAGTATGTTGTGCCTAAAGGGTTTATAGCTGTTGATGGAACTAGTTTGACTGTAGTTGATGTGTTTGATGATGAAGGGTGTTTCAATTTCATGTTGGTGGCGTACACTCAGCAGAACGTGGTTATTCCTTTGAAGAAGGTTGGGCACAAGGTCAATCTTGAGGTTGATATTCTTGGCAAGTATGTGGAGAGGCTTCTCAGTAGTGGTTTTGTTCAATCCATTGCTAATTCTTGATGCCACTCTATACTTTTGTTGGATTATTAGCGTTTTTTGAATTCGTGTTTAGATGTCTATGGATTCATTCAACCCTATTAGTTGTTGTATCTTATGAATTGGATCCGCGGTTATAGGTCTTCAAACGTGAATCCAAACATTCAGTTTCTTCTTTTCCTTACTGAAAAAGAAAACAAAATAAATGTTGGTGGTTTTGTATACTTGTTTGCCAATCTGAGAGATATTTTCAATTTGCTCTTGCTCTTCATGAGGTAACTCCTTCTTACTATATATGTGCTGAAAGGAAATGTGATTTTTGGCTTGGAATGGTTCTGATGTGGCTAGGTTAGGAACTAGATAAGAGGCTGAGGCATTGAACTGGATATAAATGCCGCGTAAATTGTAACGTTTGTGTTCACTATGGAATTGAGTCAGCTTTGTTCAGCTTATGTGGTGTGTGTTTGGTTATTCTTATGTGTCTATTTTTTTGTCTTAAACGTAGATTTTGTTGAAGTGATCCTGATCCTAGAATAAGTAAACTGGTTTATACAAGCCATAGTACTAAAGAGTGACCTTGCGTCAAGTGACTATGAGACTTTATGTAGTCAAGCTTTAAAAAGAAGATTTTATGCTACTTGAGCTATTTTTAACTATAATTGGAGGATCTCAATTTGAGCTTGAATAATTTATGATTATGGGCTCCCATACCTTGGCAATATAAGTTGCATATTGTGGTTGCTTTTGCCGTGGTCTTTTGCTTATAATATCAGTAGAAACTTGGTGGATTATCTCACTTGTTGAAAAGATAAAATTTTGGATGCATATCAATTATTGATTACGAAATGATCATATCTATGCAAGTTATTTTGTGGGGCAGCTTCAATTTCTATAGTTGTTGTTCTTGTGTAGTATCTTTACTTGCCCTTCTTCTGTGGGTAAGAGCTTTAAGGCTATGCGCATAAAGTTGGATGCTGTGTAAAATTTGTGGGATTGAGGCAAACAGTGTTTTAAAAACTCGATTCTCTTGAAGTTGTGTGTTTCCGTGCACATACCTTCATGTGTGTAATAGATTTTGAAGAATAATTGATCCAGAACTGATCATGGTTATAACTTCTACCAGTCAGACTACTACAGAGTGAACATATATTGAGTGACTTGCAAATAGCAGAAGCTTAATGCAACTTAATTGGTGGATCCCAGATACAGCGAAAAATAAACAGCTTGAATTGCAATGTGATTGTCAATATTGAATTATCGATTCTGCTTAATCTTTGCACCTTAAGTGGGCTAATTCTTTAATTAGCACTACAGATGATGCATGTACTGCTCTTGATGCAACAAGTTAAATCTCCTTTCAGCGCCATTATTTTTAGTTATAGAACATCTAGAACCCACAGGGTTGGTTGATAAACGTATTGCTGGGTGTGGGATAGTCCACTTGTTCTTTTATTGGATCCCTTCCCTTGTACTAAGCTCAGGTCGCTTGTTTTGAGCGGTTGTTGTGAGTGAGTAAATATTGGAAGCCATTTTCTTGTTTTTTTTTTTTTTTTCGGTTCCTATTTTCCTCTACGCCAACCACTGCTAAATTTCAGTGGGATTTACATCTCTTACATAGTTTCTCTGGGTTATTATTTTTTTTCTTGTATTTGTAACAAACACATATTTTTCCTATTGATTGTGGCTTGGCTAATTTGCAAACCAGAAGGTAGTTTTCCATGAAGCTTCCTTTGGGCCATATTTCAAGGCACCATATTCCTCACATCATATCATATTATCAATTTATCACACATTTCTGAAACAATAACTTATGAACAAATGCATGATAATGACTACTCTTTTTTTTGTTTAGTTTAGACCCTTGTGATCCGAAAGTCACATTAAATTTTGACTAATAGTGGATAAAGTTCTTGCAGTGTCTATCTTTTATTTATTTATTTATTTACAAGGTTTGAACTCGAGACTTTATTTAAGAGAATCAAGCTCATTATTACATGAACAATTAGGCGTTGGTATGATAATGAGTACTTGAAAAGCAAGGTTCACTCTGAAATATCAAAACCAGTTTTATATCTCTTCTTACCTAGCATTGCATCACTCATAAAATAGTATCAAATGGAAATGGTTGGTGAGGCTTACCCAGGATGGCGAAATGTACATTATCAGAGAGAGACCTTGTAACTGTTCGAGGGCATAATAATTTGTGTCTAACCCTCCAATGCAATCAAATTACTCAGCCAAGCTGCACGTTCAATTATTAGTCAAATTATCAAATTGAAGGCCCATTTTGGAACAGTGTTTAATTTATTATTATTGTTCGGTGTTTGGAGTCCAAAATACTGAGGATGTTGGGCTGCTGAAGAAAACTTGACTTGTCACGTACACGAAATGCTTCGTCTAATTGATGCTCAAGCCCTCTTTCTGCTTTGTGCTAGGGAGTTTTTTTTCAAGGGATCACTAATTAAAGGATAATATTAACTTCAATGCTAAAAACTGAAGATAAAGAATTATAAATGAAAATTTTCAATCAAGAAAAAATGTGCATTATATAAAAAAACTAAAAATATAATAATTGATATATTTTTTTAATAAAAAATTACTTTCTTTGGATATTTAAACCCACTCCACATTATTGATGTTAGCAAAACTATTAATTAAAAGGTCCCACAGCACTTAAAAAAAAAGTTAAATGCATTGTTATAATGTTCATGTGATTTAACATTTTTTTTTATCAAACATGAGAATAACAATCTTCAAACACAGAGAATAGCTGACTAGTTATAATGCATTGTTATATTGGGCATTGTTATAGTTGAACTTAACATGCTATATTATCATAGATTTATATTTATTTTAATGTTACTAATTATGATTTATTCATTAAATTTACGATTAAAAGATTTTGAATGTATTCTCAATATACATACTAAAAACAAAGCAATTAGATGCTATCCTGCAAAGTAAGAAGTACAGCCATAACAAAGTGCCCTTAATTTATTTTTGATTTGTGATAAGATGCATATGCATGCTTTATTCCTGACATTGACTCGGAAATGGGAAATTCAACAGCGACCAATTCCTTTTTGGGTGCTAAACGACTGTGTCAGCACTTCCTTCTCGCCTTTCTTTTAAGGGTGTGTCATATAATTAAATGTCAAATAATTATTATAAGTGATTATTTTTAATTATAGTTGATGTGTTATTTTTATCTTAGTGTTGTTTTCCTACTTTCAACTTTCAATTTCTAAGTTGTTTTATGGCAGAGGAATGTTGTCGTCACGCTTTTGACATATTCTTTTTCAAAATCGAGTAAAAAACTAAGTTGGTATTAACTTTTTTTGGTAAGAAAGAAAATAAAAAAGCAAACTATAAAACATGTAAACTATATAGAAATTTCATCTGAAAGCTTATATATTAAGTTGATATTATGAGTAACCTGAATATATATATATATATATATATATATATATATAAAACGAAGGTTAACATAAGTTTTAGTCCAATAACGAACAAAGTCTTCAAACGAGAGTATTAAAAAACGTTGTACTCGTATTGTTGGTCTAGGCAGAAAAATTTTAATACAATTTCAAAATATATTACAGAAAGAGAAAAATGTCAATAGGAGTCATTGCATCTTATCATATTTTGAGAATAATGATAGATTTATACTTTTGTTTAATTGAATAAATTGACAGTATAAAAAAATTAAATACTTTTATTTAATTATAAATTGTCTTATAAATAATATATACAACATATTTTATTTAATTGGCAATGTAAATGTTTATATTAATAATATACTAAAATTTAATATTGTATATATAAGGAAATAAAATAAATAATATATTTACATTTTTTATTGTGTAACTAAATAAAAATACATGAGATAAAAAATAAAAATGTGAGTTATATACATAAAATGATTAACTCTTGAAATGAATTATAAAATATGCATTGAAGAGTGGGAGTGTTTTATTATTTTTTTAGATTTATCTCTAAGTGATATATGTGTAAAGTACGAAAGTGATAAAATATCTACTATTAATTATAAATTATTTTTATTTATAAAATGTTATAATTTAAATTAAGGTAGACAGAGTCTCACCTTTTTTATTTTATTCTTTTTTTTTTTACTTTAGAGAAATTTAATATTTTTTAGTTATACTTGTTTAAGAGTAAAACTAATTATTTTATCTTTAAAATAATAATAATAATAATATATCAAAAACATATAATAAAAACTATATTTTAAAGTTAAATTTATTTTTTATTTGATGTAACTAATTTTGTAACATTTATTTATTCATTTGTTTATACATATCCTTCTTTATTTTTCATTTACTTTTCATCTAGACATAGTGCTAGGGAGTGGGATTAGACTCAAACGTTTCTACCAAGTTATTTTTTTAAAATATTATATATAGGCTTTAATTTTAAAAAATGTTGCTGGGTTTGTTGGTCATCATGACATAATAGCTTTTTGTGGTGAAGCTTTTAGAGATGCAATGAGTGCATAATTGATTGACTTTGTTAGGAACCCTAGTTACATAGAAGTTTATATTCTTTTACCCGTAAAGTAGAGGTTTTTTATTTAAATATTGTAAATTTAAAAATAAATTTTAATTTATTAATTTTTTTAAACTATTTTTCTGTTTAGGATAAATCAGTTCACATATTAATAATTTTGCTAAAATGATTGGCAAAAATGTTAATTTTTTAAAAAAAATTGTCACCAAAAGTGTGACATAACTAAATCGTAACACATGTCAATATCAATATGATTTTATAATATGATTAGCAAAATTAAGAGTTAGTTTTGCAATAGATAACGTGAAACTTTTAGATGGTGACAGTCTCACGATCTGAATGAGTTTCATTATAAAATTTGCACAACTTACAAGGATCTGACATGTAGCATAATTTTGGCTCACTATGCAAATAATTTGACAAAACTTTTACATTATATATCTTCTCACCCACTCGCACTATATATATTTTCTCATTTGCTCACACTATATATAAAATAAATGAACTAAAACTAACTTTGTAATACTCTTAAACTTGTTTTTATTGAATGAAAATAAGTACGTAAAAAGATATATAGTGTAAAAGTTTCACTATATCATTTGTACAATGGGCCAAAATCATGCTACTTGTCAGATCCAACAAGTTGTGTGATTTTTATGATGAAGCTCACTTGAATCGTGACAAATGTCATCATTTATAAGTTTCACGTTGTTTATGGTAAAAATAACTCTTAATTTTGTCAATTATATTATAAAATTATACTGATGTTGACATGTATTATGATATATTGTATTTTTAGTAGCAATTTTTTTTTTAAAAAATTCAATATTTTTATTAACTATTTTAGCAAAACTATTGTCATGTAAACAAATTTACCCCAGATAAAATAATAGTTTCAAAAATTAACAAATTAATAGTTTTTTTAAAATTTGTAATATTTAAATAAAAAATTATAAAATTATACTGATGTTGACGTGTTATGATATATTGTACTTTTGATAACAAAATTTATTTGTTTAAAAAATTAACATTTTTATCAACTATTTTAGCGAAGCTATTGCATGTAAACAGATTTACTTCAGATAAAATAATAATTTCAAAAATTAACAAATTAATAATTTATTTTTAAATTTATAATATTTAAATAAAAAAGCCTAGAGTAGGAGAATATTTATTTTAAAATATACATAGGCCGTTAATATTTCACTAATTTTAATCAGGATAACTATACCCTATTTTATATTATAAATAATTAGTACAATAATTATATCTCACACTTATTATTCTTTTCTTCACCTATCATTTTTTTAAAATTAAAAAAAAAGATGAAGTATATATAAATAATAATTTTTTTTTGCTATATTAAATAACAGTATTTTAGTTAAAATATAATAAAATTGTATATCAATTAAGAAAAATAACTTGTGTACATTGCTTTGAACAATAAAAGATGTCAAATAGAGAAAATATTTTTTATTAAAAACATTTAATTAACTTATAAGTTTATATATACTTGGCACTGCACCGCTGGAGGGTAATACGGTAATTTAGTGTGACAGGGGTATGCAACCGAGCACCAGCTACGGCGGAACTGAAATTAATTTGTGCCAACGGTAAAGCTTCGTTGGCTTCATCTCCACCACCCACGTGTCCCTTCTTAATCCATTCCTTTCTTTATAAATCTTCCATTCCCTCCTAACTCCTTGGAAAGATCAACGTCCTTTTAATATTTCTGTTCCTTCCACCAAATTGACCTTTCAGAACCATTTTCAATACACATTTTAAATACATTCTTAATTATTAATTACATTTTATATTATAAATTATAAAAATTTCACTCTTATTTTAATTTAATATTTTAATACTTTTATCCAATTATAATATATCAATACAAAATAGTTATTTCTTATTAATTTGATTTCTTGTAAATAAATAGATTTGTGATTTATAATAACTAATTTTCTTCCAATATTGACTTATTAACTAGTTGATTCATCTATTTAGGTTTTTATGTTTCGTTTTCTTCGTTTAGAAGCAATAAGTATCTTTGACATCAGACGAGTTTATAAATAGTCTCAAGTAAGATAAAATTTAAATCTTTATAATTTTAAAATCTGTAAAATAATTTATCTTTTCCTTAAATTAAAAGAGATAACTCTTATTTATCATGATAAAACACGTAACCTGGATAAATTACCACAATATTTGCTCAAAACGAAATTATAATTATATATTAAATTTGAATAATCGTATCTAAGAATGATGATGCCCTTTTTCATTTGTCCAAAAGAACGCTTATTTTTTCAGTTTGTCATGTGACTTTTTTCATATTTAAGCATTTATATATATGACTTTTTATTCAATTGTATACATCTTATTATTTATAGTATATATTCGTGATTCCCTTCTTAAATTTTAAATCTTATCCCTATAATTTATTTGTATATAATAAAATACATTCCTTAATCTCCACAATATTTATAGCTGTTTTTATTTTTTATTGGTTATCAATTATTTGACAGCTGTAGTATACTAGTATTTGTCCTCTCTCTGTTTTTAATTTAGATTTTATTTGTATCTAAATCTTAAAATACTCGCATGATACATTGAGAAATTATTAGTATATGAGAGTTAATTATTAGTTTCACTCTCACTTTTTTTTTTAATCCATACTTGCACATATTTTCTTCTTCAAATATCGGAGGTCATAATGTAATTTTTAAGTTTAAAAAATTCAACACTAATTTTAGTTAAATATTTTAAAATATAACTTTAAAATATTAAAAATAAAAAGACATTTAATGTTCAAAACTTTTTTTAATAAGATATATAAAATTTTTAATAAGATATCACAAACTTAACGTTTGAAAATATAAATTTTATAAATAAAACAAAAGAAGTAAAGAGTTTCAGTTTATTTATTTTTTTATTAAATAAAATATAAATTATATTTTAAATTTAAATTTATTTTAATTTATAAATAGCATTGAAATTTCACAGATTTTTTTAGATTGACAATGAAATGTCACGTTCTTAAAAAAGTTTTAAGTTATTATTATTATTATTATTATTATTTTATATATGATATGTGATAATTTTGTACTAATAATATTAAATATTAACGATTAAATAATTTTAAAATTATTTTAATATATAAATTTTAATACATTATATAAAATCGATAAAAAAAAAACTAGCTCGATGTTTGGAAACGAGAAAAAGGTAATTTGAATGGAAAAAAAAGGAAAGTATAGTTGCCGCGTAATAAGTATTTTATCGTTATTCCATTATTACCCCCAAATGCTCACATTCTCTTTATATATGAGCCGTCAAACCCGCCCAAAAAACGCCACCTTCAATTTTCTCTCCCTTTCTCCTCCTATTTTCCCAGAAAATACCCATCAACATTTTCTGGATAGCCAAACACGCACAATATGAAGAAATCCGGCCTCCTCGCTGCCTCCGTTGCCGCCGCATCGGCAACCGCCATCTCCGCTTCCTCCTCCGCGCAGGTTTCTCTTCAGGTATTTGTCTCCAATCCATTAATTCTGCTCCGTTTTCGTCAATATTCTGCTTCAACCAATGGGGATCTGAGACTCATCGCGCGAAATCAATCATTTTTCCACCGGATGCGGTTTTTTTCGGTGAAATTGACGTTTGCGTTTTGATTTTGCAGGAGGGTGGGACTCACAGAGGCCACGGTAGTTCTTCACCGGGGGCGAGTTCGGGTTCGGCGGAGAAATTCGCGCCGAGATTCGATGGGTTGCGGTTCATTGAAACGCTGGTTACAGCTCACAGATGAAAGCTCGTCGCCGAAACGCGCTTTTCGGTTTTGCCCTTTCGTTTTGTTACTTTTAATCTTGTGCTGTCTAGAAAATTGGGGGAGAAATGACATGGGTTTTTTTAGGAAGAGAGGAATTGAGAGAGAATTTGTAATATTACGGGAATCTTATGAATTATGATGTTTTCTTGGTAGTTTATTATGACATGTGTTATGAGAATTGTGACTATTTTTCTTAATTTTTGAAGGAAATAAGAAAAAAAATATATTTTATTTTTCTTTTTGCAATGCAATATGCATGTTTGTGTCATTGTGTGGGTTGGGGGGCTTCTTATTTATTTAAAAAAAACATTTATTTTGTGTTTGGCAAATTTTCGTCCTTGATTTGGAGGAAAAACATGTTGGGGGCCTATCTCAGGCAGTTTGTGTAGATGGGAATTGTTTTGGTGTGGAGGGTGGGCCTATAATCAGTGTATCCTTTGATCAATGCGTAGTTTGCACTTTGCAAGATGAGGAATAAAATTGTTTTTTATGATTAAATTAAACAAAGTATAGAGAGCAAGGAAGGATATAAGAGTTTAAAAGCCATCATTTTGATAATTTTTAATTTTTTTAGTTTCAAATTTTATATTTTTTTATCTTATTTTCTACTCGTACAAACATTTTGCATTTTTAAAAAGAATCTTCCTTCTTAAAAATGCAAACAAACGAATCCTTAATTTTGAGGTTTGGTTGGATGAGGGTACATGAAAAAGACCAGGTTTCATCCTTGATTAAGGTAAGAAGATAGTAAAATAATGGAACAAATGTTGAAAATGGAAAGTATAAAACCTGAAATAGAAGGAGATACAGGAAAAAAAAAAATGAAGATGGGAAAAAGTTATTTTTGCTGTTTCTAAAATTGTTTTAATAAATTAATTTAGTCTCTAATATTATTAAGTTAATTAATTTATTCCTAAACTTGATGATCATCATTAATTTGGCTCTTGGGTTGAAAATGATGAGTCAATTTGGTCTTTTGACGTTTGAGATCAAATTAAGTTATATAAATCAAAGTTAAGGATCAAAATTGAGTATAAAAAAGTTTTGGTTAGAGAAAAATATTGTTTTCAATGATTTTTATATTGAAAGAGAATAGTCTTTAATTTCGAGGGAAGGATACTTTGATGCACATAAAGGTTAAAGATAAAATGACTGACGATTAAGAGTGTATTTTATCTACTATATCAAAGTTAATGATCAAAATCTTTGATGAGAGTGTTTATTATCATTTTTATTCAAATTATTATTATTCAACTAATAAAAAGTATTTTATATAAAAACTATTTAAAAAAAGTTCACAATAGACATTTTAAAATGACAATGAATTAATTCATCCTTAATAATCATAATTTAATGAAGTATATAATTAATAACTTTTAAATAATATCTTATGTTATAAATTTAATCATAAAATTTATTAAAATAAACTAATTTTTTTAAATTAATTGAATTTTTTTTTAAAAAGCATAACATAACATATTTTATTAAAGAAGCCATTAAATTTTACAATATATATATATATATATATATTTAAAATTCTTCCATTGTATTTGTTTACATATTTTTAAAATTTTTTATTTATGTTATAATTTCTTTTTCTGAGAATTTGTGCTTTTTAATATTTTGAATTTTTATTAATTATTAACCTTAAATATTTTAGTAGTATGAAAACAATTAAATATTACATGTAAAAACCTTTAAACTCAATAAATTTTATGTAAATAAAAAATATTAATAATACTATAGGAATATAGGTTTTTTTAATTTAATATTACTATATGATAACATGCTTTTTTAATTTGTTAAAATCAATGTATTTTTAATAATAGTTTATTTATTTTAAAAAAATAAGTACTAAAATATTTTAAAATTAAAGTTTACAAGATTAAAAGCATACAAAAATATATACTTAAAAATAATTAAATAATAAATTAATATATATACACACACCGTGAAGGTACATTCACTTGAGAGAGTGGCACATAGAATATTCGATCCGTAATTCCGTAAACCGATAACTTGTGATCAACGCCATCTGATACCTTTTTTTCACACGTCTGATAATTAATTCAAATGCACTAATGGAGTAAAGTAGTTTTATATTATTACTTAAAGAATTTATTAAACGACATGATCGAATAACAAATTATTAAAAATAGTGTTGTGAAAGAGCTTAATATAAAAGGTATTAAATAATGTGTATAAAACACTTAATACAACAAAAGTTATTAAATATTTTTCATTTATTTTTTAAAATAATTTTCTCCCAATTTTTTTATTCCTCAAAATAGCGAATCAAAACACTTCCAGAATTTTAATTTTTTTTAATTGAGATATTTTTCATATGAGACAATTCCATTTCAACTAATAAAATTACTATTAATTTTTTCTCCAATTAAAAAGTCAGACAGGTTAATTCACACACTTAGTAATAATAAGCTCTTATTTTAAACAACTAAATCATTCAAATAGTTAACAAATTACATAAACTAATAGACATAATTGATTTTATAAAATACATTTAAAATAAATATTTTTTTAATTATCATAAATCGCTAATTACAACAAGCATTACTATATTTTTTAAGTTAATAAAATTTAAAAATAAAATAAAGTCTAAATTTATTTTGACATACAAAATAATTAAAGTTTTCTTTAAAAGTTTGTCACGACTCCTTTTATAAAGAACCGATAATATTATTCTACACTACTTACTTATTTAAGATAGGTGAATAATGAAGAATATAAATATAAAATTCACTTTTCATTCAAAATAAATAAAGTTTCTTATAACAAATATCCAACAGAACAACATAATATTACATTTAGTTCATAATACTCAAAATACATAAAAAATTATACTACATAACTCTCTTTATATAATATCTCAAAATATATAAAAAAAACTTTAATGCAAAATTACTCAACTCCAACATTCTAACACTTTTCTATTGGCCATTCAGCTTATGAAGTAGATGCAACACTTGTTACCTTTACTCACGTATTACCATATGATTATTGCAATACACACATATACAAAAGCATAAACAGAAATGCAATGATGAACTTACAAAAAAAAATCATATATATATATATATATATATATTACTTATAGCAACAACTTCATACATTCTCAGTCTATTTAATGCACAATATGAAAATGGTTCTAACTGGTTTCACAGCCTAAGTAATCAAGAAGGAATCAAGCTAGTTTGAGAGTAACCCATTTTAGTATCTGGATCTAGACAATATAGCATAACACAGCTTAACATGCTCTATTGTTACACGTCAACCCACTTAAATATGTAACTCGACTCTATAATGATACAAGACATATATCTTAGTATAATGTAGCACAGACAAAATCATATTCTTAACAATTCTACTAAAATAATTCATAATATTTTAGCATTTTAAATCAATTAACAACAGTTATAGCTTAAAAAATAGCTTTTATCTAAGAGATCTGATAACATCATCTCAAAACTTCTTGTAATAACATACCAAATTATTTCAAACATCGTTTGATAGTTAAAGTAAGCTTCTCTTACCTTAAAACATCGATTAATACCAGATCTACTGAATATTACTTGTTTTAAGGTAAGATCCACTGAAAATTTAGCTCTACAACAAAGTTTCTCTTAAAATATCATCAATTATCTATAAGAAAGAGAAGAAGAAAAGAAAAAAAATAGTAAATCTAACTTCAAAACTATAGAAACTTACTTCAAATCCTTCAAAATAGAAGTAGAATCTCAAATCTGATGAGAAATCTAAGTTTAGGAAGGTTTAATATTAGAGAATGGTAGTATATGGTATTAGATCTCTCTAGAATTTTTGAGAAGTATAAAGAAATAAAAATTTCGTGCAAGGCCCTCTATATATAGGCAAAATTTTGAAAAAACTTTTTTTTAATACAATTCACGCCGTATTTACTTTAGCATTGACTTATGGTTCAACCATATTTACTGTTCCTACCGATTTTACTATTTATTTATTTTTAATAATTTTAAACTCTGTCTAAATCTATTCCAATATCAAATAATTCTTTAATTAACATTTAATAAATACAAAACATTATAAATTACTCAATAATAAATTATAGACTTGTTGATTATTAAAAAAAAAAAAGAAGAAGAAAAGATTTATATGATGTTTAATTATATTTAAATTTTTTTAAATAAAATGAGAATGATTTACAAATACTTTAAAACTTTTTTACTATCATGTTTTAAGTTTTCTTAAGTCATGAGGTATGTATTAACTCTATTGCTCCTCTCTTTTTTTTTTCTCTTTTATCTGTTAAACTCTTTTTTTTTTTTCTGTTTCCAAATTTCAAACAAAGCTTAAAAAAATTATATTGAATAAAATTTAAAAGATTGCATTAACTTTTAATTTAAAATTTAAAACTAAATTAAATAAAAAAATTTTAAAAAATATGCACTAAAATTCAAATATAATTTTTTTTGGGTCTCTTTGATTTACTTTAACTTCCAAACACAAGCTAACTCAACAATGGCCGTCTCTACCTTGAACAAGAATTATAGAACAACAATAGGAATATGCAACATTCGCCACTAGTATGAAGACTAAGTGCACAACCTTTTACTTTTCTACAACACTTTAGGACGAAGGGTAACAATCTCATCCATTGATATAGTAATACTCACTAATAATTAACTTGGGATCAGAGTAATATCGTCCTAATTATTTCTGTTGAACTCACTAAGAAAGAAAAAAGAAAGAATTTTGAGATTATGTCAACTTTAACTGATAGGATTTGCTTTTATTTGACATGGCAATTATTGTTGCTTACAGTTTGATCTTATCAAATGAAGTATGGGTTTATTCCCCCACAAGAGATGATGCGTGGAGAAGGCACCGAAAATTTGATATTTCAAAGAATTCGTCATCAACTTTTTAGGCGATTGAGATGTTACTCCATCATTTGCTGTTTCTTGTGATGCGGGAATTTCCTGAATCCCATTCCATGCTTTTTGATATTTACAACATTGTACTAATCACTTTTGTCATTGGTGTTTTAGGTGCTTCCATCCATTAGCATAAAGCGTATGATTTAACAAGTTTTGGATGGGAATGCATATCGCTTCCACGTCCCTGAAGAGATTTTGTCTGTGGTAGATTTTACATAAAGGTTGGAAGTGTTCACAAAATTGTCATGGCAGGTGAAACTTCCTTAAAGAATCCAACATACAAACATATTGGTTAAGGTTTATTTGGATTTGGTCAATTAAGGAAACTCTTGAAAAAAGATTTCAATGGCCAATTTTTATTTTATCAGTTTTTTTTTATTTGGTCATGTGTTATAAAATTTTTGTTCTTTTTTATCTATTACTTTAGAAGTTTAAGGATTTTTTATTTTTACTTTTCCTGTACTATGCTTTTCTCATTTACAATTTATTTTTTACATGTTTACCATAAGATAGATAATTAATTATTACGAAGTCTAAAAAATTATAAAATCAAATCACAAATCTCTTTGTACCTTACTTATATTAATCCATAAAATATATTTTATTGGAGAGAGCGATATTAGAGAATAAAAAATGAGTAGAATTAATAAATAAAAGAATTTAATTAATTGAAGCAAAAAGAGAAACTAAAAATAAGAGTAATTTGAATTAAAACATTAATTAATTCTCATAAATTCTGAGAAGTGATCTTAAGACGGATGCAAAGAAATCTAGGGAGTATATTCTTAGAACTAGTTAATGGCCACGTGAAGCTAGTTTACATGATGATTGGTGGATGGCTCGTTTACTCAGCTTCATTATATTAATTACTATATTATATTAAGTTTGATAATTGTGTAATGCAGACTCAATTTTCATGTTTTAAGCTTTATTTTAATCACTTAACAGCCTTAAATTGATAATTTCTGCTAAAATGGGTACTAAAATACAGGGAAAAATATTTTTACATGTTCATAATGTTATTTAAGGTATTTACATTTTATAAAATCCGAAATATTTTATTTTTTAAACCAGCTACTATGGTTTACTTACTTTATTTGTATAAGGGTATTGAAATTGTTTTGTAACCTTCATAATCCGTACAAAAATTTAAGTAAAAGAATATTATACCCAAAATGTAGTCATATGCAAAATTTAATAGGTACAGTTATCTCTAGTCAATAGTAATCACCAAGATTCACCACTTGGTGCTCAATTGTTTATTTATTTGCTGAACTATAGCCATCATCTAATTAAAACTACTTGCAATTTTCATCATTCTTATCGATCGTTCTGAGACAATTTAATATGATGTTTTAGTCAAATTAGTCGATAAACGTGGGTGAGATGCATATTTCATACCACACTAATTTTCCAAGTGGGAGCCCCGCTTTTCTTTCAATTTGCCTTCTTGATGCTCGTGCATGCTACATCAGGTAATCAGCACATGACAAATCGTAACCCCACCTTAGATCATCATCTTTTTGAAGGTGATGTTATTCATGGGCCAATCAATTGTTGATTCATAAATTAATGATATACAACTAATTTTTCACTTTCACCCACTTATTTAATTTAAAATTTCAGGAAAATTGATTGGTTATATAAACTTTTAAAATAGTCTGGTAATAATAATGCAATATTTTACCTTAAATTCTTGATACGTCATCTATAATTGTGATAAAAAAGAAGAAAAAAAAAATAAGTTGGAGCACTATTCCTTCAATACTTCAAGTTTTTAGTCCTTAATTTTCTTATGGATATGAGTTGGTGCTTAAATTTATAACAAAATTTGCGTTAAAATAACCCTTCGTACAAACTAGTTAATAAATGAAATCATACAAGGACAAACATATTACAGATGTTATAAATCTAAGGAGTAACTCGTGTGTACAAACAAATTCCGATACTATAAATCTAAGAATAAAATGTACTTATTTTTCCTGATAATTTTTTTTTTTCCTGGAACCTTAACAGAGGTGTACCATCCAAGCAAGCCAGAGTGATGGGCAAAAGACCACATTTTGTAATTTAACTCAGATAAACTTATCAATAAATATTAATAAGAAAAAAAGAAATAAAATAAAATAAAATAAATTAAAATATTTACATAAATTAAAATGAATATATTCAATTCACCCTTTTTAAAAATGTCTCATTTAACTCTTTTTTTTTTTCAAAAATAAATTGTATAAATTTTAATTTTAAAGAAAGATTTGATTTACTGTACAATACTTTATTCCATTATATATAAAAAGTTAATCTAAACTGAACCTTTATATCCATCAAGAGAAAGGGAAAAATAAAATGATAAACTGTAATAATATACTTTTCTGGGCAATCTTGATCAAGAACATAAGAAAATTCCAGTATCACATGAAAGCTGGATCCTCAGACTGCTGAGGAAAATTGATTAAATTTTTTTCTTCACATTTTGAGCCTCAGAAGAAACTGAAGAAGAAGGCAAAGAAAGCAGCAGAGGTAACGAGGAACAAAGAGTGAGGAGCAGAAACATGACTGGTGTTAGAAGGGTGGTCAGAAGTATTGGTTGGTTTTACATCGCTGCAGTCAAGACCTTTAGTCCCTTCTTTGCACTCATTAGCAAAGAGGCCAGGAGGGTATTTGCCATAGATGTTTATGTAGCTAAACATAACGGAAGCACAATCAGTTGTCATGTCATTAATGTCATCTGAAAAAGGGCAAGCAAATTGCTTGAATGCCTCACAGCAAACCTTTGGTGGGTATTGGGGTCCCTTGCATTGACTTGTCAGGATTGTGAAGTTCTGGTGCTCAAAGTCAACTCCACATGCTGCACATTTTTACACATAACTTTTCCCTTGTTATTACCGCAATCATTAAAAGTTAGAAGAGGGAATACATAAAACCATATATGAATGGCTTATTAATTAAAAATTATTTAATGTAGATGTTAGATATATAAAGCTCTCACCAATTAAGGTTAAGGTTCTAGGATACAATTTCTAAATTCATTTTCCTCTTAATTGATATGTTTTGATTAATAAATTTAAAAAATAATTGTGCTTATTAATACTTTAAAGACATCAGTTAAGAAATTAATACATAACAAATTTATTAAAAACTACATTAAGAATGACAAGAGTGTATTGTCATAGTTTTGAAAGCTTTTTTATTTCTTAAATCCTTAAATAACCGATTAACATTTATCTTGAGAAAGTATACATTATATTAATTCTGTTTTTTGACTTCTGTAATAAAAAAAAATGAAAGTAAGATGATGATAAAAGAAAAAAACTCAATACTCCCGTAAATTGCATCGCTTTTCCATTCCCATATTAAAAGAGTTAAAGAGGATTGTAAAAGTAAGTTTGCGTGGCTAATGGGTCCCAAGTGTACATGTACATCTATTCTGATAAGTGGCATTGTCATCAATGACAAAGCATTAGTATGACATAGATGAGATATGCCTGCACTTAAACTTTTCTACTTTATTAGAGATCAAAATAAACATATCAAATGGCTCCCTCAAATGTCAGTAAAACCTTTTCTTTTTTTTTCAAAAAGAAAAATATAATGATATTTGCCACTATTTTTATTGGCAGCTTTTTTACTTCGAATACTTATATAAGCATGATAGAAATTTTAAGGACGGAATAATTAGTTTATATAAGTAATACTAGTAATACATTTTTTTATAATTTCTAATAGATTTTAATTAACAATAAAAAATGTATTACAAGAATTATGTTAAAAAGTGTATTGTTAGTATCACTCCAGTTTATATATAATGAATTCATATGACTAAATATAGCTTAAAAAATGTTTTGAGTTTATAATAATAAGGTAGTGCTGTTCTTGAGGGTAGTTAATGAAACTTTTTCTACTCTACGATAGAGTTTAACTTTGATAAATCTATTTTCAAGTAAGAAACTAAGAAAAAGAAAAAAATTTGAGGAGGGCAAAAGGAAAAATATAGAAAAGGATATTGGAAGAGGAGTTAAACTATTTTTCACTTTAACGATTAAAGTAAAAAAAAATGACATAAAAGAGCTGAAGATTAAGAATAAGTAATTCGATGGACTAAGAACAATTTCCTTGTTTTTTCTTACCTATGAATACCAACCTTTGCATAAACCATTGTCTTCTAGCAAGGGGGTCGTTTATTGGCCAACATCCCTTCTTCTTTTTATTTTACTTATACACAATTTTATATGAAAAGAATAAGACATAACGTGGAAGTTTGATTTTTCTTTTCTTGATGCAAATAATTTGATTTTGAAGATTTGGAATATGGCTTTCCCAAAATTTTCTTTTCGGCAAATAATTGTCGTTGTCAATGTCTTGGAGATCACCCATATATTAAGAAAATGAATAAGAAGCATATGTCACTCATTGCGTCCTAGCAAGGGGTCATCAATGGGCCAGTTCTATATTCTTTTTATGTACAATTTTAAACTAAAAGAATGAGAAATAACATGAACGATGATTTGTTAACAATATATGATTTGGAAGATTTAGTACATGGCTTCCAAAATATTTTTTAAAAATAATTCTCGTAGTTAGTCCTCCTCCTACTTATCATCCACATGAATAAATTATGACACCCCTTTATTCCTTTTTTCCGAAATGAACTTGATAAATTTTGACACCTTTTTAGAGATACGATCTACTTATTACATAACAGAGAATTATGATGCACATATTTGCTTGCACTTGGCTAGAGCAATAAATTAAACCAGGTTCAAAGGAATTAACTTGATTTCAAGGTACTTTTCCACATTTGAATTGAAAGGAAGCCCATTGCAGATGTATAAACAACACAAGGATTTAAACAGGAGGGCAGAAAAAAATGTTACCTTTCTTAGCTTGCAGGAGGGCACGGCCAGTAGATACCCCAGAATCAAATATTTCATCTGTGTTAACAAAAATTCAAGCACATGAACACAATTTTAACAAATTTGAATATATGTTGAATGTGACACATTTTATGATTGAAAAAAGTTGGAGCTTGGAATAAAAGAATGTACCAGAAAGGAAAGGGGCAGCGGAGGCCAATGTGGCTAAGAGGAAAACACAGAGAATGGAAGAGAAGAAGGCATTTGAACCCATTTTCTCTTTCACCCTCACCCTTTTGTTTTCAATTTTTATTTTTTCCTTAGGGGTATGTTTCTTTTCTGGTTTTGGAGAGATGAAGAGAGAGAGGACAGAGTGACATTGCAGGAATTGTGGTGGAAATGAAGCGTGTTGTTAGGCTGGCAATGTTCCAATGGCTCTCCTTGCGTTCCTTGGCTATGGTTAATGGTACTTTTGTAATATATTGTTCCCCCTTTCATAGTTGTTATATAATATGCCTTTTTTACTATAATTGATCCTTCTTATAACCCATCACCCTGATAAACACCTCGTTTTATAAAATTATTTTGTCACAGTTCAATTTCTTGGTCAGTTTTAACTTAGCCTTATATATTTAGTTTATAAGGAGATAGAATTGCTAGACCACTTCTTAATAATAATAATAATATTATTGTTATTAATTACTATTATTTGATTTGAGGTAATATACTTAAACACAATTCTCAAGGCTGCTTAATAGTCATTAACTATCTCAAACCATTATTGCATATTACGTGTATCCACATATTACTAATGAGATAAGTAATTTATTTCTTGCTGTTATCTTACTGGTGCAAAAATTAACTTGAATGTTGAAATACCCTGTACTTTCTCGTTTCATCATCAACTTTATGTACCAGGCTAGCAATATTATCTTCTTTTGGGCCTATTAAGGGCTGGGCAGCGGTCGGGCATGGGTGGGTTTGGGTTAAAAACATAAAACTGAAACAATATAATTTTTAATAATTTTAATCGTTTTTGTCAGAAAATTTATATGAGCTAGTCGATGGTGACGGATATATCGAGTTAAACGTATCGGATTAGGCGAGTAACTGATTTCGTGGAGTATTCACTTCTTCGAAGCTGGATGATGCAATAACTCAACTATGTTATGGTATTGCAGTCTGTATATAGATCAGACAAACAAATCTGGAGCTTGTTTGCGTTAGTCTTTTATAACGTTTGCACCGTATTATTCTAGATATTGGATTAAATTATAGAAAAATAAAATAAAAATAAAATTAATTAATCAAATTCAGTTATTTATAAATAAGTAATCTTCATCTAACTCTGACCAAATAAATTCATATAGGATTGAATTTATGATTTTATTCAACCGAAAATTTAAGACAAATCGTTTAATTTTGTAAAAAAAATTTTCAATTTAAACAGGTAGAACTACGTCGTCGGTTTATGCTTACCCCTAAATTATTGGGCTCATTGAAGTGACACTACGTCGTCATCATCATCATTGACATAAAGATTGGCTGGGAGTAATAATTATACACACCCAATGATTTGGCTAATACAATAATTTCTCAGTTTCTCGTAGTACCCAATTAGAATTATATCAAGAAAATTCAAGTCTAAACTGAAACAAAGGAAGGAGAAAGCTTAACAGAATTTACCAGAAGAACCTTTATAGTTCTATTCTCATACCTGGCAATTTAGTTCTAAGCTTATATTATGAATAATTGCACACTGTGTATGTATCTAGTTTTCCCGGTCCGTGTTCAACTGGTAAATCCTAAAACAAGACTTTGAAATCATATAATTTCCTTGTTTGAAAGTAATAAATGTTTTTGCATAAATACTCCAATAAACGATGCAGCTAGGATGCTAGCAGTGGATTAACTATACATAGCTTCTGAGTGCATTCAAATTTCGAAATCCTTACAATCCAGAACGTGTATGATCACTAAGATTATTTGTAAATCAGTAAAGAAAAATACATCAATTAATAATATAATGTTAAAAAAACACCACCTTTTCTGGTGTGAATTCATAATTTGTAAGTTGTTCCAGGGCAGAGGATAAGATTAAGGGCACCGAATCTGACTTTTTCCTGGGCCAAAGCAATTATGAGCCACTTCGAATAAATGTTTCGATAACAACTTACAAAAGAAAAAATAAGTGGAATTAATGCACGATTGTACGTCCATTAGAAAAAGGATAACATATGTAAGGAAAAGACGACTTTTCTCCAATTTATAGAGCTTAACATTCTTGCATTAAAAAAAATACCTTAACTGTGCGGTTTTATAGTTAAAAATTCCATAAACTAAAAGGTGATTCAAAGCCTAAATGTGAATAATCGAGTTCAAATGTTTAACAAACTTAGAAAATGTAGATCAAACATACCAGAACTATTAAATTAAATCACACTATCATTTTTGACACAAATAGAAATAGTAGATACTTGTCACAGTAGCTTTCTAATGTTGTTTTCTCATACACAAAGGGGAACTGCAACAGATAAACCTTAGGATACGATGCATATGCAATCAAAATCTTATTCTGGGAGCTGACTTAACTTTTGAACACATAAAATGGATAATATTCTGAGATTAAATGCACCATCACGTTTCGTTAATATCTTGTTCTAACCTCGTTAATATCTTTTTATCTGCAACTATTAAGTAATTAAGTTTATGTTTTTGAAAATAATTATTTTTTTAAGTTATATTAGAAAGATAATGAAAATAAAGATGATATCTTTAAAATGAGCTAAATCGAACCCACGAAATTGAAGCTTGCTGCTGTTTATATGATCGGTGGGCTGTATTCCAGATTCCTCCTGACTTAATAGACTGTATTTGGACAAACATTATTGGCTTAAAATTGAATTTGCAGTATATTCATTTACATTTTGATACTCATAAACGCAAGTTTATTCTAAAATTTTGCATAAAATTCCCAACCCAATGAAAGAAATTATATATATATATATATATATATATATATATATATATATATATATAAAAGAAAGATCTTCATTAATATAAATTTAAAAATTCTTACATTTAACTTAAATCTTTTATTTAATTTAAATCTAATAATTTAGTAAAATAATAAATTATAATACGTTAAATTTAAGTTAAATAAAAAATTTAAATTAAATATTTTTAGTTTTTCTTAAACATAATTGATTCTGTTTTTAAATTTATATCTTTGAGTTAATGTGATAAATTATATATATTTTTATGTTGAATCAAAAAATTATACTAAATTCACTGTAAACTTACTTTTAAGATAAAAATTTACAACCATATAATAAGTACATCACTTCATAAAAATATCAATTCTATAAAATTAAATTGATTCAACGTTAAATTTATAAATGCTAGTCAAATCCGTTTTTCGCAGTAGCAAAATTGACAGAAAACTGTAACAATTTTTTTCTTTTTTAGTAAAATAATGTTTTGCGGAACATAACGTTGGGTGTGGCTTAGTGCAACATTGTTACGCGGGCCAATGTCCCTATTTTTGGTCAACCAATCAATGTCCATTTATTTTTCATTCAATGTGTGATGGGTTTATATGGAGCCAGCTGTTTACAGGCATAATTAATTAACAAAAACTCTCGATAATGTTTAACTTATCTTTCATTGTTTTTTCTATCACATGGATCATGATTCTCTCATGTCTTTATCTCACTTACGTATCAAATGCATAATTTAACCATTCAAATTTATTAACATATATTATTTAATAATTATCCACAATTAAACTTGCGGTTCATTCTAATAAGGATATGGTTAGAGACATTAAATGACATGTGAATTATTTGGAAAAATTGGTGGCTGTTTCTATGTCTTCCCTACCAAGATATAATTTAATCTTCTTTCATTGGGAATTATTCCCACCTACGTTTCATTATCCCTTAAAGCATTAGTAGTATTTGATTTTCAAAATCTTTTAATTTTTTTGTGAATGATACTTAAATTTTTTTTTTACCCATAGTATAAGATATAAAAAATTATTTTCAGAAATATAAAATTTTTGAAAACCTTAAATTGTAAATAAATTAATTTTTTTATTTTTTCACCTTAATAGATAGGTATTTTAAACTTTTCTAGAAATTTAAAATTTTTGAATAAAAACATTTTTTTACTCTATTTTACTTTACTAATTTTTAAATTATTTTTTTACTCTCTCTTCTCTCTGCTTTACTTATCTTCTTTAGTGTTTTTCTCTATAATTTTTCTGCTCTTACTCTTTAATAAACATGTACTCTTATTTTTATTTATTTTGCTCTCTTAATTATCATCATTTATCTATATTACTTTATTCTTTCTTTAATTATTTTTTTTATTGATTTACCTGTTGTTATTATTTAAAAATCTTTATATGACTTATATTTAAGTTAAAAATATTTTTATGAAAGTAATAATATTTTTAAAAAAAATTACTTAATAAATAAATATAAATAACAAATTATTCAAAAAATACATTCTAAAAAATTTCACTTAAAAAAATTTCGGATATCAAACACCAGTTACCATCTCTCCAGAGTATGATTTATCAAATAGGTCCAAAGCTTGTGTGTTGGGTGCATCAGTAGTCAGTCTTATTACTATCAGCCGATAGTGACTAGGCTATTACACAATTCGAAACATTTGCAGCTACCATGGATATAGATCCATTGTTATCTGTTTCCAGTACATTCCACTTTTTTTTTTTATCTCCACTCGTGCTTCATGTTGCGATGCTCAGATCAAAGTGAATTTAATAAAACCTTCAATTCTAATTTCGAATTTAAATTCTAATTTCGAATATTACTATCAAATATACAGTTTATCACGTAATTTCGAATTTAAATCTTAATAAATATTATTATATTAAAGTAAAACATTATCACCTATAATTATCATACTTGTATTTCTTAAATTCACAAATGTACGTACATTTAATAGAATTCAGAATTCAGAGAGTTAGTGAATGAAAATAATGGGTTCATTCTTATCCATCTCGAACGGAAGAATCTAATCATTTCGTTGTTTTATGTTTTATTCTGACTTTGCCATGCAGCATAAGAGTCCAATGTTGGTAATCGCATCGAACATGTTCATATTTTCTTTCCTCTGTTTTTTCAAATAATTTAAACATCCACTATTTATTTAAGTTATTTCCAATTAGATTCTCTACATTTTGGATGCAATCCCTTTAAAAAAATGGAGCTTCAATCTTATTTTTCAGAAAGGGAAACAAACACTCTTGTCTACACCAATAAAGTGACAACAAACACAAATAAATATAATTGTTGATGCATGGATCAATGTGCGGAACTTATTATTTTCAATTTTAACCATTTATATTAAAATAAAATATTTTTAAAAATTATAAAAATTTAAAATTTAAAAATTGATACTGAGAATTTTTTATGTAAATACAAAATTTGAAAAATAAAAAATATAAAGTATTATTTTAAAAAATATATTATAAAAGTATAAAAATAAAACTTGTGAATAATAAATTTTAAAATAATAATAAAATATATGAAAAGCATTAAAAACGGTGATAAAAAAAAGTTATTGACAATTTTTAAATTTTTTTAAATTTTTATAATGTTGTTAAAAATATTATATTTTGGTAATTTCTTTCTTTTTTTTCATAGAAAGCCTAATAATGTACGCTGGTATTATAGAAGTTGAATTAATTATGTAGTCAAATTATTTTAATGGAATACACAGTAGAAATTTAAATTTATAATCTTTTATAAGCATTTAAACTCTATATAAATGATTTAGTGTAAATTGTACATTTTAAAAATATTTTATCTATTTAAAAATTAATAAAAAACTTAAAAAAAGTTAAAGTAATGATCTGTAAAAACTTTAAAATTCAAAAGAGACGTACACGAAAAATTACAACAAAATTTTTATTTTTTCGCAACAGCTTATAATTTTTTGAGTTAGGTTTTATTTTATTTCTTTTATCTTGAACTTCCAAAATAAAACAATGATCCGTAAATAATTTTTTTGCATTATTAAGTTTTAAATAGTAAAAATTTAATATATAATTTTTTTATTGTACTTAATATTATTAATGTTTTAAATCTTGTAATATTCTCTTATAATATTTTTTTATAAAAAATTAGCATATAAAAGCTTTTATTGTATATATTTAAAAAACATAAAAATGTAAAAAATACGATTTTTTTGAAAAAAATATAATTTTATAAATAATTTGTATAAAATAAGACAAAACATTTTATAGATATTTTTGACTATCTAATCAGTGTATATTGTGGAGTGATACTAATTTAAAAAATTATATATTTTTTGAAAATGATATTTTTTTTTTGTCAAAAAGAAGACACACCTTAGATTTTATTTTATTATTTAGACAAAGCTTCGTTTTCCTCGGGAAGTGAGTAGCCGTGTGTGGTATGTGGCGCCACGTCAGGGAAGGTTATCCATCCCCTTTGCGGATATGAGTGCTCAACAGTTCAATTGTACGCCATTTGTCTTTTATATTGATTTTGATGTGTACATAAAATTTTATTTTATTCAAAATATAAATAAAAACAATCTATGTATTATATTAATTTTAAATTTTATCACTACCGAGGGAAAAAAATTTTCTTGATACAAAATAACCTCTTAAAAATGAGTAAATAATTGAGTTTTTCAATATGTCAATTTACTTTTTAATCTTATGTATCTTTGATCTTTTTATCATGATATCAGAAATGGATTTTATTGAATAACACTAAAATTTTAATTCAATTTTTGAATTAAAATAAATTAATAAATATGTCTTTAAAATAAATTAAAATTTTAATTATACTCTTTAAAAACTAAAATTACAACTAAACTTAAATTAATTAGTCATGTAACTAGACTCGATTTTTTTTATAAATAATATATTTGAATTCTCATTTAAACAAATATAAATTCACATTTATTTTGATATTTATGATATATATTTTACATAAATTCAAATTTACAACTTTATAATATTATTCAAAGGCACATTAAATTATTAGACTCGAATTAATGACTGCATATTGAAAAATATTAAAAAAATGAAGGACATTAAAATGGATGAGTTGAACCGGTTTAAAATTGGGGGATCCGGTCTTCCAAGTTTATTATAAAATCGCAGTATCTGCCAACTCTGTTTCTTTCCCTCGTACTTCTTCTTCTTCTTCATCTTCATCTTCATCTTCTTCTTCTTCCATTCTTTCTCTGCTTTTTCACGCAACTTCCAATCTTTTCATTTCAACTTCCAACATTCGTGATTGCACCCTTGCAACGCAACAAATCATTCTGTAAGTATTCTAATCTCTCTCTCTCTGTCTCTCTTCACAGGATGTGTGCGAATTGTCAACACATGGGGCATGCAATTTCATTTTTAGTTTCCTTCAATCACCCTCTGTAATTCTACTGTGCTTTCCCTCTTTTCTTCATCTGGGTGTTCAAATTTTCTATCAAATTTTCATTTTTTTCAATGGATTATTGTGAGGAACTGCTTTTGCTTTAACTTTCCGCAAGGAAGCTAAACTATTTTCAATACTCTCTTGATAATCGAGATCCTTATTTTCTACGTTTCCCATAGATGGAAACGCTACCTTTGGCTCTCACTTCTATGCTCAATATAAGGCACTGTATTCCATAGTTGAATCTTGTTCTCTTACAGCAGATCTAAAAGGAAAAAGAATTTAATTGCTATTTCCTGAAAATTGATTTTGTGATAGGCGTTAGATATTATAAACTCTTTTTTTTCTCTCACTCTCTTAGCCATGATGCATGACTTCCCTGAGATTGTTGATATGAATTTCTGTCTTTTCAACTTGTCTTCTGCTTTGAGAGATAGTATGAAATTGGCTTGCTTGTTTCAATTAGAAGAATCTCTTCTCTTCCCCTCTTAATTCTCTCTTATCTACTGGTCTGATTTTATTTTTTAGTATTATGAATAAATTGCATCGATTAGATTTTCTATTGCTAGCTGAATTCTTGAAAATATGTTTATTTAATTGAGCAGTTTGATGCGTTATGCCTGCAGATATAATACTTTTACTTTATTAAACAGTTGCATGAGCTCAGCCTGCAAATATACTTTTAATCTGTCGACTACAGAAAAATTTAATTTGTCAATTAATGTATTTAATGTCTGTAACCGTAACAGTCTCCTGCAATATTTTTTATAATATTTTTCCTGCAATTATTGACCAGCGGGGATTGGTGATCTGCAGTCTTCCTTACCACACTTTTTTTTTCTCAAAGAATGGAACATATATTAAATATGCAGTTATTTTAAATTACTCTGAAGGAATAAAACATAATAGTTATGGTTGGACATACTTCATTCACCACAAGGTCTATAAGTACTAAATATTGGGTCTTACTGATTAATATTCTTAAAACTTTGGTTAAGGAATTAAGGATAAAAAGTCTTTGTTAGAAATCATGGGGAAAGGATATTGAAAATCATGGGCCAATACCGTTTGATAAAAACCATTTTCCATGTATCATTACGCAAAACATTATCGTTTGTTGGCCGGAGAATTGAATCGATTGATTGATTCCAAATTTGGCGACATTGAAGTATAGGAGTAGTGTACTTTAGTATATCTTTTTCAAAGCAATTATTGCATAAACATTAACTTTTAGTCGTCAAGGGGTGGTTACCACAGCTTGAACTTATCACCACTTAGCCAAACTTGACCCCACCCCAACCAACCCATTTTGCTATATGCCTAGCTAGCTGAAAATAGTTATCATCTTATGTAGTTTCCAGTTTCTGTAATGTCGTTGCTACTCTAACATCGTATAAACTTTCTTACTTCATCGTTGGAGTTTGATTTTTTCTTTTTAAGAAAAATGTTTTGACTTGATCCTAGGAGTTTGATTTTTTTTAAAAGAAAAATGTTAACCTTAATCTTTAGTGCTAACATTATTAATTAATAATAATAAAATTTTATTAAAAAATATTTATTATATTTTTATAACTTTAAAACAATAAATGTGATATTTTTAAAAAAAATTTAGACTCATTTTTAAAAGTTGTGGTTGGTATATACTATTTTTTTTAATCATAAACACTACTTATATTTTAGGAACGGTCCTAATCAAACTGTTGAAGAAAACGCTGCACTTTGGTTGGATGATATCTCACTTTATTAATTTTCGGTGTCTTTTCTATCTACATAACCTACGTTTATCAATTTCAAGCAACAGTGAATGTATATATATGTTAGATGCCTGGAAGGTTTAAAGCTGATATATTTTTGGTCTATATATGCTGACCAAAATTGCTTTACCAAACCATATTTTCAAGGAAATTAATTAAACAATTGCAGTATTGAGGTTGATTTTTATTTTTTTTAACTTTTAGCTTTGAGGATTGTTTTTTCCTTGTGAATTTCTATAATGCTTTTTAAAATATAACCCTCCATCCCAACAAAAGTTCATGTCTCATACATAGTGCATGTGCTTGTGCATTTCAGGTTCAGTTACCTACAAGAGAACATACTGTCTAACTAAAAGGCCAAAATGGACTTAGATCGTAAGGAGGAGATTGAGCCCCAGAATAAAAACTGGAAATCTTCAAGTGATGTCATTGCAGATTCTGATAGAAATGTTTGTGGTGGCTTTGAGTGCAACATCTGTCTAGAGTGTGTTCGAGAGCCAGTAGTCACACTTTGTGGTCATCTTTATTGTTGGCCCTGCATATATAAATGGCTTCATTTTCAAAGAATCACTTTAGAAAATGAACAAGAAGAGAAGCGACAATGTCCGGTATGCAAATCGGAAGTTTCTCAATCCTCTCTAGTTCCATTATATGGCCGTGGCCCAAGCACAACATCTTCCGGAGGAAAGACTCATAAAGTAGGAATGGTCATACCACAAAGACCTAAGGGCCCCAGATTACATAATACTACATCTGTTTATTATCATCCCAATAATCCTTATCATCATTCTCAACAATTTAATTCAATTTCAAATGGTTATACTTCACCAATACTTAGCACAGGTGGTTCACTAAATAATACATTTGGAATATTTAGTGGAATGATATATGCAAGGGTTTTTGGTAATCAGATGTCAAACATATACACATATCCTAATTCATACAGTCTTTCAGAGGCCAATAACCCAAGGACCAGGAGGCATTTAATGCAAATTGATAAATCACTCAGCAGAATAAGTTTTTTCCTCCTATGCAGCCTAGTTTTATGTCTTCTCTTATTCTGAGTGCTCTTTTTTATTTTCATCTGTACCTACAGTACACCTTTGTATGCAAAGTAATGCTGAGATGTGTGAGTAATTGTAATTACAAGTCTCTGTCTGAGCTATATGAAAATAGATAGTTGCATAACTTTACTTGGTATTCTAGCTTTGAACTTTCAGCATGTTGTAAAGATATATTTTTTAAAATATTCTTAGTTATTGATTAAAATTTATTAAAAAATATAAAAATGTGAGAAGATTCAAATCATTAAATTGAAGGTGAAATTTATACGATTTTCATAGTTTTTAATAAATCTTAGTAGGAGAGGTAAGAAGAACGTTGAATGTCTTGTTAGCATATTTTATTCAGATTCAGGATAGGAATGGTTTTGCTTATTGGGAAGGACAGGCACATGATGAATACAAAGGCTGCCTTTGGAAGCTATGCCTTATCCGTTGCTTGGGAGGTACAGTGTGCTGTTGTCCATGCAAATATATAATGCGTCTACTCAATTCCAGAGTCATGATCTTCCACGTCGCAAGAATGTAATGAAAATCAATGTCAATACACAACATTGCCCTAACAATCAGAATGATAATGGTCGGTTTGAGTGATTGAATCGAAATCGATTACTTTACCATTTAGATAACTTGAGAAACTGGTGGAACCATAAACTTCTTGATAATTGGCTAAGAATTGACCAAAATCAGGTAAAAAGTTGGTAAAATTGATTGGCTTAAGAATTGTTATTATTTAGTTATTAATGATAAATTTTTTATCTCGTAAAACATGCAATATGATTTTTGTAAGTTAATTTAAATTTTTATGTGATACTTTTTATGATATTAAATTAATTTATCAATTAATATACTATATATTAATATAACTTTAATTATTATTTATTCAATGTTAATTTAATTATATTTAAACTAATGAATCATAAATTAATAATTTTTATTGATTCAATTATTAGTCTAACTTAAAAATATGATTAAAATACATATTTATTTTATATAATTCACACTCATTCACAAATTAATTTTTATACATACAAAATTTACAATTTAATTTACATATGAGAGTGTGTTATGTTACGTTTTAACTTTTATCCTTATGATACTATTAACACAAGTCACTGTTTATAGAGTTGCATTTTCTTAATAGAGGTATAACAATAAGATTAAAACTATAAAAATACTTGTACAAGGATTAAACATACATGTTTTAAGGAAAGATAATAATTTATTAATAAGTGAGAATAGTAAAGATAAAATATTTATTTTAATTTAAAACTATTAGTAAAAGGAACTGAAAATGTTGGATAAAAAATTATTAAAGTACTGTGTTTTGTGAATGAAAGTGATTTGTGGTCCCAATTTTTCAAGCTATGTTCCAAAGAGAGCATTCCTTATGCTTTTGCCTCATTTAGAAGGCTGAAATTGGATTGGGCTGCATTTCTTTTTATTCTTTTGTTTTTGCTTTTTCAGAAAGCAATTAGTTTTTCCTGTAATTTTCTAAAATTTGTGTACGTACATTTTAAATTTTTTTCTTTTAATGCTTTTGATAATGATCACCTAAACTTGTAAGAATATTTCCTTTTCAAACTTTATTTATGTGTTGTGTATCACAAGTTATATTGTGAATTATAGACGAAGATATTTAATGATGAACTTGTCATCACAATTGACCATTACCGGCATCTGTGAAGCCACATAGTTCCTCAAATTTGAAATCTTCTGCTTTTTCAATGGAAAATGATGTTTGGATACCCCTGGAGTGTGTTGATTTTAAGAGGTAAAGATACAACAAAGAAAAATAATAATGAAGAAGCAGAACTTTACATGATAAAAGAATAGAGAGTGATAATATTAGCTGGAAAACATTCATAAATACATGTTTATTGTAATGCAACTTAATTATAAATATATTCAGAAATATCTGACTAGGAAGTAATATCATATCATATAATTTTAGCTATCACTGAAAAATATAAAATAATTTATCTACTATTGACTATGACAAATTTTAAAAAAAATAATTTGATTTATTCAAAATAAAATAAATTGAAAAGCTTTATAAAATTATGCAATATCTAATATTTTCAATGAGTGTAGCTAATCAGGCATGGAGAAGTGAGACGGAATGATTGAGAGATAGAATGATAGATATAATAAATGATATAATGAAAAATCAAATGTATACCTTTTTTTGTCCTCACATATAACTCACTCTTAAATGTGTAGCTTTTTATTTTATGGCTTCATCTCACATTGCTGATCCTCGATATTTTCAAGAATTATAGAATTTATCCTTTTTTAAAATTATTTTTCTATGATGATTAAGCTTTTGTTTTAAAAAGAAAAATTAATATTATCTGATTAGATCTGTATTTTTTTTCTCTAACAAGATAGAAAATTAGAAATAGCAACATGCCCTCTCCTCCTTTGAAAGCTTTGCTAACAAATTACATCATCCATCTCCAATGATGATTTATTCAGCATATGAAGGATTTGGATTTTATTTATTGTTAGAGTAATTTTATAACATTATTATCTAGCTATTTTTTTGGATACATTTATTATCTAGCTGTATAGTGTCTCATTATTAGTTATAAATCTATCTACAATGTCTTTGGGGTACTACTAGTTAAGAAATTAATACATAACTTTATATTAAATATCATAACAGGATTGATTATAAATCATAATAGAGTAAATTGATAACATTTTTCTTTTCATAAAACCTTTTATCTTTAATTTCTTAATCATTGTTCTAGTAGACTTATTTACTTTTTTTTTCTTTTTAGTAGAGCATTTTAATTATGTTACCTAGTGTTTAAAAAAAATTGTTACCTAGTGGCTTTAAGAATAGTATTAGCAAACTTTGAAAAAAAATATTTATTTTAAAAAGTGCCAATAATATACTGTGATCTATATATATGGCATTTCACCTAATAATTAAAGTTTTTTTTTAAAAATATGTTGTAAAGATTATTTCTTTTTATTTTATGAGTCTGGCTTTAATCAAAGAATTTAAAAAATTATTAAAAATCACGTTGTGATACAATTAAAAATAATAAGAGGTGCATTAATATAATTTTCTAAAAAAAAAATTTTTTTACTTTTGATTTTTTAACGAGTATTCTAAAAATATTGGTTCGCATATACCTTATTTATACTTAATCCAGTATCTAATAATTTTTTTTAGCATTCAAAAATTATTTTTTTTACTTTCCAGCAAAAAAACACATGATCCATTAAAAATTATATAATTCAAATTTACCCCAGGCTATGGACTTTTGATATCAATTCAAGACGTACAGCCATGTCTTCAGGACATATATGCAGGTTTCTTTTATTGCTCATCCATTCTGATACAACACAAACAAAACAATGGCCCAATAATAATCAGATTTATGGATTAACTGAAAGGTTCAAGACTATGCACACTTGAACACATAATGTAGCAATGGTAGAGCTTAGAAGGGGCTCTTTTCCCCCCTCTTATAGGGAGAAACCATAGCTACATAAGGCTCCTTAATTGATCTTGCTTACGGATTTAGAACCTCTTATGTTAATAAGTAACATGACAATGTCATAATATGAGAGAGAAAGACACAAAAGTAGAATTATTCTACACAAATAATGCTAAGTTCTGCTATAAATGGTTCATTATTTTTCCTCTCATAACATGATAAAATATAGCGAGATTATAGTGATAAGGAAGATGCGTTGGGTTTGAAGTTTGTTATTTGTTGATTGATGGTAGTTCTTTTTATGTAAGTCCAAATTAGTGTTCTAAATGAATTTCACCCCTTCAATATTTTCATCAAGATGAGTATAACACACTCAATCTCTAACACATTATTATTAGTTAAAGCTAATTAAAAAAACCATAAAATTATACGTGACCATTAAACGTCATTTCATGAATCTGCATAAATTTTAACTCTTAATAATAAAAAATGTCGTTAACATTTCTTTTTAATCCAAGTACACTTTCAATCATATACACGATAGATATATGGCTAAATAAGAACTATCGTTTGGGTAGAGTTAGCCTTTTAACCCAAATTTAAGATTGTTATTATTAATATTATTAAATTCAAACTCACTATAAATATAAAAAGCTTTTCACGCCATCAATCATTGTTTTTCTTTTAGAAGTGTAACGTAATTCTACCTAAGAAATAAATGTAAGTGGATCAAAACACATCACGAGGGGTGTTGCAAAGATTCAATTTTGAGCGAATGGTGTTCATCACTTTCTGCTGCAGTGCAGTGGATTAGGGGAACCTAAAACCTAGAATGTGAAGTAATGATACTTTACGTATGTACAAATCAGATACAGTTTAATATGAGTTGGATGAACTGCACCAATTGCATCATTTTTCAACTACAGTGAATCTAGACCCCTCTTCATCTTGAACTTCATCGGTCTTTAGATTGTATTCTCCTTTTATCAGATTGAAGGCATTTGTTTCTGGGATTTCACCATGCAAATAACTGAACAGTCTATCAAAGGTAGCAGCAGAGAAATGACTTGTTTCCCTACATATCCTTAGAATCTCAAATGCCAATTCCAAATCTCCCTTGTCTTTAAAGTGGTCAATGCATGCAGCAAAAGTAAAAGGGCAAGGCTTCCATCCTCGTTGACTCCCCGCCATGACTGCTTTCTTCATTGTTTCAACTGCTTTATCCATTTCATTACACTTGTAATAGCCATGTGCCAGGCTACCCCATATACTTCCATCTAATTTCTTGCGTCCTTTTAAAAGCCTCTGAACATAAGCTTCAGCATTTTCCAGCAGACCGTTTTTACAATAAGCACTCATCATCACATTTGAAATTCTGAAATCAAAGCATGTGTTTTCAAATTCCCATTCCTCCAAAATCCTCTCAGCTCCATCAATGTCATCCAGCTTCGCCAATGCTGTTAACATAGATATGTAACTTGAGTTGCGGGAACTATTTAAGTTTTTGCACATACTCCAAATCCGATACACATCATCCTTTTTCCCAATAGCAGCATACATAGTTAGAAGAGATTCATAGGCTGCCCTCTTTTTCTTCTTTTTGATTAATTGCTCTGATTTCTTCAACATTGCCAAGGACTTCTCAAATTGGCCAGATTTAATATAGCAATGTGCTGCAGATGAGAAAGTGAACCAGTCCACACGTGCCAGGGGATCAGCTTCCATCTGGGTCAGTAACTTCTCCATCTCATCTACGTTATTATTGGTCACATAGGCATTCAGCTGAGTAGTAAGTGTAAAACTGTTGTATATGTTCTTCTCTTTCATTTCTTGCATTAGAGCATCCAATTTCTCATATTCACCTATCCGAGCATAGAGCTTTAACAAAACATTATAACTCAGCACTATGTCTACTGCATGTCTGCAAGCATACTCTTTTATTTTTAGCATGATAGCCTCCGCTTTCTCTACAAAGTTATGTTGAGCATAACAATTCAAAAGAGCACCGTAGACCTTAAAATCTCTCGAAGTGTCTGAAATGCTACTAAAATATTTCTCTGCCTGATCTAGGCCATGGACTTTTGCTATCAAGTCAAGTCGTATGGCAATGTCTCCAGATAATAAATGCAAGTTCCTTTCATCGCTAAACCATTCTGATACCTGCCACGTGCTAAAACAATGATCCAACAATTATTGGCCTTGAATGCCATCATATCAAATAAAATGTTCTAGTCAAAGCAGAACTTGAGCACTAGATTATTATAGAATATGTACATGTGAAACAGAAACAATGTAGTTACTTCCTTTCATTTACACCTTTAATTTACGTCCTATGCATAAGTTGGATCCACCTGCAGTTTTGGTGGGAATTGCAGGCGAGTTTTCTCGCTTAAGCAAATTTTTTTTTGACTAAAACTAAAATTACTTTTTACCAAAACCCTCTTAAGCTAGAGGGTCCCGTCACAACTGTAGCTGATCCAGAATCCGCATAAGTTTGTGGTTCTAGTACCCAGTATAGAATCATGTACAAGATGTATCTTGTGAAAATGTTTTTTTAATATGAAAATGAAATGATAAATCTCACCATGTATGAATGGCAAGAATCCAATTTTCTTAATTTACGTGACTTTTTAAAATATTTGTATACAACAGATTTTAACACAATTCGTACTAAGACGCAATGACTGAGATTTGTTCTCCCATTCTGACATAAAAGAGCATTCACATCTAACACGTTTCCTATATATGTTAGAATTTCATACAATAAAAGGTGGCAAAATTGCATAAAAGGCAAACAAAAAAAAAGTAAATTTGAGAAGCTAACACAATATAATTTGTGAGAATATGAGTAGTGAAAGAAAAGAACCCGTTGAAATCAACAAACTGAAACGAGTACTTAAAACACGTTCCGAATTATGATACAAAAGAGAAAAAGGAGCAACGTAGTGGACCTGAAGGGCATGGTTGAAGCGACGATATCGTCTGAGTTGATTGACGAAAAATTGGAGCTGAGAATGTTTGATGTCTCTTCCCTCTTCAACCCATTGGTCGAGGATAGGAGCCATGGGCATGGTGGGGTCTTCAGCCTTCGAAATTCGAAGGAAGAGGGAATCGATTGGAGTTGAAGATGAATGAAATAGACGAGAAGCGTTGCCGTTAACGCCGCACAGGTTCCATCTTGAGCCAGTGAGCTTCATCATTTTGGTTTGTTGCTACCGCTGCAATTTGAAAGTATTAAGTAAAACCCTGGCCAGGGTTTAAGGATCTCAGTTCAGAGGTTGAAGAAATTGATTTGGGCACTCTCCCCCTTTCTAACCTTTTTCTCATTTCTGCAGTTTGCACACAGTGGATCCCACCCAGATTGACCCAAAGAGTTTAATTTCAATAATTGTAGATGAGTTCATTTTAAAAATAATAATTTGTTATAAAAATAAAATAAAAAGTAAGGATAAGTTTTTAACTTTTAAGTACTTAAAATCATATCAAGAAGTAATAATAATAGAATAAAAATATATTTCTATTTCATTTAAAATGTTTATAAATATTTTACTATTATATTTTTTGTTTAAAAAAATTATAAAAAATCATTTTTAAAATAATAAATATTTTCCATAATTTTTTAACATGTATTATTAAGCCATCCATAATGGTGAAACTATGCTTTCACTCTAACTAGGAGTAATGAGATGTTGTTCAAGTATTAGATATTATTTAATTATTTTAATTTTCAAGTGATTTTAGCAAGAATTAAAAAAGTGAAAAAGAGTGGAGTAATGAGACATAATTGGAGTTAAATTGAGTTTAGATTATTTGTCAATTTTAAGTAGTCTACCTTTCACCATTTTTTATTCACAACATTGATTTTAACCAGTGAATTGCTAGGCAGGTGAGCACATACAAGCAATTTAATTCTAGTTCCTTTTTCACTTTCAAAATTTCATAAAGCATTGAAACATGCTTCCATAGCATGTTATTTTCGAAAGCCTCAATAGGAGGCAAAAGCTTGTCTCTATTCACTCGCACCACGTTCAACCCCAAAGTACTGTTATTGGTTCAATAAACTTTCCCAAATACATCATTGAAATTCGTCATTTCATTATTCCCTTACGCAAAACGAATTAAGGAAAACAGTGCTCACATCAAAACCTGAACTTTTTCTTCAAAACCTGAACATCAAAACTTTTATAGGAGACAGGTTCAATCTATCTAGCGTTGGTGGATCTTTTTCTTCACTATTTGATTTATCTGAATAATACGTTCAAATCGAAATGAATATCATGATTAAGAAACAAGCCCATGATCATTGATCCTGACCATCTCCACTCAATACTCGCGTAAACTAGCACAAAAATAATTGGGTTTGCATCCGAATCCTGAACCATATAATTTTCAAATTTCCAACACGCCCTAATAAAAAGTAAAAAATAATGACAAAAAGAATGGTATAAAAATTATATATCACATAAATTGAGTCAACAAAAACAGAAAGATCTGGAACTTAATTGGCTCCTCACGAACAACTTTAAATACCAATCCATAGACACTCTAAAATTATATCCGTAAAGACGGACAAAAGCAACCCAAAAAGGGAGAGAGGGACAAAAAAATAGAAGAAATAGCTAGTGACATAGAAGACAACTTATATCAAACCAAACCTATCAAAATAATACAAAGCATAAAAAAAAAAACCAATAAAGTGAATTTGAGATAAGGTATGCAATTGATATTACAATTAGAATCAACGTTTGATATGCTTGACTTTGTTCCACCCTTTCTTGCATGAATCTCCCACAATCTTCACCCCTTTTTTGAACAAAACCTTGATCTCCTTGGCTCTGTCCTTCATCTGCTGTTCAAACCCAGCCATAGCAACAATAGACAAAAACTCTTCAAGAGAGAAAGACAAAGGAAATCTTGGGTTGGTTTGAGAGCGTGAGACAGATTACAAGGTGGTAGAAGCAACTTTAAACAAGCATGTCTAGTGGGATCCAACGCATCACCTGACACGTGGCGTTGATCGGTGTGTGCCGCTTCCTTGAACTTTGATCTGAGCCGTCCATTCATGCCTACGTTGATTGCGGGATAAGCATAAAGTCCAAGTCTCGTTCTATGATGTGTGGTGAGTGGGGACCACGCCAGTGCCAAGGTTGTAACGCTGACACATCTGAAAGCAAAGTGAGTTTTGCTGGGCCCCATTGCTAGCTCACTCTGTTCGAATTAACTTATTTACTGGAATCTTTAGTTGGAGATTAAAAACACTAAAAATAAAAGGTTGAGAGTGAAAGGAAATAGACGAAAAACATTTAAGAAAATTATATTTTTTATTTTTTATTTATTTAAACAATTTTTAAAAATAACAACTTTTCTTCTTCTTCTTTTCCCCCTTCCTATAGTTTTGTTTCCACGTTCGATCAATCTATATACCCATTATGGTATTTGTTTGTATGTCTATCTCGTTTTAAAAGAGTCTATTTTTCTATAAATAAATAACCCCTCACCCACCACACATTCCAATAAATGAGAGTGAAGCAAATAAAAGAAAAAAGAAGGAAAAAAAAACGAAAAGTAAAAAAATATAATGAGTAATGTGATAAATAAATAAGTATTAGTGTGAAAATGTAATTATTATAAAATAAATAAAGAAGAATAAAAGGAATTTCGTTTTGTCAGTACGTATCTTCAATGCATTAAGAAATAAAATGTATTATTATTAGAATATTTAATTTTTTTTATTTAAAATTCCTTTTTAATTTCTTAGTGAAGTAGCATTATGAAAGAAATGCTTATTGTAAAGCCAGGTTGGCTATTGGCACAAGTGATGCATAAAGTGGGTGTCTAGAATCCAGAATCCAGCAGATTGATTCGTTAGCATAGTTGGAATGTGAGGAAGATAAGAATTTGATTGTGTAGTCAACAAAATAATATATGAACAATAAAGTTGAATAAAGTATAAAAATTTCTGCATGGAAAGAAGGATTGCACCTCAAATAATACAAGGAAAAGGGGGTTCAATATTATAGTTTGGGTAGAATGTCTCCGGCTTCATGTAATATTTATGTGCTGTCCACCTAACTTGAAGAAAATTACTTATAAAAAGAATTAAGGGGCATTGAAGAAAACAAGAAAAGTTAATAATCCAAATCATTAGTTAAATTAAAGAGTGATTAATCGATATATATACTTCCACAAAGGCAAGTTTCTTGGCTTATTTATTTATTTAATATAAATTTAAAAAAAAATTCAAATTAAAATATAAAAAATAAATTTTCTATTTGCCATATCAATAATAGTTTTATCTTTATTCTAGATTAAATTAATTTTTTATTTTTAATTAATGAATTTTGTTTTAAAAAGAGATGAAATTCTTGTAACTTAACATGTATAGATAATTTTGTTTAGACATAAGACGAAAAAAGAAATTTTAAAAATTATACCACACTCAAGTGAGGCACAATCCAACTAGATGATTTTGTTCCACATAACATAACACACTTGCTTAATGATGTTGGTGATGGAAAAAGAAAGAAAAAGATAAGCATGTTGTGTTGTGTGTAACAAAATTATCTGATTGAGTCATGTGTTACTTAAATATGGTAAAATTTATGAATTTTTTTTCTTTCGTTTCATGTTTAGACAAAACTACCTATACTTTTCACGTTATGAAAGTTTTGTTTTTTTTATACAAAATTAGTTAATTAAAAATAACTTTTTTAATCCAAAATAAAGATGAAATTTGTTGTTATTTTAATTTGAAAATTTCTTTCTAAATTTACATTAAACAAATAAATAAGCCCAAGTTTCTTCTCAAAATGTTTTCCAATTTGTTTGATGACCTTTTTTTTAAGTTACTGAGCCCGCGCTGAACCAACTCACCAAGTTATTTGATAGTTATGGTAAAATATTTATATTTAATGACTCAAATTATAATTGACCAAAAAAACTGAAATAAAAACAAAAGAGAATCAACTTTGATAATAAGGTGGTCCATGTACTATTTGACACACAACATTTTTTTAGGTAAACACATTATTATTAGTGACTAAAGATACTAAAATTTAAAAAAACTAAGGATTAAAATTAATTTCTTTTTAAATAATTAAAAATTTATCAAATAGACTCTACTTATGTTTAAGTTTAATATTATTATTTAAGGTCTAAGAGGAAATAGTAGTGAAAAAGTAGGAGAGATAAACGAGCTAGTTCAATTTCGTTAAGTCTTGGGAGTATATCAAATAGAGGAAAGGTTTTGGAGTTCTTCCACTCGTAAATTTCCCAATTTCTATTTAAATGTTAACCATGATTGGTGACATTTAGCATTATGGTAGAATATTATTGGGACAGATTACACAAGGATCCGTTGCTAAGAAAGACACGTGATTTCTGCACCAATCAACAAATTGATTTAAAATCATTGAGCATTAACAGAAGAGGATATCAAAACCCTTTAAAAGAAGGTAAAACAGAAAATGTCAACAATTTTGCTCAATTATTTCAGTCAATATAATTTAATAAAAATAAGTTATTATTAAGGTCAAAGCATTGTACAAGGAATGTATAGCAATGGAGGAATTCAAATTCCCAGTCCAGCAATAAGAGCATCCAAGGACATATCCAATGATGAACAATTGAAGAAAGTCCTCACCAGAGAAGTGAATTGCACTGAACATAACTGAGCTTATGAAAACAGCTTTTTGCCACTCCATGGTAGAGGAAAGTGATGTCAACAAAAATCCCCTATAAACAACTTCTTCCAAAAAGGGTGTGACAATGCAATAAGCAACCACACAGGACACCCTTGAGATGTCACTATTTAAGAGGATATCCTTTAGTATGGGGTTGTTCACAGGCTGCATGCATATGGTAAAAGTTTAATTAAAGAAAAACATAATCATTTCTTAATTTTCAATCCTTCTCAGCATGTTAGTACACAAGCTTTAAAAAAATTGCAAAGTTTAGAATAACTACATACAGAATCATGAAGTTTGGTGGGGGAGGGGCCAGAGAAATTGATAGTTCCATGGTTTGTAATAATAATGCCTCACATTCCACAGCTCACACAGTAAAGTACTAAATTTTGCTATCAAATAGCGATTCGATATTTTCCACAACTGATTTAACCTACTGAATTAGAATTCGAAAATTATTACACAGTTTTAAACCATATAGCTCCTTTAGAGCATTATCTAACTTGTAATTCAGATGCCAAACACAATCTTACTTTTTATTTTCAACTTTCCAAAAAAGTAGTTAGCAGCAAGAAGCAATCATAACCCTGACTGCTTCTGTTATCAGGTTGGATCTTATTTAAAACTGGATAAGACAATTTTTCTGGCAACTATTATCTCTGAGCCTCCCCAAATTATAAATACCATGCATGAAGATATTATAACTCTGATATTAAAAAAGAAACATAAGAAACGTAGAAAAGAAAAATGCAAGTTGATAGGAATTTGGATTTCTTTTAAGTAATTAGTATCTTACAACAGAGATAAACCTTTAGAATTTCTCAAGACAGAAAAAGAAAAGATAACACATGTCATTCAATAGACCTATAACTTCCCTCCCACATTTCCCTTATATTTTCCACACCTATTGCCATGTAGACAAGTTTGTTATAGCCCAAATACCTCATTTGCCGCATGGTCTAGCATAGTAGTCTAGGACAACTTGCATTATGTGGGGTATCTTCACTGAGCCAAGGTTTATCAATCATACCAATGTACTAATGCCAAAAAAATAAAAAAATAGAGCTTGTAAGAAAGATGTTTACAAAGTGAAAAAAAAAAACATGATGAAGTTTCTGATTCACCAACTGCAGAAGTATTGGTATTGAACATTATGACGTTTGAAAGAAGATTCTTGATGGTGCCTTGAGATATCAAACTAATAAGACACATTTGGTATAGGACACCACCTTGTGCTTTACAAAAAGTAGGCCATGCATTAATTGCATGGCAAGTCCTTCGACAAATAAAGAGAAATTATCTAACACTACTCACAACTTCATCCCAGTTAATCTCCTCCTTTTTGCCAATCTCAAAGTTTTCACATTGTTCAATCAGTCACCTTAGCCTTTGTTGGTTGTTTACTTTTAGAAACTACTATATTTGCAAACACTCCTCATTCTATTAAGCCTTAACACACCCCCACACCCCTTGGTGAATGTGTGCTCCTTGTTGTTCTACTATGTAAGCTATGAAAGCGGCAAAGACAACGGGAGGATAGTTACTACTTTTGTGTTAGACATATATAGTTTATATTGTTTTTTCCTGCAAATGATAAGAAATAATAGGAAAAAAGTACAATCACCAACCTTGGAGCCAAATAATCTGTCAGCAAGTAGAGATGTCAGGAAAATCAGAAGAACAAGAAACCCAAATCCCAGAACTGATGACAAAATCCAGTTTCTCTTGCTCAATAATTTGTTATTTTTGAAGAAATTTGAAAACTTGTATTGTGGCTTGGCCGTGTACTCCAATAAAACAAGAGCTCCATTAAGCTCAAGAATTTGAATGATGAGAAGTGATAAGGCCTACATCAGTGTATGAAAAAACTGTTAAAACATCTAAAGCTAAAACACTTTGTAGCAATGAATCTAATCTCTAACAAAATGTAAATTCAGAACATACTCTAGATGAAGGGCCATTTCTAGTTTATCACATAGAAACACAAGTTCCAATTGAAGCTCTATTGCACTGCCTTAAAAATTTCTACTGTACACACTGGACAAGTGGACACTAAAGCACCGTTCAGAAAAGAAAGCTATCCCCAAGCATTAGAAGTGGGAGGGCAGTAAAATATCTTATAAAGCAACTTCCAATTCAATCATACAGAACTTAAAAAAAAGGACTATTCATCTATACTATTGTTTGGGTCAGCAGAGTTATTAAACATTTATTCAATAAATTTTTACTATATGAAAATTTAAAACATAAATTTCATGATGAAATTTATTAAATTAAATTAAAAAGAGTTTATTTAAATAAATTATATTAAGAAGCTTAATAAACTTACAATAGTTAAGAAAAATGCTAACAGCAGAGTTTTTAACAAACTTCTTATAATTATTTAGTTTATTAAAATGCCATGCAGTTATAAAAAATAAATAAATTATGAGGCAAGTGCTTTGGCCTTTTTAAGAAATAAGTCAACATGCGTTGTGGAATGACATTTCAACAAGATTGAATGGTTATTTTCACGTTGTAAGGTGTTCGAAATGCTCCTTTAAAGCAATAATTATAATAAGAGTAATCATCTACTTTATTTATTTAATAAAAAAATAAAAAGATAATAAAGGTGACCTGAGTTTGTGGGGGAAGAACAGGGTGTCCGTTAAATAGTGCAACGACGGATAAGCCTCCAAAACTGAGAGGAATATGCAGAGTGAATAGATAGAGTGCAATAGAGCTCCATATATTCTCACTCTCCCATGGACTATCCTCTGGCAACGCTGAGAATCCCTGTAATTTGGAATAACAGAATAAGAAGATTGGATTTGATAATTAAATAGCATTTTGTGTATGTCCTACAGAACAAAAATATATTCCTGAGAAAAGGGTGTGACTTGTTCTTCTTTCCCTTTGCAAAAGATCTTGAAACAGTTGCGTTGGCCCAATTGAAGTTTTGGTGAACATTTGAGGCCGTTGTTTGAGTTAGGGAGGTGAAAGAAGAAGAAGGGTGTGGCCACCTTATTACCGACAACATTAGCCTCCTCAATCCTTAGTCTTAGATTCTGGTGTTCAGTTTGCAGTTTGCACCCAAAATTCATGCTTCCCCCGGCATATCATTAGTATTCAGATTTCGGCGTTATGTTGTCTGTATAATACTCTTCTACCGTTGATTTTTGATATATATATATAAAATTAAAAATTAACGATTAGGATAAACTTAAGTTAATATAAATTTTTTAAAATTTATACCGGTATAAATAAATCCTGTCGTATATATATATATATATAATTTTTTTTAATAATATAATAAATATTTAATATTTTTCATTTAATAATTTGAAAGAATTAAGAATTAAAAAGTACCAGATGAAAAATATTCATACATAGCCCAACTAACCAAAGAATGACTCTAATTACATGTTCGGAGTTTCATTAATTTTGACGTTGGACAACTAACCAAAGATTCTCCATAGTGTAAGGAAATAGAATCTGAAAGTTCTTTTACTCACGAACGAGTCATGGTGAAGGTAGAGATTGTTGAGCTTAACAGAAACTGGGCTAAGACAGTGGAAGAGATTGTAAAATTGGAGAGAAAGATCTTTCCCAAACACGAATCACTTGCTTCATTTTTTGAAGACGAACTGAGAAAGAAGAACAGTGGATTGCTTTATCTTCACGTAGATGGTGAACTTGCAGGCTATGTCATGTATTCTTGGCCTTCTTCCTTGTACGCTTCAATCACCAAGCTCGCAGGTTCCAACCCCACTTCGTTTTCTTGATCAATTTAAGTCTCAAACAAATGGTTGCATTCAGAATTTCAAATTTCGTCTTTCTGATAACTGTTGTATTTTCGTTCCAAATTCAAGTTATGTTCATAACCTGTTTGATGAAATTACCCAATTTAAATAGATTGAAGCTTTTTCACTACTTGTAAAGATGAGACTATTTTGGTCTTCTGGGTTGCCCTCATAACCCTTAGCTAGTGAAGTACTTGTGTTGAATCTTCAATTTTTTGGTTATTTACAACATGGGTGTGCCACATTGTGGTTTTGCTAGTGAAGGAGCAATGGAGGATGCGAGGTCACGGAGAGGCTCTACTGAAAGCAGCAATTGAGAAATGCAGGACAAGGAAAGTTTCGCGCATAATGCTTCATGTGGATCCCTTGAGGACTCCTGCAGTGAACCTTTATAAGAAACATGGTTTCCAAGTTGACACTTTGATTGAAGGCTACTACTACTCAGATAGAAATGCCTATAGGATGTACTTGGACTTCGATTCCAGTTGAAATGAGAAATTGAATAAACATTTTATACACAATTTAGAGAACATTTTTGTAACAGTGTTTAAGGAGTCATGAAAGGCAAGCATTTAATAGAGGGCTTGTGGTTTTACTTTTGTATTATTTGAAAACTATGTTCTACAATTGTCTCTACTGAGTTCGGATTCTCTCCATTTCCTTCACTCAATTTTCTCATCTAACTATCAAAATTATTACAATACAAATTTTAATTTAAAATTATTAACACTTTCAAAATTTTATCAAGTTTCAATAAATTTTAATTAATAACTAAATAATGTGTTTGAAAATATATTAAAAAAATATGTTGCTAAAATTTCTCATAAAATGATATAAACCTTATCAAATGATACAAGTCCTACTTTTATATTTAATGAGCCTTGACGAAATTTCTCAACAGAGTGAAACTACAAAATTTTCAAATGGTTTTTTTCGAAATTAAAAAAGGAAATGCAAGTAGACCAACAAAAACAGCTTTGCAGATGATGTTGCTGCCCAGGATCGAACTGGGGACCTTTAGTGTGTAAGACTAACGTGATAACCACTACACCACAGCAACTACGGTTCACTTTTCCCAAAGAGTATTTAAATTACAGATTAAAATACATGCTGACGTCATAATCGCTTGAAAAACTCATGGCCATAAAATAATCAAATGAAAACAAAAACAAAAACAACCTCTTTGGTTTGTTACATCGGTGGATACGCGGTGGAGCCCTAGATTTCAAGCTAGGGTTTATTTGCATTCTAATTCCATCTTGTAGTTTTGCTTTCATTCGATTCAGGGGGTTTAAATTGTTTGCATTTTTTCAAATTTCGGTGAATTTGGATTTGACAAAGAAAATGGTGAGGGTATTGAGAAGCTGCCTACAATCGATATTGAAGCTGGTGAACTCGGTGATTGGGATGTCTGGGTTAGCCATGATTCTATACTCTGCTTGGATGATTAGGGTTTGGCAGAGGCAGATGGGTGAGCTTCCCTTTGGTCACGATTCTGATTACCCACCTCCGTGGTAAAAATCTCTTCCCCCCCCCCCCCACTTCCTTTTTTTTTTTGTAGCCCCTCTTTCCATTGTGTGGACAGTGAGAAAATTTTGGAGCTTGATGGACCCGTGAAAGTAAGATTTGAAGATCCTGGACTCGAATGTTGATTGGAGCAGAGAAAAACATTTCAAAAAGTTAAATTAAATATTGGAAATTATTATTTGGTTTAATGTTATTAATGGTTTTTCTTTTTATTGCTAATGTTATTAATGTATTGGATGGAAGATAATATTTTAGACAATCAAAAAGTTAATTATTAACTGGGAATTTGTGTTTGTCATGATAAAGCTGTGGAATTCTACTTTCTGTTAACTTCCAAGCTGTTAATGGAATTGAGAGACCCAATGATTTCAATGGAGTTATATGTCCATTTTGAGAAGCACATTGGTTGGCACCTAAAATTTGTATGTTTTGTTCAACATTTTAAATTTAAAAAAAAAATGCTAATTTTTGTCAATTTTTTGAGAAATAATCGTTTTCAAATACACAGTATTTCTAGCTTGTATGATTCTTGTTTAAATTATAAAGTTTTCTGATCTGGCTGTGAACAACTTTTTTTTTTCTCTGCAATCAGGTTCATTTACACGTTTCTTGGCCTTGGAGTTACATTCTGTGTAATCACTTGTTCAGGTCATGTTGCTGCTGAAACTGCTAATGGCTGTTGCCTGTATTTGGTATCCTTTTCTTCAGTTTACCATTATACTTTCAACCTTGATGCACAAATACATGTACTGGTATCAGATACGGCTCTGATGCAATGCAATGATATGTAATTTCTTAAAAATTAGGTTGTGCCATTACAAAATTGCTCTTACGATATCTTTAAGCAACTTCTTAAAATCTAAATTAGAGACTTTTAATTTTAAAGGCTAAATGCATATTAAACGATAAATAATTTTAATAATATAAATAAGGTAAAAATACTATCTGTTAATAGTGTAAATGAGGAAATGTCTACTGTTGCTGAATGTATTGATCCCCTGTGTACTTAATGATTTAATTTTCAGCACTTTTTACTTAATTTCACTTCTGCTAAGTATTAACCAAATACAATTTTCATTTCTGAAACCTTTATTTTGCCACACTGAATTAGAGACTTTCAATTTTAGGTTCTAATGCATATTAACAAAAAACATATTTTAATAAAATAAATAATACAATAAATAAGGTAACTATAATCAGTTCATCATTTAATTGAGGAATGTTTTCTGTTGAATAAATTCACTGATTTCTTGTGTACTGAATGCTTTTGGCACTTGTCAAATAAAACCACTAATATTTTTCAGTGTGGAAACTTTTAATTTTGTGCACTGTATTGAGCTTCCAACATTAAGATTGTGTTCAATTGCAAAAATATCTCATTATGTGACCATTATGTCATTAAGGCACTATAGACCTTGACTGCTCACAGTATATGTTGTTTGTGGTTTTGCTTCTCATGCTAGAGGCTGCAGTATCTGTTGATGTATTTCTAAACCAGGATTGGGAGGAGGTATATTTTGTGTAAAAACCTTCCTCAGCAATGTGTTTGTTTATTAAATGCTATTGTACCCTTCTCTTCCTGTGACACATTAGATGGGTTAACCCTTGTCTAATTCATTTAAACCTGGAAATTGGAACCAGGACTTCCCGAAGGACCCCTCAGGGAATTTTGATCAGTTCAAGAATTTTATCAGGTCAAATTATGAGATGTGCAAATGGATAGGCCTTTCACTTGTTTCTGTACAGGTAATCTCTGTATGTGGCACCTGTGTAACGATTTATGACACTATTACTGTTAAAGCCTAATTACGGAGTGTCAAAACTTCTTACCATGGGTTCCAAGATGATCACAAATTTTCAACACAATTAAGTTTCTCTTCTGTGAATAAAGCACACTAACATGGAAAACTTTGTCTACAAAGATTGAAAAATACCGAGTTTTAAAAAATATTATTGCTTTCTTGGATCAAATTTGGGGATGTGTACTACACAGCAGCAACAACTTTTTTCTTCTACACACATTTTATGTGAGCAAAGATGAAAGATGTGGCAGGGGACACTGTTTCTTTTTAACTTGATTCCTGTATTTCATAGCTAAATGTTTGAAAATATATTTTATTATTCTTTCATAGAAATAATCACTCCATGCCATTTGCATATTCTATGGTATAAAAACTTGAAGACTGGTCCATGCAATACATGATCACCTGGTGCATATTTCTTCTTGTGCTTTGTCACATACTTCTACTGACTACTTGCTGGTTTTGAAAATGAAAGATGAAGTTACTTTTGCAATTTTGGTTAATGAATGATGCATTGATGGATGGCTGTGTGGGCCGTTAACTAGCAGGGACTCTCCTTATTATTGGCAATGATACTCAAAGCACTTGGGCCACATCAATATTATGACAGTGATGATGAATACGCTCTTGACAGGGTGCCACTCTTGAAGAATGCTCCACCTCAATATGTTGTTGTTGATCCAGGGTATGGGCATGGACCTAAAAATGATGCATGGATTAGGAATAGTGACAAGGTAAAAAAGATTGGAATTCTTTAATTGATCATAATTTTCTCATTGAAGTCATCTTGGATTGAATTTCCTTTATCATATATTTTCCCTGCTTTGCTGCTAATACCTATTACCTATCAACCTCATTCTTATATGGCGTATCTATTGTAATTGGATTTTATTTAGTAACTATATATTAGTTATCTTAAAGGGATTAAGCTTAGTAATTTTTGTATTGTGTATTAGTCAGCATGTTAAATTATCTCTTGCATTTTAAATGAAACTTTTCTTCTTTCTTAATCAGACAAATAGGTAAGGTCATTGCTATAAATTGAACCTTGACGTTTGGAGCTATGGAAGGTGGGTGAGGCAATCCTTTTCGGTGCAAATGGGCTTAGATAAGGGACCTGTATGCTGGAGATGGATTAGCTATTAAATTAAAGGCTGTGGGAAAAACAAGTGCTTATCGTGACTCTTGCATCTGTTGCACCAATCTCTTACAGTTATGATCAAATATATGCATTATATGATACATGATTCATGTCTATAGATCGTGTATAAAATCCAATAATGAACAACCCCCTGTATCTTCTGTTGAAAGTATATCTAAAGTGGATCAATAGATATGAATCTATATTCTTTTGGTTAACTTGGTTACTCATCATTCATCGTGTAGTTTAAGTGACAAGTGCATCAACACAGAAACATCATTGTCCATTTTCTTGTGCGTCTTTTTTTCTGTTCAAACTTCGGACGTGATTGAATTCTCGTAACTTTTGCGTTATATAACTTTTATTGAATGTACTTCTAACACTCGAAATTTTAATAAATTTCAATTAATCGCTTGACCAAATGGGAAAGCAAATGGTTTTTTACAAGTATATTTGGTTAGACTTGATTTTGAATTATTGAATGTGATTTTAATGTGTGTTTAAATTCATTAGAACCAAATGTTATATTAAAAAAAATCATTAGAAAGTGTGAAAATTGATTTATAACTTTAAAACAATGCATTCTAGCTCCTAACTGAGATTTTACTAGTGTTGTATAAAGTAGTTATGTTTTTTAATTTGTTACTTTTTAACATTTTATACAAGAATTAGGGAATAAGTTTAATGTTTTGGTTTATTTAAAATTAAAATTATTATATAATTCCGGTTATAATTTTGATCTCTTTTTATTAATTATAGCTTTATTTTAAGTTAAAGATATAATTGTTAAAATAAATAAAACTATCTTAAACTTTTAAAAGTGACAGATAATTGAAAATAGAAGTTTTCTTAAAAGGAACGAAGGCAGTATATTCATGATAAGATCCATTTACACGGTTCTTGGCCCAGGGAGTTACATTGTATGTAATAATTTGTTGCTGAAACTACTAATGGTCGTTCCCTGTATTTAGTTAAGATTCATGTTCGTAGATCGGATACAAATTCACTGAACCTCTTCATGAGCATCGTCTATTAAAAGTATCTCATGAAGTTGGGTCAGGAAATATGAACCCATTATCTATGATGATTGAGAAAACAAACCCAATGAGAATGAAAAACAAAGGGAATGAAAAAAGGAATGATTTAATTTAAATTTTAAAATTTGATGCATTGCATTGCATATATATAATTTTAAGATTATTAAATTTTAATTTAATTTTAAAATTTAAATTTTGACTTCTCCATAAATTTTTCTCAATTAAAACATATATCACTTTAATTTTATCTTATTTAATATAATAAAATATTTTTATTTATAATATGTAACATTATATTTTAATTTACAAAATATATTAAATTTAAAAATAATCATATAAAATATTTTAAATTTTATCAATGGAGAGTCTGAAGGCTAGGTATCACTTAAACAAGATCTCAATTACCACGTCCAATACGTCCGGTTCAGATTCAATTAAACTGGATGGAAAATTGGGAAAAAAAATTAAATTTTTATTTTATAATTAATTTCAATTTAAAAGTACACCGGAAGCTCGACGTACAGAGAGGTGCACCGAAGAGGAAATTGTACCACACTGGTGGCCATAGTCATATTGGGAACCACCCTTTTGCTCCTTTCCGATATTGAATCCACAGGTAACCCTTCAATTTCAAATCATGCACGTTATTTTCAGTTTCATTAAAAGCTTGTGAATAAAGATCACATCTTTTTCGATATAGGGTTTTGATAATGGCTTGTGTCTGTGCTTGAGATATAAGGGTTCGTAGGAACTTTTGAGTTTATAGACAATACGGGACTCTGATGATAAAGTGTTGGGTCTCTTCAAAGAAGGGGCCGTGGTTTATGCACATGTTGTAACGGAAGCAATCCCTTTTGCCATGATTGATGAAAATTTTTGTATTTCTGCCAATTGCTAGAATGAAATCCCATCCCAGGTTTCAGCTTGGAATCTTTGTGTTTCCTTCTTGGTTTTCTAGAGAAAAAGGGGTAAAGGCTATAGCCAAATAGGATCACTAAGTGAAAATTTTTGTGAATCAGGGAAAAGGATAATACTTGACATAATATTCACTAGTGAAATTGTGAAAATACACGTTCTCTTGTTTTCTTAGATATCTGAGACTTTGACAGGCCTAGTAAAATTTGACTAGAAGTAAGTAATCGTTTAGTTTTTCTCTAATTCATAAAATATATAATGATAACACTACAATTCTACTCTAATATTACGTAAAACTTACTAAATCCCCCAAAAATAATCCCTAAGGAAAGTTCCAATAAAGTTAACAACATATAAAACTATGGTTGATCTGACCCTCCTTTTTTACTGAATGAAACTGTTTCAAGAACTATCCATGCAGCAAAATTTTGTTTTTGTTTTTGAAAATTGAATTTTCTGCTTTTGTTTTTTACTTGTACTCAGAAAAGGAATAGCAGTTGTAAACACACATCTTCCCGTTTATCCAGCTTATTCAGACAATCAGGTTTCACAACTGAACGCTTGAATGGTGGGTGTCCTCAAATGCAGCAGCTTCAGCAATGCAGGGGCATACGAGTGAAAGTCTTCAATGGGAACTTGGAAGGGGCGTTAGCGGTGATGCAGCGCAAGATGCAATCAAGTGGAATCGAAAGGATGATAAAGCAAGAACAGAGATTCCATATGAAAAACTCTGAGAAGCGAGTTTTAGCCCGAAAGAACTTGGAGCGGAAGATTCGATCTGAGGACCTAGCTAAGAAACTTAAGGCCATTATGATAAAAAAAATCAGGTAATTAACACTTATATCAAGGAACATTTTTTCTCCATTAGAACATATCAAAAAATGCACCTGAACCTTGAATCACTTTTTCTTTTTCCCTTGGTACTTTAAATACATAATGTTAGCTAAATGCCCAACATTATGCTGCAATGGTGTGAATTAAGTTACTATGTTATGTTTTCAACTGCAAATGTTGTTTCACTTGCTATTGATTATTGTCCATAGAGTTCCATGTAAGTCTCAGGCTTTTCTTCCTTTACATCACAGTTAATGGCTAAGGGTATCTCTGTATTTTAGTAATCTGAGTAAGAAAATAGGATCAAAATAACAAAAATGTGCTTATCTATTAGACTCATTTTCTCTATCTAACTTACCCTCTAGTGATATGTGGAATTTTGGCTGAAGTGAAACAATTTTTTCAGGATATCAGGTTATCCTGCAATGCTGACCTTTAAGATATTAATTTGGGATTTGTTGATTGTGTTCGCTAGTTTATTCTAAGTTTGGAAGTAATGGTATCATTGTGAAAACTTGTAATGCATGAAAGCACCTCTTCTCACAAACTATTGAAAAAGTTATGTCAAAGTTGACATGGCATTTAGTTATTCAAAAATTTAAAGATTGAAGAGGAAGCATTTGACCGTTAGGTTCTAACCTTCCAGATGAATTCATTGCCAAGGCATTTTTTAGTTTTTAGTATTCTCTCAGTGCTAATAATTGTCTCTCCTGTGTTTTTGAGTTGGTGTCATCATCTTAGAATGGAAATGTTAGTGAACATTTTTGGAAGTTTATAATAATATTGGGTACTTGAGAACTTTATTTTCATTATAACTTGTTACCTACGAACCATTAATCTATCTTGTTCCCTCTTCTGTGGAAAGCTTGCCAGGTTTTTACACTTTTGATGCTTAAGTATGATTTAGGATAAAATTAAAGTTCAAATTGGATCAAATGCATATTATATCATGCCAGCCTGTCGATTTTATTCCAGTTTTATTCCCTTTGGTCTTTGTGATGTTTAGATTTTATAAGCTTGTATTTTGCTTCTAATTGTACTGATATATATATATATATTCTGTTGCAAATGGCAGGGGTTTATGAGAATGTTGCACTGCTTTTCCCCAAAAAATGGTTGGTGTAAGTTGCAGTTATTTTGCAAGGTGGCTATTGCAGTTGGCCCGCTGTTTGAATTCAAATAGTGTATTAGGTTCATATGTATTTTGGTAACTGTGATTTTGGGTACCAGATTCATTGTTTAAATCTAATAAGCCATATAGAAAGTAAACATTTTATGCTGAGTGTGACAATGGTCATTTTGTGTGGTCAAGTCAAGAATCTGGGTGAACATATATACTGAATTTTCGTAGTTGTGATGGAAGCAATTCTCAAAGAGCAGTTGTTCCTTTTCTTTTAAATGGGATGTGTTCATCATATGATCCTTATAAAACAGAACTAACATATTTTATGGATTTCTAACCTGAATATCTTTTATTCCTCTTTTTTTTTTTCTTCAATCTTTCCTATTTTTGATTTTTTTTTTAATTTGAGCCAAATACGTGGTTTGCAATGTATGAATCAAATGAGGTTTTAATCGAGGAGAGAATAGCCAAGAGAAAGGAAGGAATTTTAATAGATGAAAAAAAATGCTTTTTTGATTTACAAGAGAAGAGGGGGAAAAATAAATCAATTTAGGTGCTTGTTACATACTTCTAAATTTGAAGTTTATTGAATACTTTTTTTAGATTATAGTAAGATATTAAAAAATATTTATATTTTTTAAAACAAATTAATAATTCTATTATTAAAATTAATTGATAAGATTGTTTTATGTATAAGAGAGTATAAAATATTTTTTCAATTCTCATAGCACCTTAGAATTTATCATAAATTTATTATTATTTATTTAAAGTGATTAAATATACTTTTTTAAGTTAAAGATAATTTGTCTAATTAGGTTGACAATTTTTTTGTCCTTTAAATTTCTGCCTTTTGAGAGGGAGTTAAGGTTGAATGATAAGGATTTTAACGTCACTCAAATCTCTCTTCTTTCAATTCTTTTAGTTTAGTTTCACTTTGAAAACTTTATGTGAATTCGTCTTGGTAAAAAAAGCAAAAAAGTACGTAAATGAGAAAAAAAAAAAAATCATAGACACCTTAGAATCTATAAGGAAATTAAGGTTCTCAAGTTAACTTTTCAAAACTGTGGCTTCGCTGTCACATACGACGAGTACGTCGTCATTCCAACAACGATGTGAGTTTAAATTTACAATTGTCATCTTCCGTTCATTTAAAATCATAGTATGGGAATGAAAATAATATTTAGGATCTAAGCATTACAAATTCAAGAAAAATGGTTTAAAAAATTGACTTCACGTCAACCAAGGATTAATTATGTGTACCAAACAATGCTACCATATACATTCACACACCAACCTTAATAGTGATAGATGCGAAGTAATTATTTAATTCATTAATAAAATAATTTACAGATAGATGTATAAATATTATCTTTACCGAAAAACATGTATCAATATTATCTCCTTAATTAATTCATATACAGGTCTTCCGTGTACATTAATTTTGAGTTCTTCACAATTCACATAACCGTTGCAATTACATTACAACCTTAATCTTTCTGGGTTTAAAAATTTGCAAATAATGAGTCAAGGTGGAAGGAAGAATGCAACGAGAAGATGGAGGAACTGAAGAAATTACAATTCCCAGGTGCAGATGAAGCTTCACAACCGAAATTACTGCATAAGGAACTTGTTGGGGAGAAAAAAGTTATGATTTTTGAGTTGTATAAAGCTCTTGAAAGTGGGAAAGTGGATAATTTTGTTGATGTGTTGAAGCAATTGTGTGTAAAAGGAGGTTACCTTTATCTTGTATTTTTTATCAAATCACTCGTGCGGGGGATTCATTGCTTCATGTGGCAGCACAAATGGGGAGAGAAGAGATTGCTGAGTTGATTTGTAATCACTTTCCTAAGCTTCTTAGTAGGAGAAACATAAGGGGAGATACAGCACTTCATGTTGCTGTGAGGTCTAAGAACTCTAATATAGTTAAGGTCATTCTCTTACAATATGCAATTGACAAGTCAAAAAATGACGGGTTGAAAGATGAAGAGATAACAAGAAAAAAGAATGAATATGGAAATACCCCTTTGCATGAGGCTGTCTACAGTGATCATTTTGGGATGGTTGAAGATATTTAACATGTAGATGAGTGTGTAGTTCATTATTTGAACAAGTCTAAGATATCACCACTCTGTTTGGCTGTCTTGACAGGGAATGTGCAAATTCTTAAGCTTCTATTGGAAATTCAATTCCCTTCAGATCAGGAACTTCCACAGTGCTTTGGAAAAACTCCACTCCATGCTGCCTTGCTGGAACGAAATCCTGGTATGCCTTCTTTACACCAAATTATTTCTCCTTTTCACTTTTGTGACTACTTATTGTGTGTGATAATTTTGGGTACATTGTTTGAGTAAATATTTTAATCAAATAGTTATTTAATAAAATTATAAATAAATTTGGATATATGAACTTAAACTCGCAAGCTAATTTATTTCACTTGATTTTGTGTTCAACTGTAGCTATGATAAAACAGATACTAGCAAAAGAGCAGAGCTGGTTTATTTAAGGGATGGAGGTGGAGGTACACCCCTTCATTATGCAGCTTACATTGGTTATGTTGAGGAATTTCGTATATTGTTATGAGAGGAACATGAAAGGCCAACTTGCCCTTCACCTTGCTTGCAAAAGGGGTCATGTTAATGTGGTCAAAGAATTCTTACAACATGAATGGCCTAATCCTAATGTGCTCCTCAATCAAAAGGGTCAAAACATTCTTCACGTTGCAGCCACCATTGGAAACCATGATGTGGTACGGTACCTATTGAAAGATCGGAAGATTGATCAATTTACCATAAACCAGAAAGACATTAATGGGAACACTCCATTGCATTTGGCTTCAATAAATTTATTTCCTAAGGTTATCTATTTTATTACACGAGATAGATATTGTTGCTTTGGCTTTCAAAATTCAAATGACGCTTCGAAAGGTATGAACAATTCACATCCAGGGAACTACGTTTAACACTTCATCGTGGCATCATTCATGAAGAGAAAATAGAATGAGATGAAAAGATAGCAAATAATAGAAGGATTTTGTTAACTTCATCATTTAGAATTGAGTTTAAAGATGTTAAAAATTAGTAAATTTTTTTAAAAGTGAGTTAAACTCAATCTATTTCTAACATATTTCATTTTACTAAAACATCAGACATTCAATCATAGCCCAAAATTTCATTTCTTGTGATGAACAATTCCTGTTATTTCTGCTCTTTTTAAAATAAAGCTTTCTAATTTCCATGTAGTTCCTAGCCAATTTGGTATTAAAAGAAGCTGGAGTACCAGTGAAGGTAAATGATATGTTGCATTCTCAACACCAACAAGTACCTCCCAACATGGATTTAAGCCTAAAAGATCTCCTCAGCACATTTTTAGTTGTGGCCACACTTATGGTCACAGTGACTTTCGCAGCTGCATTCACTGTGCCAGGAGGTGTATACGGCCCAGATGACCCAAACCCAAAAATAGAGGCATGGAAGTTTTGGGCCATAAACCGTTGTTTTGGGTATTCATAACTTTCAATATGATAGCTATGTATAGCTCAGTTATTGCATGTGGGCTTATGTTGATGTCACTAATTTTTTACCATAAATTGTCACAAAGTGCAACTATCCTTGCAATTTGTTGTTTGGTTCTTGCTTTTCTAACGGTGCCAGTGGCATTTACGGCTGCTGTGCGTTTAGCTGTGGCAAATAACTCTTCACTTGCAATTTTTATAACTATCATTGCAGCCATGTACACTTCCTTCATCTTGTTGGGTCCTTTTTTGGGATTTTTTCCAATTGGAATTCGCTTTCTTATATTTCGTCAAGTTGGTAGATTCGTTCTTCGGATTTTAATTGCTTTAATAGATTATGATCATAAGCCTGAAGATTCATCTTCCCATAGAGCCAACATGGATAAGGACAAGGACAAGGACGAGTAATTGATTGGAGGAACATTTCATGTGTGTAACAAGGAGATTGAGCTATATGTACTAGTGTTTATTGCTTTTAATGGGATAGGATCAGAAGGAAATAAAACATTTTCTAAGTCTTCCACTATGCTACTTTGATAGCTGTGTTGTGACCTTATCAGGTCGTAAAAATGTTCGAAAATATACTAATAGTACATTTTTTTACATCAATATGCTATCAATACATAATTTATAATAATTAACATTCACATGTAATTTTATATATAAAAAAGCAGAATAACCAGTCTTTTTAATTATTATACGGCATTTACTTTTAAGATAATATCAATTGAACAGATTGAATTCCTTCTCTATGTAATGTCATCAAACAATTATTTTTTATATTTTTATTTTCAAAATCTAAAACTTAGTTTTTAGAAACAGTTATCAAACAAGTCCATAATTTTTAAAAAATAGTGATGAAGGAGGCAACTAATATTCAGCCTATTTCTTTCCCTTCTTTCTATACTGACAAGTGAACGTAGTCTCCAATATGAATACGAACATAGAGTAGTAGCATGTGAAGAATGGAAAGCTACATATATAGACAAGTAGTATGTACCTGTGAGTTTTTCCTCCCGAAAGGGAAACAAAGTTATATAAGTATGATCATGGAATTTTAGGTCCTATATAAAGCCTGACCAACTCAGTAGAGAATCAACCCAATCTTCTACACACCCTATACCATGTGGTTTCGACAACCCGTAAAGTTTATTGCCACACGCTAACACATATAGGACTAGGAAAAAGGAAACGAAACACCACTACCATTCATCACAATTTTTCTCCTTTCCTTTCCAATATTGCATATTTCTAAAAGCATTGTTCTTGTGCAGGTACTCATTTCTTGGGAGGCCCATCATGTTACTCCCCTCTTATTATATTCAGTTATTAATATATAATATAGTATGGTGTGATTGAAAAAGATTTATGCTATGTGATGAGTGCTCAATAAAATCCAGTCAATTCACATGGAACCTTTAACGACCACTTAATCATGCTTTATTCAAAGTAACTAGAACCACCTTTTTAGTTGCATTAAGTAATTTGACACTCTTTTGAGTAGATATCGTGATTCATGGGCATTTATTATTGTATTAAAATATTAGTTTTTTAAGAAATTATCTTGCTGCCACTTTGTCTTAAAGCTTAGTACAAGTGAGAAACCATGACTTTGTTCATCGCGGGAGACTGTTTAAACTAGCAATAATTTACTTAGATAATGATTTTTTATATATGCTTGGTTTTATTTACACATGCAGATGTACTGCAAATCATAGATCTTGTTGTGCTTGACAGTTTAAGAGAACTTTACTTGTTCCTCCCCCTTTGAAATAAATCTTCCGTTAAAAGCATTACAATCCACCCATATCTTTGTTTGATTTGATGCTTTGTTTTTAAAAGCTTTATACTCTTACACGTGGATTGCGTACCCCATCATTCTCCGAAAATCAAGGAATCAAAGAACCATGGAATGTGCAAAATAAAAATTATGCACTAAAAAAATTTTATGGACTACAATTTTAGTGTTTGTTTCATTTAAATTTAAGTAACTAATTTTATATGATTAAAAATGATTAAAAAATATATATAAATTAATTTTTTTAACTTTAAAACAAACAATCCCTTAAGTTGTTTGTTAATTTTTTGACAGCAAAATCTGCTGATGTAATCTCTAGTGTTATAAAAGTTATTGAGTGATGTGAGATCATTTACTACTATCAACCATTCATATTACATTATGGGAATAAACTTTATAAATTAAAAAAAAAAGTTACTATATATATTACGAGTGAATGATATTACATGATTAATTTTGAATCGTAAAAAATGACTCTTTCACAGGTAAAGTTAAAGGGTAGAAAACATCGAGGTGTATACAATGCCTGTAACTTGTGTCTACTTCAATTGTTTATCATCAATATATATATACACACATTAACAATAATCAGATATCAACAAGATTAAAATAAGAACCACCGTTGAACTCTCGGACAGAGTTAGTCTGAGAAGGTTGTTTGGCTGCCAGTAACTTGTGCCATGTGTAATTTTCGAGCTCACAGACAAATGCAAAAGATTCTTATGCACAAATCACAAAACCCTTTTTGAAATTTTGTGGTAGTAGTAGTACTAATTATTTTTTTACCTTCCCCAATAATCATTTTGCTACCTTGGTAGTCAGCACCACCTTCCAGAATCGTGACCTTGGATCTCTAACATTGTATAAAACCAAACAATCCGCGGATTTTCTGGTAGGCTGAAGCTCTTTGTTGAATAATTAATAATGCATAATAATAATAATAATAATAATAATACAATTAGCTAATTTTAAGCAAGATAAGAAACAGAAACATAATAATTTTGAAAATAGTGCTAATTAAGTACAAACTTGCTCTTTCCTTTGTCTTACCTTTGCGAATCAAGATTTAGAAATAAATAATTTGTTTTCATAGTGTTCCCTCACGTGCCAAATTACTCTAGTTTGTATGATTATGCCACTTAATTTACCATTTGAATGGTGCACCACTGGGGATAACAAATACAAAGACAATGATATATAGTTGCTCGACAGGGCCACAAAGCAATCAATCTTAGTACGTGTCCGCAAATTTCTCGACTAGTGAAGAGACAGACATAGTATCCACTATACTCACTTCACTGCTTACAAAGATATACCAATAAAATCTTTTCTAGCTTTTTATTTTATTGTCACTGTATTATAATGAAAACAAATTAAAGAGAAGTAGTCACACTCTTCAAAAAGAAGCCAAGATAAGTTAAAAATCCAGTAGGGACCTTCCTTGTACTTACAGCTTTCTTCCCTTTCAAAATTTCTTTTGGCAAACCAAACAAGAAAGTAAATTACTCTTTTATTGTAATGTAAGTCTTTTATTTTACATTATACCTTCGTTACTTTTTCTTTTTATTATGTGACGTGGATCTTATGAACTTTTATATATTAAACTTAATTGATATATTTTCATTTTAACTAATTATCCAGTCAATAATTTTTTAGCTTCTCTAAGATGTGTTTGTATAGAGGGTTTTGAAGGAAAAGAAAAATGAAGATCATCTTTTTATTTCTAATAATTTTTTAAATAAAAAATGTTAGATTAACATAAATTTAAAGTCATAATATATTGTTTATGTTATAAATATTATATACCATTCGTTAACTTAATTAATATTTTAATTTTTTCATCATCTTTAATAAAGTTTTTTAAATAGTATTTCATTAAATTGATAAATTAATGTTCATGTTTTTAAAATTAAAAAATTTAAATGATTATGTTTTTATAGTTTACTTTATATTCTTTATTGCTAATAAAATAGTTTTTTCTTAAAATGTTTTATAATTTAATTTTTTTATATTTTACACAGGTAAAAACTTCCAGTACATATTAGCTTATATTTAGCTCAAAATGCATTTATTAATTTTTTTTTTTTAAACTCTTTCTTTCTTACGTGCCTTTATTTTATAGAATCTAAACCACAGTACATCTTGACATGGGAGAGTTGAGAGTGAACCCCACCCGAGACCATTGTTATATCTATTCAATCTATATTTTGACAAAATCTAATAAATATACACATTAACTGATAAGATATTACAATGAATTGGTTAGTACATGCATGCAGAGAAACGTAGCCATCGTAATTTTACATCGTAGTTGCATTTGAAGTTATTGCGTTTTCATTGCAAGTATAAAATAACGAATAATTATTTATATATATATATTTACTCACTTTACAGTCTTTTATTTTTCTTATTTTTTTCCCATCACTTTATGCTTTATAGTTATCAAAAAAAAATTTATTATCATTCTCTTTTTTCTATATGTATATACAGCCATCAAGAGTGCCAAAACTTATTTATCCTAAAAGATACATGCAAATGATACGGCTTCAACTTTTAGTTACTGAGAACTTCAACATTGCAACACAGGAATAATTTAAAACCTTGTAAATAGGAATAGGATTCCTGCAACTGCAAGTTCACCATTGAAGTGTCACTAATCTAAGTTTACTTAAATTTTCAATTAACTTTTTATTTATTTATAATTTTCACATAAAAAAAATTAAATGAATGGGATCTTTTAGGTGCAGAAGATGATGTTGGTAACACATTTGTCAACAAAATCGCACTTACATTTCACAGTTCACACGGAGAGGTGAGTGAGAACACTCTGCTGGTAACTATTTGGTACGGCGGCGGAATCTCTGCTTGAAGAATATCATCATTTTTCTAGAGCGTATACAATTTTTTTAAATAATTTTATATTTTTAAAATAATAAATTTATTTTTAATAAAAAAAATTATTTTTAAATACTTAAATTCAGTATTAAAGTTAACAAAAACTATTTCAAATATCTATTTTAAAATACACGAATATGCATTTTTCTTCAATGCAGTTCTTAAAGTTTAATTTTAAAAGAATAATGTATGCACTTTAAAAAATGCAAAATTATATATACAGTTAATATCATATTTTCAGGGAGAATGACCAAAAGCCCTCGTACAATCTTGGCGCGCACATGCGGGATTAACGCCTTAACTACCGATGGGACCCACCCCGAGGCCTTAAATGGCACCCTTGGGTAAATAACAACAAAATCTTTGGACAAAAAGGTAAAAACAATCACGCCCTGTTGTACTATAAGAAACCCAAAACCCCCCTTTTAACGGTCTAACTAAACCCACACTCACTCTGCCGCCACAATACTGTCGGCAACCCCAAACGCCACCGTTTCCCTCCGAACATCTTCAGCGCCCACCCACTTCGCTTCCACGCACAATGCAGCTCAACCGTGTCTCCGCCGCGTCGAAACTGAGCCTCACGTGCTTCAGCCTCGTGTTGAAGCTAGTGGTGCTGTACACGGCGGAGGGACAACCTCAGCACCGTGGCCCCGACCTACATTGGTACACAGGAACCGCCACGTGGTACGGCGACCCCGAAGGAGACGGAAGCACGGGTAACTAACTAACTAACTCCTTAACAAGATCTATTATTTTGATGTTTGAGACCTGACTCGCTGAGTTGACTCAGCGAATTAACAAAAGTGTATGTTGTAACATATTTTTATGAATGTGTGAAGGTGGAGCATGCGGGTATGGTTCAATGGTGGACGTGAAACCGTTCAGGGCCAGAGTGGGTGCAGTGGGGCCCATACTGTTCATGAACGGGGAAGGGTGTGGTGCGTGCTACAAGGTCAAGTGTTTGGACAAAAACATATGTTCGAGGCGAGCAGTGACAGTGATAATTACGGACGAGTGCCCAGGTTGTCCCTCTGACCAAACACACTTTGATCTCAGTGGTTCTGCGTTTGGCCGCATGGCTATTGCTGGCGAGCACGGTCAACTCAGGGACCGGGGTCAAATCCCAGTCATTTACCGAAGGTATTATCTATCTTATTTTGTAATTTTCCTGTTAAAAATTGGTTTTCTTTTCAAATAAAAAAAATAAAGCCTGTGTTTGTGTTTGGCTGTATTTTTTTGTTTCTTTTTTTAAGTTTTCTTTTTTAATTTATAAAACATAGTTGTTTCGTTACTTTTTCTATTTAAAAAATGCTTTTTTTCCACGCCTTTCCTTTGGGTATACATACCTTGGGAGGTAAATGTCACGGGTGATACATTAAAAAGAAAATAAATGAGATATAATTAAAAATTAAGTTATAGAAAATTATTAATGAAAAGGCCTGAGGAATGTGAAGTGAGTTACAGCTATACATATAGTATAAGGGTTGTGGATAGAGGGATGTTTGCCCTTGATCTTTACTTTGGTTAACTCTTTGACTAGTTCCATTTCTTTTCCTTCTTTTATTTACTGCAAAGATTTGACTTTTGACATTTTTTTAGCCTATTATATTAACCCAGCTTCCCTTTAAAGGAAAAATGTTACTCTCTGTTTGGGCTAGCCTATTTGTTTCTATATATCAGGATACTGCATAATCTGCTTCCGGTGTGTACCCTTGTTGGGTCTTGATTGATGTACCCTTTTGTTTTGTGGATTAAAGGAAAGGCCCAATTTAAATATCAATTTCTAATAAATGAATTTTGTCCTCTGTGATTGTATTGTTTGCAGAACACCGTGTAAATATCCAGGAAAAAAAATTGCCTTCCATGTTAATGAAGGCTCTACACCATTTTGGCTATCACTTCTGGTTGAGTTTGAGGATGCAGAGGGAGATATTGGCTCCATGCACATAAGAGAAGTATGCATCTTTCTTCTGTTGATATTTATTTCCATAATCATTTTTGCTGTTACACCTAATTTCTCCTGTATCCTTTATTTATATTTGTGAGTTACAATAAGTTACAAAAGGAAAGAGTAAAATATAGAACAAGAAAAAAGAAAAACATGAAAGCATGATGCCATCACAGCTAACAGCCTTTAATGTGAAAATACTATGTAAAAGTTGAGAGATTCTAAGAATATATTAAAAATTAATACTTTGTAATAAAACATTTTTTATTTTTGATTCTTTAACCTGATCGGATTTGCATTTGTCTATAATTTGTGGCCAGAATGTACACTTGATATATTTAACTAATGAAGTGCAATGGACAGTAATAATAATATATTGCACTTTTGGAACACTACTTCTTGAGAACTGTTGCAGATTTGACCAAAAGGAACTACCTAAACGTGAAATAAAGCGTTATGGTCATTCCCATGTTTTTTTTACTGATAATAAAAGGGAAGTAGCATTGTCAGTTATTATTAAAGTCCATGCTAACACTTGACAATTCCAAATTTTGCGGACGTGTCTCCTTAGTACACGTGTCTCTGCCCATCACTCCAATCTTTAGAACCTTAGGATGTAGATCATCTGCCAAAGGTTGCAATTGGGAGTCCCTCTTCTCTCCTATTAAATATATTATCAGTGGGTTATTCCTCATATAATTGTGCCTATTGACAACTTTGCTATGGTGGTACTTTCCCTGTGTTTTCTGGGCTTAAATCACGTGAGTGATATGGGACCAATGTTAAAACATTTCTATGTATGAAATTACTTGACTTTAGGAACATTTGGCAACTTAATTACCAAAACAAATTAAATAATTATTAAGTGGTGATTTGATATTTGTTTACATATAAATCATTAAATTATGGTTATACTGTAATCCTTACATTTAATTTTTTAGCTAGGTGGGGTCAACTCCAATTTGTTTTATTGCAAATTTTACTATATAAAAATGAGGCTAACTTTGTTTTATTCTTTACACTGTTGTTGTGTTTTGCTATTGGCAGGCAGGGTCTACGGAGTGGCTACAAATGAATCATCTTTGGGGTGCAAATTGGTGCATTATTGGGGGACCTTTAAGGGGACCATTCTCGGTGAAATTGAGCTCTTCTACTGGGAGGAGCCTCTCTGCCAGAGATGTTATTCCGGGCAATTGGGTTCCAAAGGCCACTTACACCTCTAGCCTAAATTTTTACACCTAGTCACACACCCTTTGCAATTGGTACATCCAAGTCTCCTTCCCAAAGAGGGTAATTAATATGCCGTGTTACCTAGTTGATCCCATAACTCAAAAATAGTCTTCATGAGCTTCCAACACTCTTTCCCTTTGTTTGCTATATAGTATACATTAGTTTTTTTTTACTCCTCGCCCTTTTTTTTTTTATAAGAAAAGTAACCATTGGAGTGCACAAGGGCATCCAATGGTCCTTCTCCTTTCTTATTATTATTTTTTTATCTTGATTTTGTATACCTACTTGTCTGTGTGTTGTAATTGTTGGTATTAAATGTCATGTAGCCCTCTCCAAACTGGAGAGAGAGCGGGTAGTGTAGTATCCTTGATTCTTTATGAAGTTGAGTGTGTGTACTGGTCCCATTAGGCTTTTAATGAACATTAATTCTGGACTATTTATGTTTTTAACTTTCATTGTGCTGAACTTGTGACAATCTCCACATTGTGGGTCCTCATGGATAGTTTCCTTGTAAGCTTTCATAGCATTAATTAATTTCTATATTGACCAAAGAAAAGGTAACAGTTCTTTCAGAAGCTCATTACAGGTGGGTGTTTGTTGCCATGCAAGATTTTACTTTGTCTATCAACTTGTACTTTGTGAAACTTTTTACAGTAAAAAATCAGCGTTAAAATTAGTGTAGCTTTAAGTTAATTTACACAATTTTCAACGTTATTTTTTCATGCCAGCTTAAAAAAAAGGTTAGTTTTTTATTTACTACAACCAAAATAAACAAAATTTGGAAGTATTTTGATAAGGTTTAGCTCAAGTTCAATCTATCGTGATATCCCACCATACATTTTATAGTAATATCTTGTAGTTTGGGCCTTGAGTAGTTGAGGCCTGATATACGCCTTTAATTCTTAGTTGATTGTATGGTGATTGAGATGTCTCTCCACTAAAAGTTCTTGAAGGGAAAGTTGTAGTGGTTTTATGGTCAAGGATTTAGCAATTGAAAGGATTTATAAGTTGGTCATTCATCATATTGAAAACTCTTGCCAAATAAAAATTTACAGAACAACTTAAATTGATTTTTTTTTTTTTGTCCAATCCCATTATAGGTTAGATTGATTGAACCAATCTGATTGATGTAAAAATATCCTTAATACAGATAAAATGAATAATTAAGTAAAAAAACAATAAGAAAATTAGTCTTAATAATTTTAAGAGTTATTTTAGAAAAAGAATATAAATTATTAATAAATTTAATCTTATTAATTAAATTATTTATATATTTTACCGTATTATAAAGTAGGTGTATAAATTCTAATGCTTAACCGTAGTTGGCAAACAAACATTTGAGCCTTCCCTTCTATGACAAGTGTACCTGTCCCATGCTTATCAACAATGGCATAAATGAGAGATCCAGATTCTTTTCAGTTTACATAAAAATTAAATCTCTAGTTCTTTTTTTTAAAATGAATTTAAATTTATTTAAATAAAAATTTAATTTTTGCTTAAGCCATTCTCCAGAATCACGAGTGGTTCCTCTGTTTTCAACTTAGAATGTTGCGTTTTGTTTTGTTCTACCTCTCTCGCTTCCTTCACCTGCCAAACCTTCTTCATAGTTCTCCAGCGTTGAAAGCTGTCATTTTTCAGACTTCTCAACCACTCCATGCTCTTGCTAATGTCGTTTCTGTGGTTGGAGATTTTGCAATCATTTCAACTTAGTTTGCCATGTTGGGGTTTTGTCCTTGCATTTTATGACTGGAGGGTGTAATGGAATTGGAGCTTGGGTCTTCAACTCTGTGCTCATGACCCAACAAAAACAAAATCTCTCAAAGTTTAGAATCCAACACTCACAGTACACTTCTCATTGAAAACTCTCCACTCCGTCATTCTGGATTGCAAGATATGGATCTACCATTATGAGTAAAATTAAATGTGGATCTTTTTGTGGTGCTTGTTGGACTTTGTTCAAGGCTAGGAGGAATGCATGCGCCTTGTCAGTGAAGGACTTGGGATTCTAATTCAACAACACAGCGGTGAGGTTATTGAAAGAGAGCTGGCTCTGGCGAAGAGGCAGTTTCGCTTAAGCATGATTTAGTTGCTTAAACGAAAATTACTTTTTTATTTAAATAAATTTAAATTTATTTAAAAAAAAAAATAACTAAGGTTCTACGTAAATTAAAGAGTGTTAATGTTTAGTATTTATAATCAGGTATATGGGCTTAAGCATGCGGAAAAATCCACATAGCGTAAAAGTTAAATAGGTTTAAATTAATAAAAATGTAGGCCCGTTTAAATGTAAACGTTTTTTTTTTCTGTTTGTTTAGACCACAAGTTATCAACGTAGCAGCAAACTATTTAAATTTATATATATAATATTTCTTCAAATTAATTAATTAATTATATAAAAGTCAAGTATTTTATAATTAATTTTACTAAAATTTAAAACAAATTCCTGATCAAATGCTTATATATATTATTTATTTAGTTGTTTCCAACTAAAATTGATTATATCTTTAAAATTTTATTTAACTACTAGTACAAAAATATAATTTTTACATTCAGTTAAAAATTTTACTATATGTAAACAAAAAAATAAATACTACAACTTTATATTTAAAAAATAAAAAATTAAATATAATTTTCCTCACTTAAATTTAGTTTAACATCGTTTAAACACATTATTCGATTGTGCGACCACCGTTATAGATTTAAATTTTCATAACTTTTTTTCTAGGAATCAGAGAGAGCTACAAGGATTTAATTTGTAGGGTTAATGAAACATCATATTATCAATTCATCATGTCATATTTTCATATCATAAAACATAATTTAAAGAAAAACTAACCAATTCTTTAAAGATTTTGATTAAAAAATTAAATATAAATTTTTTTATTAAAAAGTATAATAATGTACCCATCTCGTAATTATCTTTTAATGTAATTTTTTATATAGTGTTTATTTATTAATTTCTTAATTAATTTATTAAAAGTTATATATATAACAAATCAAATCCTCAAAACACTGCATGTCCTGAGAAACAAAATGATTAACAAAGCATCCCTTTGGCAGTCAAGGTTCCACATTGTAAGTATCTTAGTAGACCTTTCCTCTTTGTGTGTCTGCCACCAACACAAAGCCTCAAACCCTTTCTCTATGAAATGAAATGCTTCTCTTTTGCAGGCTCCAAGCTCCTCTTTTGGACTCTCCATTCTTCGCCTAAAAAGAAGAGACAAGAGAAAAGCATGAAAGCAAACAAAAGAGGAGCATGCTCCTCGGAATAGGCAACAAATTACCTTATTTTTCGGCTTAATTCAATGACCCCACAATATAGAAATTAAGGAACCATGGTAAAATTTGTCAATGCTTATATCTCCAACTTTAGCAAGGAGATCATCATCATTCGCAGTTAGAAAAAGAACCCCTTTTAATATTTGTTTAGTCCTCTCTTAGCCCCACTTATGACAAAAACATAATACACCTTAAAGTATTTCAATTTAAAGTAATAATCAGTTTCTAAACGCTATTATCTCAGATGGGTGTTCTTCAGTTTACACTTCTCTACTTGATTCTATTGCATTCTTGCAAGATTGTTGCTTACAAGGACCAAGAATGGAAGAAAGCCACTGCAACTTATGCCAATGACACAGAGGGGTCTCTTATAACCGGTACTTCTCTTGCTCCTTTGGTTCTTACATAGTCTCAGCAAGAAAAAAAGTAGTCTTTTTTGACAATGTGGTTGTGCTATGTGTTGCAGAAGGAGCTTGTGGTTATGGAGATCTCCACAAAGCTAGCTATGGAAAACACAGTGCTGGGTTAAGCACCATTTTGTTCAATAGAGGGAGTACCTGTGGGGCTTGCTATGAGATCCGATGTGTTGACCATATCTTGTGGTGTGTCTTGGGAAGTCCTTCTGTAGTTGTTACTGCTACAGATTTCTGTGCACCAAATTTTGGGCTCTCAGTTGATTATGGTGGTTGGTGCAATTTTCCAAGGGAACATTTTGAGTTGTCACAAGCTGCATTTGCTGAAATTGCCAAGAAAAAAGCTGATATAGTCCCGGTTCAGTATAGAAGGTAAAAACATGCTTCAATGATAACTATTGATTAAGGTAAACGTTAACTAGTGTTTTTAAATAATTAAAATGATTTTTTAATAATTAAAACTGTTATTAATGTATGTTATTATGATTCTTAACATAAATTTTTTATTTTGAATGTTTTTAACTAGTGTTCTAATTAACAAGAACCTTAAATTTAAACCGTGTTAATATTTAAGTTTGTTGTTGATCAAAGGGAAAAATGTTTTGCAGAGTAAAGTGTCAAAGAAGTGGTGGCTTGAAGTTCACAATGAGTGGAAGTGCACACTTCTATCAAGTCCTGATTACCAATGTAGGAATGGATGGTGAAGTGGTTGGTGTGAAAGTGAAGGGATCTAGAACAGGGTGGATACCAATGGCAAGAAACTGGGGACAAAACTGGCATTGCAATGTGAACCTTCAACGCCAGCCTTTGTCCTTTGAGGTAACTATTAGCAGTGGAAAAACACTCACATCTTACAATGTAGCACCGGCAAACTGGCTGTTTGGACAGACATTTGAAGGAAAACAGTTTAAGAATGAATAGATACAGAACTTCAAATTGGATAAAATTTAGGAGGCTTGAATTTTCTAGTTGCAAACTGTGGTTTGTGAAATCTGTTGACAAAGAGCACAAGTTTAATTGTATATTTGCTCTTCTTTCATGCAGTAAGAAAATGCTTAAAAAGATAGGCTGAGGAAAAGATGTGCATGGTCCCTACCCTTACAGTTCCATTATTCAAAAGGCAACATTAATGGAATATGTAATCATTTGGAAAGTAATGTTCTCTTATAAATAGTCTTATGAACAGTTCTTTTCCCATCTTTATCTTGTCATTTGATTTTGTTTCTTGAACCCTTTTTTATGAAAAGCCCATCCTAATCCTCCCCTACATGATACAAGTCAGTTTGATTTGAAGATATTTGCGCTCAGGACAAGAAACTTGAGCAATTAAACAGTGACACTTTTAATTAATTCCATATTTTCTTTCTGCATTTTAATTAAAAAGAATAAAATTTCTGGATTAGTATTTTAATAGTTCATGATGGCATTGTCAATAATTATTGAATCAACAAGGATATTTGCACTCTATTCATCACTTCCCTCTTGAATAATAAAATCAAATAGAGATTTTAAAACATATTATCTTTACTTTTATTTTCCAAGCAATACAAAGTATTAAAATGGCGTATTAATGTGATGTATAAATTACATAAGCCTTCTTTAATAGAAGCTGCTCAAGCCTGTGTAAACTACAGAACTTCTGTGCTGTAAAATAAACTAATAAAACAATCAAAATATGATGAATTTTAATCGTACAAATGTATGATAACTAAGAAACTAACACAAATTTTAGAAATTAATTCATGAAATTCTACTTTTGATAACGAATGTCAAAACAATTCGAGTTCTATACCATATTCGAGTTATTCCATGGTAATCCCTATAAAAGATATTAATATTAAAATATTAGTTTTATCGAATACAATTTTTTAAAATAAAATTTGTAATTTGAAATAACTTTTTTTATATTATTATGTACAGAAACATTCAATGCCACGACACGCATTAGACGACGTGTCAAAATAATTGCTCGACACGTCAGACTCAACGGCGTCGTTTAAACTAAAACTTGGCAACCTCTCTTTTACACGTGCTCTGTTCATTCTTTCTTCTTCTACCTTGCGCCTTCTAGAAACTTCAGAACCCGAAGTCATGGCGGATCGATTCTTCCCGAACCCGATGCCCGAGTTCGTACCCGAAACGACACCGTCCACTCCGCAGGAACAACAAGAAGCACTCACGGTGGGAGACGGAGACTCCCTCTCAAAGCTCCTCGCGATGCCTCACGTGCCACTCTCGGAGCGTCTCAAACGCGCCGCCTTGGACCTCAAAGAAACCGTACAATAGCAAATTCATCTCTTTCTTCATTTTGACACGTGCTTCTCCGTTCTCACACAACCCACCATGTGTTTGTGGTTTTGTGTCAGATAGTGATAGAAACATGGGGCGTGTCGGGGCAAAACGTGCGTGATTTCACTCTCTATTGTGGCCTTCTGGGCACTGCTTCTCTGCTCTTAAAGTCTTACCAAGTGACCTGCAACACCAACGATATCACTCTCTGTTCCCAGATTGTGAAGGCTTGCGATGCTGCTTCTATTCGTTCAAGGTTCTCTCTCTTCTCTCACTACTCCTTTACTGTTTTCAAGGATTCTGTGTATTGGTAGAGGTTCAAACTTTAAGTGAATGGATGATAGGGACGTTACCTTTATTTGTGGGCGTGCTGGTGTGTGTGCCATTGGAGCTGTGGCTGCAAAATATGCCGGTGATAATGAGTCCTTGAGGTACTACTTGGTTCAGTTCGAAAAGGTATTACTATTTAAGTAGAATTGGATTTGTTTAATTTATTATAATTATTATTATTGTTGTTGTTCTTGTTCTTGTTCTTGTTCTTGTCTGGTTCTTGTTCTTGTTCTTGTTGTTCTTGTTCTTGTTCGAAAAGTTCTGTTGTATTTATTTAGTTTAAAATCAGAATATAGTGATAAGAACTAACGACTAACTAAGCCTCGTCGGTTGCAGATTAAGCTGCCAAAAGATCTTCCTGATGAGTTGTTATATGGGAGAGTTGGTTTTTTATGGGCGTGTCTGTTCTTAAACAAGCACCTTGGTCAGGGGACAATTCCTTCAAATTATACTGTGAGTGGTCTTTCAGCTATACTTGTGATTTTTGCCTTTTCTGTGTGTTGAATTGGGAGATAAGTGAATGAATACCATGGGGTTGTGTTTTTGGAATTGCTTCAGGCTATGGTTGTGGATGAAGTCATAAAGAATGGAAGGGCATTGGGTAGGAAGGGAAGATGCCCATTGATGTTTGAATGGTATGGAGAGAAGTATTGGGGTGCTGCGCATGGATTGGCTGGGATTATGCATGTCTTGTTGGATATGGATTTGAAGCCAGATGAGCTTGAGGACGTTAGGGGAACTCTCAAATACATGATAAACAATCGCTTTCCCAGTGGAAACTATCCTGCTAGTGAAGAAGATAGGAAAAGGGACGTTCTTGTGCATTGGTGTCATGGAGCTCCTGGAATGGCCCTCACACTAGTCAAAGCAGCTAAGGTGACCACATGTTCAACCTTGATAGCACATGTTTTCTCGAATGAAATTTTATGATCATCTGGAGGAGTTGCAAAATTCTCATTTATCTTTGGCTCCATGATTCTTGAAAGAACCACTTCATTGCATTGATTAAACACTAAAAGCAAAAGAAGTCCTTTTTTTTTTTGGCAAATTGAATTGTTTGTTAAATGTTTTTGCTATTCTGGGTGCTTCTAACTTTTTCTCTTTTTATTTCAAAACATAATCCACAGATATTTGGGGATAAAGAATTCTTAGATGCAGCTATTGAAGCAGGAGAGGTGGTGTGGAATCGTGGTCTGCTTAAGCGAGTTGGGATTTGCCATGGTATAAGTGGGAATGCATATGTGTTCCTTTCACTGTACCAACTTACCGGGAATGAAAAGTATCTATACAGGGCCAAAGCTTTTGCTTGCTTTTTGCTTGACAGAGCTCATAAGCTGATATCTGGAGGTGAAATGCATGGTGGTGATAGACCATATTCATTGTTTGAAGGGCTTGGAGGCATGGCTTATCTCTTTTTGGACATGATTGATCCTTCACAGTCTAAATTCCCAGCTTATGAACTCTGAGAATCTACATATTATGGAAAGGATGCCTAATGTATAAACAGTGTATTATTATATGACCGAGGAAAAAAGAAAATGAGAGCCTTAGTTTGTAGAATATATACTTCCTAAGTTTCGTGCTATGTGAGAACTATGCTTCAGCAATTGTGTCAATATCCTTCCCTTTACTTTTTGGCTTGTTTATGCATGCTTTTCCTCGTCACAATCATCTTTACAGGATATTTTGTATGTGATTGCCCTCTCTATACCGTGAAAATAATGACCTATGGCTGTACTGGAGCTGTATTGATGTAGTGATGGTGGAGTTTGTGTTGTGATCTTAAGAAAGAAACTAGGTTGGGTTTCACGTACATGCATATACTTGTCTATTAGCTCAAACGCGCGAAATTGAAAGCATACAAAATCAATCAACTAACTTCAAGGTTTGAATATAAACATACAAAATAATTTTTTTAGAAAATTTAGTTTTTGATAAAGTTTAATGCTGCATCCAATGTCAGTTTAGAAAATTATTAAATATGCAAAGTTTACCTTACGATATAAAAATACATTTTAAACTAACAAGTTAACCATGTGTTGTACGGGCACTATTAAGTAAAATTTTAGAAAATGTATAAAATAAAAGAAACATTTTAAATTATAAGATAAATTTACACAATTATTTTAAACAAATTATTAGGAGATATAAGTAATTTAGATTTAAGGGAAAATAGTCGCTTTGATAATTGAGATTTAGAACAGAAACATAACTTTTTATGTAAAATTTTAAAAAATATAGTTTATCTTGTCATAAAAGCATTTTTTTAAAATAATTTTAAATTTATGAAAATAAGTGTTAAATAAGACGAAACATGTTATAAAGAGAATAAATATGAGAAGAAATGTCTTCATTTTTAAGAATAATCTTACAAATTTATAATATATAAATCAGTATAAAAACTAATAGATAAAAAAATGTAGACATAACTGAAAATTAAATCTTAATTAATTCAATTATCCCTTAATTATAAACTTTATTGATAATACATGATTTACGATTTACTTCTCATAAATAAAAAATATTATGTCACATTTGTAATGTTTAAAAGAAATATTAATCACTATTTTAAATACACTAATTAAAAATAAAAATATTGTGAATAATATTTTTTATTAATTACTTAACCTAAGACTCATAAGAGAAAGAAGCTTACTTGATGGAGGCGAGGGTGGACCGGTTGTAGACCAGAAGGAAAGAGAAGAAGAAGTAGCGAAAGATGGCAGAAGCGAACGCCAACAACAAAGACAATCGAAGACGAAGAAGAATCCTAGAACAAGGATCCGACCGTCTCGCCTTCATAACGGGTCGGATCCAAACACCTCCTCCCCCTCTTCCGGATCCCCATCCAAACACGCCCTTTCCCTCCACTGGTACTTTCCCTAACCCTATTCGCTATTCCAATTTTCAATGACAATTCTAATTTCCATTATTTGGTTTGCTTGCAGTTGAAGACTCCCTTTCCACTTCGCAAAATCCCCAACCCTATCCCTCCGACGTTTCCAACCGTAAAATCCAAGCACCCCCTTTCGCAACTGAAAACGAGATTTCAAGTGTCCCAACTTCCGAACCCGAACCTGTACCTGAACCTCAACCCGAGCCCGAACCTGTCCAGATTCTACCAGAATCCAAACCTTTCATCCTCCCGAGTGACATAACCGGTGCCATCAACGCCTCAAAGGTTACTCGTCTTTGTTGTTCCGTTGTTATGGCTGTTCTAGTCCTTTCATCTTATCTTCGATTTTCTTTCTTCGACACCAACTTCGTTAAGAGTGTTGTAGGGTTTAGGCCACTCTATTTGGTTCTCCTCACCAATTTAACGGTTGTGGTTGCAACGATCGTGTCTCGAAAACAGAGAGGTTTCGGGAGAAGAACACGCAACACAAATTCTTCTGATTCGCAACTTGCTAGGGCATTGGAATTAGGTCTGCTGGTGAAGAATGTGGCGGATGCAGTGTTCATGGATTGTGCTGTTTATGCTATCGTTCTCATTTGTGGCCTTTCCTTGCTCCACACATGACAACCACACTTGCACTTCCCTTTTGATTTTGTAACTGATTCAGTTTTAGTAGTTCACTAATTTCATTTTAATGTTCTTTTTTATGAGCATTTGTTTCTCGCAGTGAGATTAATGAAGGCGCATTGTGTATTATTGTATTAACCACCCTGCAATTTGGAAAATTAAGCTAGTTGTTAGGATATAGAATGCATTTAGAACGCATGTCTTTTGAATAGTTATGCAATAGCTGCTCGTTTCTGGCATTTATTAGTTTCAGAAATTGTATTTGGTGATGCAAAATATTATGCAACAGAAGGAGATATGAAGAAAAAAAGAAAATATGGAATAAGCTAATTAATGTGACGGAGAGAGATATAAAGAAAACAATTTTGCATGAATCGTTTGACTCTTCTAGTTTTGTCCGTGTATGGTAGAATTTGACTATTTTAGATGAGTGTTGTTAAAAGTATTGAATATAATTTTTAAGTTTAGGTTACCAATTTTTCAGTAAAATATGATTCGATTAATTTATCTTGAAAAGAAATTGAGTAAAAAATAAAATTTATGAATTTTAGGTAAAGGAAAATAGAAGGAAGACTGAATTTACTTCCTGTCTTATATGTTTTTTCACATTTAAAATTTCAGCTCTATAAATCGCCATCCATTTAATTTGTTGGATCTTTTTATCTCCTGAAATGCATTTTTCAAGCTTTAAACGGCAACCAATCCCATTATCTTTTTCTTACGCAAGCAATCTTCAATAGAGAGGTTTTTTTCACATTTTCACACGCCTTGACTTTGACGTGACATTTTATACTATTTTTGCTAATTTTTTAAAATTTAGTTTTTCCAAGTTAAAAAAATTCCATAATTGTTACTTGATTTATTAATTATTTTAAAATCTCTACATAATTATAATTTACTTGCTTAATTTTTATTCCACTCCAAATTATTGTCAAAATAATTATTTAAAATGCTGTGAAAATTAAATTAATGACTACAACCAATTGAACTTAATGGATTATAATAGACTAGTTACAACAAGGTATGTAAATAAATAAATAAAACATATCCACAATATTCACATTAATTTCAAATTAATAGATAGTAACGATGATGATGATAATAGAACTGGACAATGAATGTATTTATTGAAATATAAAAAATAATGACTATCTAAATATATATTATCAAATTTCAAGCTTAAAGTTAAGTAATTAATTACATCTTTTTTATGTGATTTTACGTTATCAACTAGTTCAATATTTAGTTTTACCAAATAATTTTATCATCTTAACTAGACACATTTGTTAATTCAAAGGGTGTCTAATCAATGACTTAATGTTAGAACTAAAGTGCATGAAAATGCATGCTCAACGATTTTCATACGAGCACGACATGTGTCCAATAAGATCATAAATCAGATCCAGCAACAATTGAAGGATAAAAATATAAGATGATACCAATTATATGATAGCATTGCAAGATGATAGCAATTGAAGCCACCATTTTTTTCATGTCACAACTTTTAGAGGTAAGAGTGTATAGCAGCAGTGCCGAACCAGGATTTGCTTTTGGAGTCAACCTCTAAATGTAGAGAGATATGCACTGACTTTGAATATGTTAACAGTAACTTACAAATGGAAGCCCTGCTAATTGTTAACTAAAAATAATTTGACCAAAGAAGGACGAGAGCTTGGTGTCATTAACATTATGTCACTGAAGCATATAAGCTTTGACGTCTCAAAATGATAAACAAAACAGATAGTAAAGTTAAATATAAAATAATCTGTTAAAAGAATTTTTCATCTTAATTACATCTCATGGAGTACATTGTAATGATGGTACAACAAATTGTCTCAGAACATCTCGAAGGACCATATGGAGACAATAATCCCCAACAAAAAACTCCTTCCATATACCATGTTGTCATTGACTTAAATGTAAGAAAAAGAAAGAAAGAAAGAAAGAAATAAGAATAATTGTACAACTAGTAAAAGTTTGCGTATACAATATGAATGCAATTTGTCTTCATGTTTTCTTATGTCCCTTACTCACAGATCTCAGATTTTTAGGGTCGCAGAAGATTGTATCAATCCAAAAAAATCCTCCCCAGAATCACATGTGTAGGATGGATAGTGCCTTAGACATAACTAGTGAAATATGTGTAACTATGGAATAACAAATCCCCCAGAGTAACAATCAATAATTTGTTAAACCATAACAAATCCCCCAGAGTCACAATCAATTAATTTGTTAAACCAGGTTTGTTCTGCACAAGTTGTTCAACATCTCCTTGCTCCATTTCTTTCCCTTGACTCTCATACTCATTCTGAAACATCATCTCTATCTGCTCCAATGACTTCCCTTTGGTTTCCGGAACTAGTGTGAAGACAAAGACAATGGCAAGAGAAGAAATAGCAGCAAACAGAAAGAATGTTCCAGCAACTGTAATTGCATCAGATATAGACAAGAAAGACATGGCAACAAGGCCACTGCAGACTCTATTAGCCACAGCTCCAAGTGCTGATGCTTGAGCACGCACACGTAAAGGGAAGATTTCTGATGTCAAAACCCAGCACACAGGGCCTAATCCAACTGAAAAGAATGCTACATTCCCACAAACAAACAGAATAGCCAATGCAATCACAAATGACCCTTGTCCAAATAATGAAAGAGTGGCCCCCATACAGAACAAACACACTGTCATCCCAATTGTGCTTATCAAGAGAAGGGGTTTTCTTCCTAGTTTATCAATGAGAATGATGGCTACCAAAATGAAAATAGTCTTTGTTATGCCTACAGCAACAGTAGCAGCTAGAAGTTTTGAATTATCCTCAATCCCAGCTGCTTGGAAAATTTCAGGACTGTAATACACAGTTGCATCGATTCCTGAGATCTGTTGAAAACACTGAATTCCAAGTCCAGTGATTAGCATCCGGCGAAGAGCAGGAGAAGGAAATAGAAGTTCACGCCAGACCGGTTTATCCTCATACTTGTCAGAATTGGCAAATCCAGCAGCCTGCTGTATCTCAGCAAGCCTCTCCTCCACTTCTTTATCATCTTCATTTGTTCTCAACAGCACTGATCTTGCTTCTTCAACTCGGTTCTGCATTACCAACCACCTGGGTGACTCGGGAATAATGAAAAGGGCAAAGCCAATGAACACGGAGGGCAGAATCCCTACAGCAAGCATTATTCTCCAACTTATGTGTGCAGAAAGGCCAGAAAATGCATAATTTGATACATAACCTAGCATAATTCCTACATTTATAAAAATCTCTGGGAAGGTAGTAAGAGAGCCTCTATTCAGGTTTGGTGATATCTCAGCAATATATATAGGGGAGATCATAACTCCAAACCCTATTCCAATCCCAGCTAGAAATCTTCCAATCATTAGTACATCATATGAAGGAGCAAGAGTCATTGTGACTCCACCCATTTGGAATACGACTGCAGCCAAAGCCATTGTCCATTTTCTACCAATGATATCTGATGTTCTTCCACCACCAAGGCTACCCAGTAGAGAAACAATGCTCAGAATACCCACCAAAAATTCTACCTGAACCTCAGATATCTTCAGATCTTCTTTGATAAATATAACAGCTCCACTCATCACACCAACATCTGCAAAATTCACAAAATAAATCATGTAAAAGCTTTGATTTAGAATTCAAGATCAAAATGATATCCACACTAAGAGATACAGTTGACTAAACTGCTCTCAGCTTGCCAGCTCTAAACCCAAATTTTGTAGATCTGTTACATGTATACTATAAATGCAAATACAAATCATAATATAATGGGCCACAGAACAAGAACATGGTGGCAAATGAACGGTTTGTTGGAAGCCATCACCAACCCAATATAAATAGAATAGTCAACCAAAAAATGCAGCGATGAAATCAACGCGGGAACTGAAGAAAATTTCCAACAAAAATGACAACAAGACGAAAAATAGACTTTTCAAACAAAACATACCATAGCCAAGAAGAACATTGTTGAGAGAAGCAAATATGGCACAAGCAAGAACATATCTCCTAGTACTGTTCCTCCTATCTTCCTGTTGCTGTTGGAATAAAACATCATCATTATCTTCAGGGAGCTCAGAGTTCATCCTCTTATACTTGTTCTTTGCTCCCAAGGGAATTCCAGACAACCCCATTTCCCCATTCCCGTTTTCTTGGAACCCCATCTCTTCCAATTGGAGTAGAACCTGCGGTTTTTGGTGTTCAAAGTTGAGAACTGTAGCAAGTTGCAACCTTTGATATTTGTGTTTGGTTGGACTATTCTACGACATATCCGAGACTAACAAAGCAAAACTAAAATCATGGAAGATAGATTGGGGTTTGTAGATCTGAAAACTGAAACTAAAACTGAAAGAATAAAAGAAACTCTTCCCGAAATTGAAGGACAAGACTCAGCAACAAGAGGGGCCAAGTGGCCAACCCTTTTTGTCACGCAAGCAAAAGCTCCGCAAAATTTCTTCAATATTTATTTATTATTTATTTGATGCATCATTCATAAGGTTTGGGGATTTGACCCCCTACTTTTATTAAGCTTAAATGGCGCTTTCCGCGCAACAAATATGCTTGTTAGCTTCCTAAAATATGTTACTATTTTATTGTTGTTAGCTAGCTTGACTCTCTTCATTTATTTTTATTATTCTTTAGACAGAAAGTTAATATAACTGTATTTTTAAAATTTTGAATTTCAGATTATAAAATAAAATAATTTTTTATTAATTAATTCGCATGTTCAATAATAAATTATAATTTATTTTCACATTTAATCAGGGTATAATTTGAATTTTAAAAATTATTATGATTATGATACGATAATCATATTTGTCTGGTTGAAATATGGTAAGATACGACAATTATAAAAATCCCAATTGAAAAACTGATGTGGAATCTATTAATTAGATATCGGGCATAGCTTTCAAGTAGGAAAACAATGATGAAAGATTGAGTAATTTATTCTGTATTTGTATTATACTTTTGGTTTTTATATTTGTCTTGTTTTTTATTTTTTATATGAAAAATTTTTATATTTTAATTTTTATATATGTATTATAAATTGATTCTACTGGTTTATTGAAAATATAATTATGTTAATATATTTTGTGTGTAAAAATTAAAATATAATTTAAAAAAAGTATTGCTAAATGAAAGATGAAATTTATAAACCTAACTGTTGACATAGATGGGAAGGGTTTTCCTTCACCATGACGCTTGGTTTTGTATAAACTGCGTTGAACAATTCATATTCCAATAAGTTCAACAAGAAAAAGTCGTGTTAGCTAGAAGAGTTTTTTTCCCCCTAAAAAATAAGATAAGTTTCTTGTGAAATAGTTGACTTTTTGCTTTGAATAATAAACTTATAAAATAATAGTGTAGCGAAAAAATTATTATAAAAAGATAGAAAATATTCCCTTAGAAAAATTAAGCGGAAAACAAAACAAAAAACGTAAAAAAAAAATGAACCAGTTTAATTAACACAAAATCCACTGATTTTCTTTTGTTTAACAAACATTATGAGAAATTCATAGTTCTGGTACAAATTTAATGATCGAGGCCACATATTCTTAATTATTTGGCCAACTTCTTTGATTGCTGTAAATGTAATCACTCAGTAAATTTATGAAAAAATCATTTATTTTTAAAATTTAGATATTTTACATATAAGTTTTTTACAGTCTCATTTAGCAATGTAATGATACTATCAAAGTGTCAATTTTTTCAATAATAATCGAAACACTTAAATCCATTTAGTAGGCTAACGAAATATTCTTTACTCTGATATTAAATAAAAATAAATCTATAAATTTCAACATTAACTGAGGTGTCGGCGAGCTGTAATCGAATGGAATTTGCTATTCATTCCTTGGAATCAACAATGGCACCGACAATATTATTGTCTTGTAGCTGGGTCTTATTACAGCAAAGTGCCAGCTAATTTATTTTTATTTTCAATGAAAAAAAGCTTTAATTGAAGGTTGATAACGATCAAAATTCATTCATGGAACATGAAAATGATATTTAAAAATTCTACTAAATTACTTAATCAAATATATAAAAACTATAATAATACATTTATGTTAACAGCTTTATAGTTGTGCAAAAATGTGAATTGTACCATATAATAAAAGTATTAACATAGCGAGCAATCTTTAAGAAGAAAGGTGATACTCTCATATTGCTCAATTTCTCAGAACCAATTAAGGCGCAAAACGCGGCAATATCATAAGCATGCTCAGACACTGCTGCTCTCACGCAGCCAACAATATTTCAGATATAAAATATAATAACTATCTAAATAATTTAAAATTATTTTTTTATATTAACATTATCATTTTAATAATTTTTTTTCAATAATTTTACTTTAGGACTAAATATATACTGAGCCAGTTTATGTGCAAAAAGACACAAATATACATTATTCAAGATTTATTAACATTACATGTTAAATTTAAATATTTATAATATTTAATAATTTTTTATAAAATTGATTAAGTAAATTAAATTTATAAAAATTTATACAGAAATAAATTAATATATACTTTATTAACTTTAATTATTTATATCAAGTTTTATAAAATAAATAATTAATTAGTTATTTTTTATATATTTTAAAAGTACATATTACATTAAATAAAGGGTCATTTTTTTATATAAAAAAAGGAAAAAATTACCAAGATATATATAACATGCTTAATTGTGCGGTTAAGCTTCATAACTGAAAAAGAGAATTTCAAGTACAAAATACGCTTTAAAGGATAATGTAAAGAGTGATAATTGTCAAGTAAAAAATATTAATAATTGAAATTTTAATATTTTATAATCTTCATTATTAATTTTTCAATTAATATATAACTATTACCCCAACACTTTTCACTATTAAATACAAGTACACAACTTTTATTTTAGGAAACCTAAATCCATATCCAATTTTCAATTTCAACTGTTATTTTTTTTTTAATAAAAAAGGCAAGAGACGCAAATCAAAGTTTACATATTTCAAGACAAACCAAGAAGAACTTGTACATGCTCAGTTAACTGAGAATGGATTTTTTATATACTAAAGGTTGGAACACACATATTAATTTGTTATAAATAATTAATTTTCTTGGGTCTTCAAGATTTTTGTTTTTATTTTGAACTAAGGTGTTGTTGGCAGAGCATGGCATGATTTCTACTTAGTACCTAATTGATGACCAAATCACTTGTGATAACTTGGATTATTCTTTTTCCCGTTTCCACGCAACAGTGTATGACGTTTGAGGATTTCTAAAATGACTTTGTCTTCTGTCTCGTTTGGCCCAATCATATATGGTGGTTGCAGCTAATTATCGTGCACCTTGTAAATCAAACATTGCAGACACATTAACATTAATTCTAATTTTACACTTTAATAATTTGGACGATGAATAAATAGAGAGTAAAATAATTAACATAGTTATATCTACTGATTCCTATTTCCATTATTTTGAATCAAATGATCTTGCAAGTTTGAAACTTTCTTGCCATTGAAAATTGCCCTTAGTTGACGTGTGAAAGGTGCGCACATTATAATAATCATTGTTGAAGTATGCTGGTTTTTTATATATTATAAAAGGACTAATCTCTTGTGAGTGATATGTATTAAATTATATCAAATAAAGTGGTGTAAAATTTAATTTGAATTTTTAAAGTGAGTTGACGAGCTTTCTCAAAACTCTTTGAAGAAAAGGACCTAATTAGAACTACAAACACTCAAATTAAAAGAAAAAAATTAAAGCTTTAATGTATATCTTGAATCTTTAAAAATTAGAAAGACAGAATTAATTTTAGCAAAGAAAACAAACAACAAGAGAATTATCCAACTACAAACATAATTAAATTTGAGTTGTATCTCATGTTACAAAATTTAGATTATGATATTTTTAAAATGAGGTGAAATTTCACGTTTTAAACTGCAATTTTAGTTTAAAAATCACTGAAAAAAGAGTTGTATTTTAAGAGATATGATATAGGTTAATTTAGAACGAAATTTTAGAATTATGATGAAATTTTGTATATTTTTAAATCCTATATCAGATTTAAGTTTATCATTGTGATTTCATATAAAATTAAATAATTAGAAGAATAAATAACAAAGGATAGGCATCACAAACCTAATTGGTTAATAAGTCTAAGTTGATTGTCACAATAATGTGAATTATTGATAAGACCTACAATTAAGGAAGAATCCTAGCCTTTAGAGGAAATATCACAATTTAAAATTTTGTTCAATCTGAATTTTACTTTTTTCATTCAATCCTAGTGATTTTAGTATTATGCAAATTAAAGTTTACATAATTAAAATCAAACAAGACAAAAAAAAAGTACCTTTACTATAAGTAAACTAAGATGACCTATTAGATAAATTTTAAATATTTTTAATTATAGACTGAAAAGAAAAAAAAAATTTCAAATTGAGTCATTAAGCTTGTGTCCTTCAAAATCAGCAAGAACAAGATAAGTGATGGACTTCCTTGATACCATGAGCTTCAAATTAATGTTAGGCTTCCAACATGTATTTCATGTGTTAATGTTTCTTAGACTTTCTTAGTTCTTGACCTTGTCATCGGTTCGGCCCACTTAAATCTTCAAGTGGATCTTAGACCTTTTTTAGTGTGTGAGTTCTTCCATGAACTTGAGTTTGGACCTGGATATCATCATCATGAGTTGAGACAAAAATAAATTAAAAATATATTTCATTAAAATAACTATAATAGAATTATATAATATAAAAAATTATATATAATTGAAATTAAAATTACAATAGCTTAGAAAAATAAGAGAGAGATAGAGGTTATGATTTGCAATTAACAACAACTTGAATTCTATAAATAAAATAAGTTAAGAAAATATCTATATTAAATATTATTTATTATTATAAAATATAATAGTAAAATAATTTTATTTTATTTATCTCCTTTTACCAACCAAATAATTTTTCTCATTTTCTTTTCTTTGAATCAAATAAAATATTTAATATTTTTTTATTCCTTCCTCTTTCCTTACTTTTTCTTTATTAAAATCCATCTTCTCCTCTCATCTAAACCAAATACTCCGTTAATTATACTAATTTATAAGATCTAGATATAAATTTTACAATTTTAAGAGCTTCTTAAGAAAAAAATAAAACGGCTTTGTTAAAATTCCAATAATTATAATGGCATAAAGATTCATTTACGGTGTGATGTGTTAATCACTTAAAGAATAATTTTATTTAAATTTAATAATTAACAGGAAGAAAATGAAATTTAATTTAAACCAGATATAAGATTTGGTTATTTTAAAATTTGTTGTTATTTTAACAAAGAACAAAATTATTTTGAATGATTTAACTGTTGCAAAACTTTGTCTGCTGCCAAGTCATTTGACTTTGCCTTTGTATCGGCAAGTCTTCTTATCTTGCTTTCATTCTTACCAGTCATTCACTTTTCCACTGTATTTCTGAGTCACCACTACCCATCAGTGTTATGATGGAGAAGATTCAACATAGTCACGTGGAAGTGAAGGGATTGAAGCTGCACGTGGCAGAGATCGGAAGTGGTAACTCCTTGAAGACCCATTAGAATATTGTTAATTCATTTGCATTTACTTCAAGTTAATGAATTATGTTTTTGTTTGTGCAGGCTCAAAGGTAGTGGTATTTTTGCATGGATTCCCAGAAATTTGGTATACATGGAGGCACCAGATGATTGCTGTGGCAAATGCTGGTTATAAAGCAATTGCCTTTGATTTCAGAGGTTATGGACTTTCTGAGCATCCACCACAACTAGAAGAACAAACCATGTATGATCTGGTTGATGATATCGTGGGCCTCTTGGATGCCTTAAACATCTCTAAGGTAAGAAGCTATTCACACTAGAATACTTGTTTTGTGAATTTATCAGTGTGCGTAGGTTTCTAGAGTATAATTATATGTTCACTAAAATTTATATGTTCAAACTGTGAATTTTAGCTCAAATCTTCACACTATTGAACTCAAATAAATAGGGAAATAGTACAATAACAAAACACAAAGCCGACAAAGTTTATCCATTACCACCTCTCTATAAATAAACCAAAGCTTTTAAGTGTCAATAAGCCAAGAATCAGCTGGGTGATCTTCTACATTAGCACATGGCCTCTCACAATATTCTATTTAGAATCTGATGAAGACACTTGGTTGATCCAAATCAATCAGTTGGTGAGTGAAACTAACCTTACAATATTGAGTAAAACGTCTGTATGCATTGACCAAGTTCCCAAGACTTTGAGTTGTGCCAAGCCATTGATCCATACACTCACTTTCATCCTGAGCTCTATCCGATGGAAATGTTTGGAATTTTTTCTGCCAAAAGGGTCCTTGATGGTTGAGCTACTCCGCAACACAGGGCTAGTTACCACAAATACAACAAAGACACCTTGCTATACACCCTGGCCATTGATGGTTTGTTCTTATTGGATTTCTTCCACAGTTACCTTGATGAGAAAGTGTTTGGCTCCTTCATGACATGACTAGAAGAACATGTTCAAAGAAGTGGTGTCAAGATAAGAGAAGTGAACATGGAAGAAAACCAAATTCCAACCTACATGTACCATTGATTCAGTTTAAAAATACTTGGGTTCAATGTTCTTGTCATTTTGTGACAGGCTAAACTCTGTACTCAAGTGATTTCACGCTGCAAAATGTTCTAAAGCTGTCACCAATCATTATCATATCTTATATCTCATGTGCCATTTAGTGGTCTCTTAGAATGAAAAGTTTGAAACACACACAAATACCATTTAGTGAATATTCCTCTTCTCCAACCTTTTACACGACACCTAGATCCAATTCTCCATGTGTCTTTACACCTTGAAAGTTTTTCATCACAAAAGCTACTTCTTGAAGCAGAAGCTCTGGTGGTGGTCACAATCCCTTGTGTACATGAGCTTCATTCAGTTGAAATCCATTTTCAACCCTCCATAGGTGCATCATAGCCATTACCTACCTGTGCTTAAATTAGATGTTAGCTCTGAAGTGACAATGAGAAACCTTGTGGCTGATGAGGCCTTGACCAAATCAGATTTCCTAATCTTCACAAGGCACACAGGCTTGATGAGAGCAATCGTAGATACTATGGGGATGTGAAACTGTTGAAATATGCAAATATCATGGAGTTAAGTACCTCTCTCAGTGTGGAAGAAACTGAGGAACTATGCAACGGGATGAGCAAATCCAGTGGACTCAACAAGACTGAAAAGTTGGATAAGTTCATAAGAAAGTTAACAAGTATTTTCATGTTAAGCTCAAGGCCAACCTCTATGGGATCAACTCTTCACACTTCTTGCCACCTTGGTGCTCTTGGCCATGACTCTTCAAACATTTTGCACCGATTATGATTGCCCTTCCCTGGTTATTTTAGACCCAAATGAATTTTTCATGTCATTTTTCTTTTTACAAGTGAAGGTTGAAGTGTAGTGTATGATGAATGGTAATGATTTAAGCGAATGACGTGTTTGAGTATAATATTGTAAAGATACACCTTCATAGTGCGTATGTTATACGGCAACAACAAGGACTTTGGTAAAAATGTTTCTAATGCATATGCAATTTCAATTGTTTTTATCAGGCTTTTCTTGTTGGCAAGGATTTTGGTGCTATCCCAGGATATCTTACAGCTGCTGTTCACCCAGAAAGAGTGATTGCTGTCATAACATTAGGCATTCCTTTCATACTTCCAGGTCCTTCTGCTGTCCAAAACCACCTTCTCCCCAAAGGCTTCTATATTACTAGGTGGCAGGTACAAATTCCATCAAGCATCATAATTTTTATATTCCTTTTAATTTTTAGAAGCGAATATTGATTGTTATTGACTTATTTCAGGAACCTGGGAGAGCAGAAGCAGATTTTGGTCGCTTTCCTGTAAAATCAGTTGTAAGGAACATCTACACTCTTTTCTCTAGAAGTGAGGTGCCTATAGCAGCTGATGATCAAGAAATCATGGACTTGTTCAACCCAGCAACTCCCCTACCACCATGGTTTTCTGAGGAAGACCTTGCTACCTATGCATCATTATATGAAAAATCTGGTTTTAAATATGCATTACAAGTTCCTTATAGGTGAATAGAACAAATTCCTATATTCCTTCTTTCAAAACTGAAAAAGTGAAATCATTATAAAGTGGTGTTTATATGTTTAAACGTGAAATGCTACTCCAAATATCTTTGCTCAACTAATGTTATTTCGATATAACCTGGTATTGTCCTAGTTCCTTATTAGACTGTTTATGATCCATGCAGGAGTCTCAATGTGGAAACTGGCTTAAGTGATGTGAAAGTTACTGTTCCAGCACTTCTGATCATGGGTGAGAAAGATTATGTGTTCAAGTTTCCAGGCATGGAGGACTATATCCGAAGTGGAACAGTGAAGCATATTGTGCCAGACCTGGAAATCATATATATTCCTGAGGGATGCCATTTTATGCATGAACAAATTCCAGAGAAGGTGAACCAGCTCCTCATTGAGTTCCTTGACAAACAAAGTGTCTAATTGTGTGTTCTAACTTCTTAGGTTAAAATCATATTTTTCTTAAGGCTTGTGTACTTTCTAGACTACTTCATTTGAAATTTTCAGTTCATGAAGGGGGACATTTTGTTTAATGATGTCAAGAAGTTCATTTAAAATAAAATATGAAACTACTAATTGAGTTTATCAATTAAGATAGATTGGTTGATTTAGAGATACTTCATTTAAATTCCCAACACTGGTTGATGTAAAGTTTGATACAATTTGAGAAAGCTACAAGGTACAGGTTAAGTGAACTTGCAAACTTTAGGAGAACCCTAACACTGGATATGGAAAAAAAAAGCAGACAATTCCAATTTTCCTCGTTATTAGTGGCAAGTACTACAACATACAATACTCATCCAAAATAGTCAAAATTTTTCATACAATTAGAAGAGTTATAAGAAAAATTATTATATGGTTTAGGATCATTTGGTCCGGCCACTTAATCACACTTAGTGTCAAAATTTTATAATTTATATATAAATAAAAAGCAAACATGTTACAATATGAGTGGCTGGCATCACTTGATTGTAGACCATTTAAAAATTTCTCAAGTTATAGTGTTCATAGACACTTCTTACGATAATGTTTTCTCCCTAACTCTCTCTTCAAACTACCCCTTTTGTTACTCTGCGCTAAAGAAAGTGTAACCAGAAATGTGGGCATAATTTTCTTAGTCTGCTCAAAACCAAATTGTTCTCATGATACGCCTCAGACTGCGGTGCTACTGTTCGGAGAGGACGGTCATGTAAATAACACGCTGACGCTCATATTAAGGAGATGTTTTGGCGAAGTAACAAAAAATAAGAAGGGATAAACTAGAGTAGAAAATATAGGTAAATAAATAAATATTGTTACGATGAGTTGAAATAGAAGAGATAAAAATGAAAAATATTCTCTTTGCTTATTTTGATAAATACAAAAAGATAAAAAAATAAATTCTATTAAAAATACTTATAGAAAATATAAATATTTTTTATTATCATATTCTTCACATAATTCTTTATATTAAGTAAATATTATTTAATAGTTTAATTAATAATAAAAAATGGTCTTGCTAACTAGTGTAAGATTAAAAATGACAAGTTTATAATAAAAATTGCATTAAACTGTATTGAAAATCAAAGGAAAAATTATATTTATTATATTTTATAACAATTTTTAAAGAGCATTGACTAGCATTTGTCTAATAAAAAATATAAATTCAAAACCACTACTTTTAAGTATGGATGTATCTTGAGCATGTGGATTCATCATTTCTTGATTTCATGGAGAGTGAGGTGAATCTACTTTTAAAAATATAATTTTTTATTATATAAACTTATAATATTAATTTTAATCAAAATATACTATTTTTAAATGTTTAAAATTTAACAAAACCAATTAACAATAATCTAAAATAATGTAGTAATTAAAAGTGCCAATTGTTGATTGAGTACCTAATTGCACTAAAAAACTAGAAAAGAGTTTATAAAAATGACCTCTAATTTTGATAAGTTCATTTCAATTTATTTTAATAAATTTATTGTTATAATTTATCGGAAAAAATGATATGTGAGTTTGATAAAAGAGTTAACGAATTGTAACAACAGTGAGAGATTAATTAAATGTTACAGTAGTTCATCTTTCAAAATACATGATGGAGATTAGATGAGTAGTTATAAAAGTTAAGTATTAAAATTTTTTGTAATTAAAAATAAATAAATCCTCCCCATAGCGTTCAAAATACTCCACTCTCTCCAAACTAAACACAACAACACTAATGCAATCTTTGGCAATGCATTGGCAGAAGCATTGAAACCTCTAAATTTTTATTTCCAGTTAGATACTTGTCACCAAAAGGTAGGAATCTAATCCTCGCACCAAATTCCTATGTTTGCATGAACTACTCTTTCAGTTATTATACTACTTTTTTGAACTTTTTAATAAAATGTTTATATGTTTTTAAATAAGATGGAAAAATTAACTTAAGAAAAGCCATTAAATTAGGTCAACACCATGAGATTAGAATAGTATGGAGTCACAAGTTGCAATTTCATTGTCACCATTTTATCAAAATATAAATAAAATGCCAAATTAATTAATTACTTTAAAAAGCAAATTTTTGTATAAAATAAAAATATATATTATATTTGTATGTTATTTTATATTTATTAGCTAGAATAATAATACATTTTGAACATTTTTTTTATAAAGATAAATATTAGCACCACATTTTTAATTACTTTTTTTAAGTTTATTTTGACATTTTAAAAAATAAACTAATTAGAAAATGTTTAAAATGTTCAAAAATTATACCACTAACATTCTTCTTGAACAAAAGAACTTTCATCTACATTTTTTTTTTAGTTTTTAACTACTTTTTTTCCTTTTTATATCACTTGGGTGTTTGATTAATACAATTAATTACATTGGAAAGAAAATCTATAGTTTTGTTTTATCTTTATTTTTATTCAATGGATGGCTATGATTGCAAATCCAAACTCCAGCAGAATGGCATGTCCATTATAGCTTTTACCTTGTTCCAAAACAATAGAAAGTTGACATAAACAAAGGATGATAATTACAACGAAATAAGCTGCAAATTTGTTGACATGATATAAGTATAACAGAACCATAACATTATATCAATGCAAACTACAATTAACCGGACAATGTGCATAACCAATTACAAAAATAATAGGTATACCACCGTCCCTGGAGCTGAAAAACTAAGCTCATAACGGATGGACCATTGAAAAGGAAATCACAAAAACGTTTCCTTCTGCATTGGCCATGCTAAACTACAGCTACTGCATAATTTAAAACAACAAATATTGTAAAAGAGCATAGAGAAGAATACAAAATATTAAAAATAAAACCAAAAATTAGATGACTAAGTATTATTACTAGGAACAAAGGTAAGGCCCACCAAGTATGAGGCAGATGCTGAAAGGCCCGTTAAAATATGCAGCCTTATTGCAGCAGAAAATTTTCTGATTCAGAGTTTGTTTGTTTGGTTAATATATCAGCAACCAGTGAGAACGTGGCCAAGTTTTAATAACCAACAAGTAATAGCAAATTTGGCTTAACTCAATCTCAAAATTAACTTATATAAAAAGGATTATCCAAGCATATAAAGAATATTTTGGCCATATTCTTATGTGGGGTATTTTTAACACTAAGAGAAGGATTAAGGTTAAAAGCACTTGATCAAAGAGATGCTGATGGTTTTAGGTAAGATTTGGTTCAATCAGAAGAAGGGTCTCATGGGACAAGAGGAAGAGGAAGAACCTGGTCCTGTGCTGTCTTGTTGTTGTGTCTGAGCAGCATCAGCATCATGGAACTCTTGTTGATTCGGGTTGACAAAGGGAAGTTGTGAATGCAAGAGAAGATTATTGTTGGGGTCCAAATCATCCCACACAGGACTGCCAGGACCCCAACCTGCAGGAATTGCATTGAACCATTCTCCCCAAACCAATTCCTGAGGCTGTGAAATGCTTTCTTCAGTTTCAGTATTCTCTTCTGCTAATGTCTCTGACACACTATCAGTGTTCGTCTCCTCCACGTTATGCTCTTCCGCAATTGGTTCAGGCTCAGGTTGCTTTTTGTTCAGGGTTGATGTTGATGTTGATCCATCATGGGAAGAAGAAACTGCAGCAGTTGTGGAAGATTCTGGTTTATTATCCTTGTTAAGGAAGAGTTCCGGAAAATTGAGCTTAGCATTTTCTCCTCTAAGCTTAAAAGCTTCACGATCATAAGCCATAGCAGCATCTTCAGCAGTGTCAAAAGTTCCAAGCCAAAGGCGAGTTCTATTGCGAGGGAGACGAATTTCAGCGACCCATTTGCCCCAATGGCGTTGCCTCACTCCCCTATAAAGCTTAGTAGCATTCAAAGGCTGTGTTTGAGGCCTTAACATTGGTCTCATCATCCTCCCTCTTGGACTAAGATTCAGTGCATCATTCCAATACTGAAGAAGCTGTTGCTGATGCTGAAGCTGTTGGTGTTGGTGTTGAATAGTAGAATCTGAGGCTAAGAATGGTGGATACCCCATGTTGTGTTGGGGCCCAAAAGATATCATTTGTTGCGTTGGCTGAACAGGTGGACGAAAAAGAGGCAAATTTGTGGCTCCAATTCCAAATTGGTGTGGGAATGGCATTGGTTGCTGAGACCCTTCAAAAGCAAAAGGAAACACTATTCTTGATGAAGGAGGTTGAAGAGATAGCATAGGGGATGTTTGTTGATTCGGATTTTGGCGTTCAGGGCTTCGAATCTTCTTGAGTGGCCTCTCATGTAACATTGAAACATCATCAAAAACCGGATTCCATTGCCTTCTCCCTGAGGTTAAATCCACACCCTTTCCCTTATCTTTCTCCCAATCTCGGCTTTCACTCTCACCAATCACCTTGTGATGAGTGTCATCAACACCACCCTCCTTGGTGGATTTTCCACTGTTCTTTTCTCCATCCATGATCACCACCAATAACAACAACAAACCTTCTTCCACTCCCTCTCTCAATCTCAAAAAAAATCTGAGATGAGCACTACTATAACTCTATATTAGTCCCAAACAAAGGAGCCATAAAAAAACACTAAAATAAAATGAACCAAACACAAAGAAATAAAGGAAAGAGAGAATTTTGGAGTGTGATTACGGTTTCCAAAAACAGAATCCGAGTGCAAAGCTCTCAGCTTTGGAATGGCCCATCTCAAACTCTGTTGCTGATTGTGGAGAATTTGCAAGGAAAAGGGAGAGAGAGGAAGGGCTTTTATAGTTAAGAGCAGAAAAGGGTTCAAATCAAACTTTTTTGAGTTAATGCAACAAGAGTTGGACAGAATCAGGAACAAGGTTGGCAAATTGGGGTCCCACGCGCTTGTTTTAGCTTGAACATAAATTTTTCTGTATCTTTCTTTGCTGACTCACCTGTGTGGTTACGTTTCATTCACTATGTCTCTGTATCTATCTTTTTCCTCTTAACCTTTCCCACTGTTGCAAATCCAGCAGAGGCAGTTGTGAGGTCCGAACCAAAAACAGTTATTAACTGTTTATGTCAGTGCCATTGTGCGCAAACAGGGATTTATTTTCTCTCCAATGCTATGCCCTCTCCCACGCACTCTGCACCAATCTCGCTTCCATTCTATTTCCTATCTTAAAGCCTAAGTAAGAGCCCTTTAGGATATTTAAGTACCATTTTAAAGCTTTATATCATTTCAATTCTTTTTCTAAACATAAGCGTTTAATTTTAATGAGTGTTTAAATTCTAGAGATATTAGGATCATTGCTCAGTCCTCATTAATTCAGAATCAGCATAATGTAAATATATACCATTATGTTAATTTTTTAATGATTTTTAATAAACTTTAATTAATAATTAAGTAAATGATAAAGAGAGAGATATTACAAACTTGTACCCTACTCTTTCCTAGTGGCTTACAATTCATGAGGTCAGATACTCACTAATGATACTTCGGTGCCTAATGGCATATTTGGTTTGTGAATGTGATTTTGTCTTTCAAAACTTGGTTGCCTGCATTTTGCTTACGAGGAATTCCCATTTCAGTTCCTAACTGTTGTATTTTTTTAATAAAATTTAATAAATTTTTTCTTATAATTATATCAACAATGATATTCACACCTAAAGAGTGTTTTCACCTCTTCAACTCATTTTTAAAATTCTTTTATCACATTACTTTCTTTCTTTTTTGTTTATTTTTTTATTTTTATTTTTCTTCTGCATCAAAAAATAAAGTGTACTAGAATGATTGTCCTAATTATATATTATTTTTGTTCGAAAATACATCTTTGTTTAGAGCAATCAAGTTCTTCTTGTGCACAATGGCTTGCTCCTACTTAACCTGAAAGGTACAATAATTAAACCACTCTCCTTACTAAACACTATATAATTTAGGTTATTGAAGGGCTTTTAACAAAATGTGCTGGTAAGATTTTACTGAATGTTAACTATATAAAGGAAAACATAGTGACACACTGTAATTTCTCTTAATCTTGTGCTATATTAATCTTTGTCATTGCTATCAAAAGAATTGTTTAAAAGTATTAACGACGACCTTATTTAACCAACAAAATTTATGAGTAATAAATCCAAATAATTAGAATATATATATATAATTGACAATCAATTAATTACACGGTACGCGGCATTGTGTCTAGCTGCTCCATATCCAAGAAAAAAATGGAATCACCTCTGTAATGGTTCATTATTTATTTCCTTCTCTCTCTCTCCGTGTCTGTGTCTTTATGATGGTAAAATATAGAACACATTCATATGTTTTGTTTGCCTGCTATGTATGCATATATATGCTTCTAAGGGTCTTCAAGTACATAGACAGGGAAACAATGGTCCTAGCTAGAGTTGTGTCGGAAACAGTTTTCCATCACCCTTCAATTAATACGTATCACTGATTTCCGGCATAAACAATGAACTGTTCAAGTCGGGCATTTTTGTTTCCCACTAAATATATCCACCATATACTTTAACTCGCTACCAAGTTTCCTAGCAAATTGTTAAGATGGTATATAAAATAATATATATAAAAAAGCACAACAAAAATATTATAAATTACTAAAATCAGCTCATGTATCAAGTAAATTTAATTTAATTAAACTAGTTTATTTATCTTAATAAACACTCTTTATCTAGATTCACAACTGCTGTTTAGGGTTTATCCTTTTAGCTTTCGTATAATCTTTCTAACTTGCTCAATCATATTTTAATTGTTGTTCTTCCAAAACTATTTTTTTATATAATCTTGACGGCTAATGGAAGATTAATAAAGAATTAAGTTATATCACCTCCCACACTTTTACATGATATACGTGCTGTTTATATATCTCTCTCGTTTGCATCATACAATACTTATACACAGGTTCATATAATTTTTTAAATAACATTATTGTTTCAACGTAACTTTTTTCTTTTTATACATAGTCTAGATTGTACACATCTTCAAAAGTTTATGCAAGCATCTTCTCTCCCGTCAAATGATATATCTTCTCACAAGAATAATGGAAGATGCAAAAGAAAAAAATAATACGAAAGGTCGGCTATAGCACTGTAAGCAATTAGATGATTAACTATAATATGATAAATATAATAACTTTATCTCTCCTTATTATAGATCATGATTAGCTAATTTGATAAACATATTTCTCCTGATTGTGGATCACATACTTTATTAAACGACTAAACTGATTAAAATATCTTTGTTACAGCTGTTTCTATCAAACAACTTTCAAGACGACAAACAATAAGGACCCAAATCTCTAAACTATATGTACTCAATCATCAGAAGGTCATCTTCCCATTATAACAATCCTGCGTGAGTTTCTGTTGAAAAGGAGAAATTTTAAAAATAGAGTTCAATTGAACCACGAGGTACATTCGAATTGGTCAAACAAATGCTTCGCAGCCCATATCTGCAAAATGGCTTGTCTTGGCATCTTCCTGCTGTGCTAAATTGACTGGACAATAATAGATAGGCTCTCACTTTTTTATTTTACAAAATTTTTTTCCTTTAATAGAATTAAATTCAATAGCATTGTTAAGTGGGTTAAGAACTTTATTATATTCTCTTACTTATCTTTCAAATAATCCTTATTAAATATGAAAAAATTGTATTTGTTAATATTTTTAAACTTTAATAAAAAATTTATAACTATTAATAAATTAATGGTGCAACGGGTGAGCTAAGCATTGGAATTATGTGTGTGGGAAAGGAGCCACGTAATGGTCTCTCTTTTCACTTTCGGTGCATTGCGCAAAGGGTTTCAAATATTTGAGTTGGGGATATGGCTGTCGTTTCAAAGTAACCACCACAAGGGTGTCACTAAAAACAGGTCGGCGAAAATCCGCACGTGTGGGGGTCCACGCCAATCCTCTATCATTTTGTTCTTCCTATTCTCAGTTCTTATAAAAACAATGCTAACATTAAAGTATTAACAACCAACTTAGTATACAAATTTTAACCCCTCATATATATTAGAATTGCAGAAGGTGCTGATCTTTTGTTAAGTGTGCCCACCCATATTTAAATCTTAACATTTTTCAATCTTCTTATATTACATCTTTTATTATAACTTCTTCATGAGGACTTGTGTAAAAGTTGCTTAGGTAATTAACTTGATCATGTGATTTAAAGGAAGAGCCACTCTAATTATTCATGATATGATCCAGCAATATTACTATTCTTTACGACGGAGGATGTAATTTTGTGTAGGTAAACGAGTTGTTATTATCTATGTATATATAGAAATAAATTTCTATCTTCAATCTTTAATTTATAAAATTGAATATCAATTTCGACTACTGTTTTATTCTTTTTTTTTCATATATCTTTTCTTCAATTATGATATATTATTTAATTATCATACATATAAAGATAACATTACATTATAATTATAATATAAAGAATCAAATAATAAAATATTATTTATGATAAAATAATAAATTTTTTACCATAATATTAAAATATTTTATTAAATTAATAATCAAAATATATATATATATATATATATATATATATCAAACAAGATAAATTAATTTTTATTTAAATTGTTATGCAAGAGAGAAGTAGTGGTTTAAATATTTTAAATATATTTATTTCATATAGTAGATGTATTATTTATATAACTTTTAAAATAATTATTATAAAAATCAATCATTTGTTAATACGATAATCTGTAACTAAATAATAATTTAAGAAACATTTATCCTATCAATAAATTTTAATTAAATTTATAATTTATTAATTATTATAAATAAATTTAATTTTATATATCCGCGCATAACACGGAGTTAGATCTAGTTAAGGTTAAATTTCATTGTCAAATTCATTAAAAAAATCTAGGTTTTCAACTTCTCTAGCATAAACTGCAGTTGAGTACAGCTTATAGTCAAATCATTCAGAAGTTTCTTTGATATGATTTAATCTTTTTCTGGAAGCTTTTCTTATATGCTTACTATATTAATTATAAATATTTAATGACATGCGTAGAAAATTATACGGGTATATATGACCAAAGAAAAATAAATTCAAGTTTGATTACTATTTAGCTATTCTCTTTATATATATATATATATATATATATATATATATATATATATTTGTGTCCAATAACATACAATAAAACTATATATAATAATATTTTATGAAAATATATAATTTAGTATAATATCAGATATTATAGTTCATAATAAAAGTTCATTTTTATTAACATTGATATCTTTGAAGACACCTTAAGAAAAGCGAATAAAATATATGAAGGATTAGACGAGCAATAACATAACTTTCCTTGGAATTTGGACAAGTTACTCGTGGACACGTGGCTGGAAATTTCTACATTGTGGATCCAATCACATCTATCTAAACAAATGGAAGATTATGTTTTCTTTCTTTATCTGATTACAGAATGATGGGACAAATTTTGGGGTCTCTTTCTTTGACCGAACAACTAAACACAACTTACCTACTTTTCTTGTATGGCCTTCGCTACGGTTTAGGAACACATTTGCATGCTAAATATGTCGGGGAATCAAATTGGGGCATTGACTTTGACATGTCTTACAGTTTGGCTAAGATGGAAAAACATGCATTACTATGTCTTACAATTATAGGACTCATCTGTTTCACATCAAACCTTCGAAACCACTGTCATTCTGGCCAATGAGCAGAAAAACTACCTTTCTTCAGAATCACTTGTAATAATGAAGTA